CCCCCACGACGAGTCTGGGACCACGCAATTGAACTCCTACCAGAAGCCAAAGGTCTAGACTGTAAAACGTATCCACTTAACCGTGACGAACAGATTCATCTTGACGAATTCTTGAAAGAGAACCTAGAGACAGGGAGGATTAGAGTGTCAAAATCCCCTTACGCATCCCCGTTCTTCTTTATCAAGAAAAAAGACGGATCTCTCAGACCAGTACAAGACTATCGGAAACTCAACGCCCTTACGATCAAAAACCGATATACGTTACCCCTCATTTCAGAACTGATAAACCGACTTAAAGGAGCTAGATTCTTCACCAAGCTAGATGTCCGTTGGGGATATAATAATGTTCGAATCAAAGAAGGAGATGAGCATAAGGCCGCCTTCAGAACTAACAGAGGACTGTTCGAACCTCTGGTTATGTTCTTCGGACTCACGAACTCCCCAGCCACCTTTCAGACAATGATGGACCGACTCCTCCGAGACCTAATCAACGAAGGATCAGTTATCGTATACCTCGACGACATCATGATATTCACCGACTCATTAGAGGAACACAGGAAGATCGTATCAAAAGTTCTTCAGATACTCGCAGACAATCAATTATATCTCAAGCCAGAGAAATGCGAGTTTGAGAAGAAAGAAGTCGAATATCTGGGAATGATCATCTCCCATGATACGATTCGTATGGACCCGCTAAAAGTACAGGCAGTTGCAGAATGGCCGATACCACGAACCAAGAAGGAGTTACAGTCGTTCCTAGGGTTTTCGAACTTTTACAGACGATTCATCAGGGACTATGGAAAGATTGCCAAACCACTGACGATCCTCACCGGAAAGGTAGATTGGGAGTGGGCTGAAGACCAACAACGAGCGTTCGACGTTCTCAAAAAGACAATCACCACTTCGCCCACACTCGCAATCCCTAACGACGAAGATCCATTCAAAGTTGAATGCGACGCCTCCAACTACGCCACAGGAGCGGTGTTATCCCAGCAGCAAGAAGGGAAATGGAGACCGGTCGCATTCCTATCAAAGTCGATGAACCCTGCAGAGAGAAATTACGCTATCTGGGATAAAGAGATGCTAGCGGTAATGCATGCATTGGAAGAATGGCGACACCTCCTCATGGGAGCTAAACACCAGTTCACCATATTCACCGACCATCAGAACCTCACCTACTTCAGAGATCCCCAGAAAGTAAACAGACGACAAGCTAGGTGGATGGACACACTAGCGAGATACGATTTCAAGTTAGAGCATGTGAAAGGCTCGGCGAACACGAAAGCGGACCTACTTAGTCGAAGAGTAGACCATCCGAGAGGCGAGAGAGACAACGAAGGACAGGTCCTTCTACCTCAGCTCGCGGAAGCAAATATTTATACTATGGAGGACGTGTTAGAAGAACACTACCTGGACGAACTGCTAGCTTCGCAGCACAAACTAGACGATTACGTAGTAAGGAAGTTGAAAGAAGATCCAGAGGTTTGGAAGAAACGAGACGGAATCGTCTGGATAGGAAATGAGAAAGAAGACGAGTTGACGTTAGGATCCTTCAAAAACAAAATCTACGTACCCCAAGACCCAAAGTTGAGGGCACGTATTATCGAAGAAGAACATGACACGAGCCTCAGCGGACACCCAGGAGAAAGAAAGACGCACGAAGGAGTAAACCGATCATTCTGGTGGCCTAGCCTCAGGAGAGATATCAGGAAATATGTCGCAGGATGCGAGATATGTCAGAGAACAAAGTCGCATCGTCAAAAACCGCATGCTCCCCTCCATCCAAATCCGATCCCTGACCGTCCTTGGCAGATAATCACGACGGATCTCATCGGAGCGTTACCAGAGTCAAACGGATACGACGCTATCCAGGTTTTTGTTGACAGATTCTCGAAAATGGCTCACTTCGTACCAACGCACGTTACTCTCGATTCGTTAGGCTACGCCAAACAACTACGAGATTCGGTCATACGACTACACGGCATCCCGGAAAAGATTATATCGGATAGAGGACCTCAATTCATGTCGAACTTCACCAAGGACTTCTATCAAACCCTTGGGATCGAACCCGGTCTGTCAACAGGTTACCATCCCCAAACTGACGGGCAGTCCGAACGAATCAATCAAGACCTGGAACATTACCTACGCACGTTCATTAATCACCGACAAGACGACTGGGCTGATTGGCTAGCCATTGCCGAGTTCACGTACAACAATCATCTTCACTCCGCGACCAATCAGACCCCCTTCTTTGTAAATTATGGTTCTCACCCTCGTAAAGGGACCGGTCAGAAGCCTTCAGGGCGCTCGCAAGCCGCCGAAGATTTCGCAACCTCTATGGCGAAACTACACGAACAAACTCGGCAATCATTATTACTCGCGAATCAAAACCTCAAAAAGTACTATGACCGGAAACGCACGGAAGCACGAGAATATCACAAAGGAGATAAGGTGTGGTTAGAGGGAACTCATATCTCCACCGATCGACCGATGAAGAAGTTAGATGACAAGCGATTTGGCCCATTTACGGTAAAGGCAAAGGTCGGCCCATCCGCTTATCTCCTTGACGTCCCTAGATCCTGGAAGGCGATCCATCCCGTATTCAACGAAATCCTCTTATCACCGTATCACACGCCGGAGTTCCCCAATCAACCTCGTACCTTGAAACCTCCGCCGATCCAAGTTGATGGCGCAGTCGAATACGAAGCCGAAGAAATCATCGCTTCTCGGCCCACTAAACTCAAAGGGGCTAAGCTCGATTACTTCGTCCATTGGAAGGGATACCCGATCACGGAGAGGACGTGGGAACCCGATCACCATTTAAAAAATTCCCCCTCGCTTATTGCCACCTTCCACCACAAACACCCTGCCGCCCCACGTGTCATCGCCTCCGCCGCTTTACGATTTCGTCCTTATGAAAATTTCACTACTACAACCAAAAAACCCCGCCTTTTCGACTGGATCACAAACCGCTTCACGGACTGCGGCGCTAAGATTCTTGGGACAAGAATATAAAAGGGGGGGGTAATGTAAGGACCGTTTTATTATTTTCCTATCTTCGTTATGTCTTGGTTCTCAAACGCTTTTCCCGTTACACCTCTGGCTCTAGGGCTAGAGGTATCCTTTGCCATCTTACTTCTCATAGCCCTCACAGGCTTTCTTAACCATCGCTACCACTTTATATCACAGATCAGAGACTGGACATCGCTTCCAGCTAGCCAGCACACTGGGTAGGGACTGGTAGTAGGCATCTCGCCAACCAGCTCCAAGCCCCAGTAAAGCCTGGTAATACTAATAACGCCTTATCTAGAATCGTACCTCATTATGAGGATACGGTTCCTGACCACGCGTGACAATCTTCTATTATTAGTACAAATCTCTCACCTGCTGATTAATCAAGTCAGAAGTCGTACGATAGTTACCTCCCCTTTTTCTTATTGGTTGATTAATCCCTCAGACCACTTTTTGTATATTCTCTTTTCGGTCTGAGGCACGGACAGTTCCCTATATAAAGCCGTACCTATTCATGTATAGCTCCTTAGCTTTCTATTACTGAATTTACCCGCTTTACTCCTCAACAAGAACCTTTGAAGCTTACCTCTTAAAAAGTCCTCGACTCGCTGTATTCATTAGCGTCTGTTGACCTCAAGCTCATCGAACCCTTACTCCCTGCAAGTGCAGAAGGAGATAGGTTTAGTTCTTGTTATAGTTTATCGTTGCCTCACACAGTGTCAGTTGACGACATGCTCATTGCAGGTAAAACTACAAAGGCTATCAGTGAATTCAAGGAAGGAATAAAGAGAGAATATGAGATCACCGACCTTGGCCAAGTCAACTGGCTACTTGGTATCCATATACAACGAGACCGCAAAACTCGCACTGTATCTCTAGGTCAACAGGCATACATAGAAACAATACTAAAAAGGTTCAACCTCGAAGACTGCAAACCTGTATCAACTCCGGTCGAGCCAGGTCTACTTTTTGACGACTCACAATCACCATCAGCCAAAGCCAAAGTCATCGAGATGCAAAACATACCTTATAGAGAAACAATAGGATCTCTCATGTACCTTGCTACTGGCACTCGACCGGATATCGCATTTGCAATATCTTCACTCTCTCGTTTCCTACAAAATCCTGGTCGAACACACTGGGAGGCAGCAAAACGAGTCCTACGATACCTGAAAGCCACCAAAGAGTTCTGATTGGTCATAGGCCAAACCGACGAAGGCTTGGTTGGATTTTCGGACGCAGACTTTGCCTCACATTCCCACAGACGTTCTATATCAGGATATGTTTTTAGGATCAATGGTGGAGCCGTCTCCTGGAATAGTAAGACACAGCCAATTGTAACACTATCGACCACAGAGGCCGAATATGTGGCTATCACACACGCAGCCAAAGAAGCCATCTGGCTCAAAAACATTTGGGCCGAAATCACAAACAAACCACTCACTAGACCAATTCCGCTTTATGGCGACAATCGTAGTGCAATTGAGCTCACCAAAAATAATATCTATCATTCTCGCACCAAACATGTCGATATTCGCTATCATTTCATAAGACAATCTGTCGAACAAAATTTGATTCAAATCCTATTTTGTCCCACAAATGAAATGCCTGCAGACGCACTCACAAAGCCACTGGCTCGACCCAAATTACAACACTTCAATAAATTAATGGGAGTTGATTTGGTTTGAGGGGGTGTGTTGGCATATCCTGTTTATGATACACTCACATCCTATCATTTTATCCTTTTATTTCTTCATTTCCATACACCATTCTTTCATCTCTACTTGACCGCTTTTCCACTACATTACATAAGCTCAAAACTTTCCCACACTTATTCCAAAAACTCGTAGCACTCTGCCTTACACAAACCTCAGTCTCTTGATTATAAGACTGAGGTATGTCTGGTTATTTTACAGTTTACTTTATATCATCATACTCACTTTACACTATTAGAAATACTCTCTTTTAGGTATATTATCCTTCAATATGAGTCTCTTGATTATAAGACTGAGAAATACTCTCTTTTAGTCTTCTCATAGCCTAACAGGAGTGACAAAACCGGATAAACCCGCATTGTACAGCGGTGAGTTGAGCGAGTTATACATGCGGATACGGATTTTCCGGTCACAATTGGCTGCCAAGGATGCATTATTCCACAGGTATGTGTGCACACGGAAACTAATGTTGATTGTTTCACAGAAGATTATTGTTTTGTGGCGGCTGTCAAGGATCCAGAGAAGGTCTGGGAATAAGTGGTTCCCTATCCCATGGGTGAGTTCTCGAATCACAATCCGCAAATCGGGACGGATATTTGATCTATGAAACCAGCCTGGTTTGAGCCCTAGAAAATTGCAGACCCACTGCATTGGTGGGCCAGTGGGCAATGACTATGACTATGGCAAAAGTTCCCCAATCCACTGATGTGTTGGTGGAGGTGGAGGTCATTGATTGCAGAATAAGAACAATGCGAGCTGGGAGTTTCAACAACAACCAATGAACATGGTCATTCAGACGATGAATCGGACTTGGGGGACAGTAATGACGAGAACAGCAAAGTTCAATTACACGTGTCAAACGAAGACGACTCAGATTCCAAGTCCATCAAGTGTCCTCAAGGCTCTGGACATTTTACTGATGCTTGTTTGTCCGTAGCCCAAGAGCAAGGCGATGACACAATGCCCCTCTTCTGGAATCAATATCACGGGGAGTATTCTCAGAAGACTCGAAGTTCAACACAGAACCGTGGTACACATGCTGATACTTGGTTTGGATAACAGATTGAACAGGTGTGTAATGTTTTAGCCATCTCGTAAGCCCACGGGTGTGTACTACATCATGATTGGAACTATTTATGCTAGCAATTTAGCGCTGGACTTCCATTCTGGACAGTTTGAAGTTGTGTCTTGCAGGCTGAGTTTGTTATGGCTCGCGGGAGCGATTCAAGGGCCCCTCGGAAGGTCGCATTTACTTTCAACCCTCAGATAGCAGGATGTTTTCGTAGCCTAACTTGTCCAAAAGACAATGGTGACATCTCCAAAGTATATATAGTTGTCCTTGTATTGGAGGAAGGCTGATCAACGTTCCCTCAGTCAGCTTCTCAAAATCTGGGTTCACGAATTAGCTGGAGGCTGTTCCACGGGGAACAGGGACAGAGCTAAAATGGGGACGTCTTTCGATGGGATGGTGGTATATAAACGGTAGACCTTACTCTGGAGAAGTGCAGCACTTCTTTTCAGATCCTCCCACCATGTCTGTTGATTTACTTCACTTCGATGCAATTAATCCAACCCTCTGCTTAGTCCTGACGGTTGCATTTATTATTGTAAACCGCCTAGCTGCAGGTAAAGCACGCTTTCTTCCACCCGGTCCTCGCCCCCTGCCTGTGGTGGGCAACATATTTGGTATTAAAGTGAATGAGCCTTGGATTACCTATAAGGAGTGGGCTCAAATTCACGGTAGGTCGAAGTAGTTCTGTTACTGTGTTATTGGACCCTATATCTGACCGCGGTTTTTGTCGATTAGGAAACATTGTTTACTCTCGCTTATTCGGTCAAGAAATCATCATCCTCAACTCCGAGGAAGTGGCCAAAGACCTTCTTGAGCGACGTTCTCGTAATTATTCTGACCGGCCGCAGTATATCACAACTGATCTGTACGTGGTCACTGTATGCGTTGACACCACCACTGGATCATCACCTTTGTTATCTACTGCAGATTTGGGTGGTCATTCCACTTGGGAAATCGTGGCTACGGCAATGAATTTCGACAACAGAGAAGGCAGTTCCACCAGGCGTTTCATACAAAAGCTGCTTTGAAGTATCATCCCGTCCAATTACGCAGGGTAAACCAGCTCCTTGTCCATTTGCTCGAGACACCGGAAAACTATGCTAATCACCTACAAACGTGAGTACTGCTGAAGTTGGGCGACCTGTCATCTGATTATATTATATATCGCCTTAGACTAAATACGTCTGTAATTATGGAAGTAACTTATGGGTACGACCCGGCACCCCACCATGACCACCTGGTCGCGCTTGTGGAACGTGCAACAGCGTTGTTCGTCAAAGAAAATACAGCCGACAAAGCAATCATCTTCAATGCACTGCCATTCCGTGAGTATTTTGAACGCATGTATATTTCTTCTTAACATCACACGAGTACAGTGCAATATATTCCTCCCTGGTTTCCCGGGGCGAATTTCCAGCGAAAAGCCCTTCAGTGTCAAAAGTTGACCGCGGAGATGATTGAAGCTCCATTTCAGTATACAAAGCAGAGTATTGTATGCTCTCTTTCCTTCACTTTGCGAAATTTGATCTGACAATTTTGTTAGGCAGCAGGGACAGCTATACCAAGTAGTATGCTGTATGATCTATTTAGCCGTATTCCAGAAGACGATCCTTCATATGAACTTGCAATGAAGAGCTCTACCGCCACTGCGTTCTCTTGTAAGTGTTCTCTAGTATATGCCTTATTTCGACTCACAGGCTCTATCTGTAGCCGGTTCTGAAACGGTGAGTCGTATCCGAATTTCAAGTTTGCTATAGACCTATTTTAACAACAACTTCTAGTCTTCTTCGTTACTCCAAATATTTGTGCTTGCCATGCTTTTCAATCCTGATGTACAGCAGAAAGCTCAATTAGAAATCGACGCGGTGGTTGGCCGAAACAGACTCCCGGACTTTAGCGACAGGCCATCGCTGCCTTATGTTGAAGCAGTTTTTCGGGAGACACTCCGTTGGCGTCCTGTAGTTCCCCTTGGTAAGCCAACTTCCTTCTCTCAAGTTTCCCGTTAGCTCCGAGTCGTCTCTCACTCAACTGCACACGAGCAGGGGTTCCGCATGCTACCACTAATGATGACAATTTTGAGGGATATTTTATACCAAAAGGTCTGTGTTATATATTGACCCTCGTGGTGAAAAATCGATCTGACAGTAAGCAGGAGCAACAATAGTGACCAATATATGGTTCGTACTCATTGCTTCTGGTTTCAAGTTGGTGTAGTCTGGCCATCTCACTCAAAGCGAACAGGGCGATGGCTCAGAATGAAGATAAATATCCAGAACCATCCAAATACAAACCGGAACGTTTCTTCACCGCTGATGGAAAGCTGAATGATGACACTCTGGGATTTGTCTTCGGATTTGGAAGGCGGGTTTGTGCAGGCCGCCATATTGGTGATGCAACAGTATGGGCCGCCATTGCTTCCATATTGGCTGTGTTCAACGTCACCAAAGCGAAGGACGAACACGGTGACGATATTGAAGTCATCCCTCAATGGACAAATGGGATAACAGTGTGAGTCCTTTCCACATTGTTTTCTACGTGGCTGCCCCTGACTTGGAGTAACAGGCATCCACTCCCCTTTCCATGTTGTTTTGAACCACGACTAGGAGGGATGACCTCGAGTCAAATGATGTAATCCTGAAAGGATTGACAGTGTAACACCTATCCTTGTCGGTCGTATATAATTATTCTGTAAAATAGTGTTACCCCAGTACACTACTCTCAATGTTATTTCTACCATGCTCAAGCTCCAATAAGTACTCAGTGAAAGTGCTGGGGCGCTCGGGCCTCCATGGAAATAGCAGGGAATGACGTAATGAGGCGGGATGAAAAGAACGAGTTGCGGAGAATGGTGGTTGAACATGAACCGAATCCATCGACGACGGGCCCTCCTTCTCCTTCTCCTTCTCCTTCTCGTCTTCTCTCTCTTCTCGACCTGGCGTGTTCTCACTCTCCCCGGCCCGCACTCCACCGACCATGTCGTGCGGTTGTTCGAACGGGCGCTTCCTATTGACGCGCGTTCTCTGACTGCGATTCTCCCTGTCTCATCACCGCACAATCTCAGTGCCACCCTGGCGCCCTTGCTCGATTCTCCCACCAAGCTTGCCCGTGTGATTCTCGTCTGTCCCCAACCCATTCTCTCCGATGTCAGAAAGACACTTGCCCAACTTGTCTACACCGGTTCTCATCAACACCCTCAATTCTCTTTGTATCCTGCCTCACACTTGCACTCCCATTCTCTCATTTCTCTTGCAGCCTCTCGCGTCAAATCTGACTGGATCTTGTTTCTCAACGACGATGGTCTCGCTGGTGTTGGTAAGCGTACGAGAGACATGCTCCTCAATCCACTCGCTATACCCTTGCCTCTCGGTCCCACCGGCGCCATCTCTCGTCGCAGCACATCATGCACGCCTCCAGCAAGCGTACCGTACCCCGCGTCCCATCTTTCTCCCCCTTTTGTTGCACCTCTCTCTGTCTTTCATCTCGCTGCCAATCTTTCGACTTTGGGCTATAATCATCCCTGGCTCGATCTAGCCAATCTCGTCTCTCGCTCCCGCAGCGATCATCTCGCAGCCGTTCTTCTTAATCTCGACCATCTCACTTCAAACCCGTGTCCCGCTCTGTCCATCAGGCATTCCCTTCCTACTACCTTGCATCCCAACTTCAACCTCTCCGCAAAGTATGCATCCCTAGCCGCAGACTGGCAACATCCTCAAACCTCTCCTCACGGTACATTCGCATTGGCTTTCCCGACTGTCAGTGACCTCTATGCCTTCTTGCCTGTCGCGTGCCGACTCTTCAACACCGGCTATTCACTCAATCTTCTCCTCTACCGCCCAAACCACCTCCACTTTGAAAACGCAAACGGCACCCACGTCTGGTCCGACGACTGTCGCCTCTCTTACGACGTCCTATCAATCAACTCGCCCTCCTTTGCGCACTGGCTCGCCTCTCTTCAACATCTACCCGACATCATCGTCGCCCTCACAGAACAAGACTCGGTCTCTTCTGGCATTTCCACCACCCTCCAACACGAGTCTTACAACCACATCACCCTCGTCCGCCTACCCCGCGAAGACATCCCCCACTCGTACTGGATGGGCTCTCTCTCTCTTCTCGAGTGGCAAAGTCAGTCCTCTTCATTTCCCGTGATATTGTTTACTTGACACGCGCATACACTCACTCGCTTGCTAGACTGGAACGTCCCCGAAATCGCCATCAGCGTCATCACCACCAACAGACCCCGCTCCCTCCACCGCCTCCTCCTCTCCCTCTCCCACTCTCTCTACTTTGGCGACACCGTCCTGCTCCGGATCAACATCGACCAATCCCCCGACCCAGACCCCGACACCCTGCGCGTCGTCCGCGACCTCCACTGGGCACACGGCGACGTCGTCGTGCACCACCGCGTCGTCCATGGCGGGCTGCTCCCCGCCGTCGTGGAGGCGTGGTATCCGCATCATGACCATTCGTATGGCGTGTTGTTGGAGGATGATGTTGAGGTGTCGAGGCTGTTTTATGCGTGGGCGAAGATGGCGGTGTTGAGGTATAGGTGTGTGGCTTGTTGGTTTTTTCTTTGGTGTTTTTGGATGTCTGCGGCGTTACTAACATCATCACGATAATGACAACCAACTAACAATGCCTTCAACTATGGCAAGGTACGGCGACCCGAGCAACCTCTCCCCCCAGCTCTTCGGCATCAGCCTCTACCAGCAAAAGAGCATCGAGCTCAGACCGGAAGGCAGACGCCCCTTTGACGCTCGAGCCCTCTTCGCCGCGAACGGTTTTGAGCACCCTGCGACGCCTTATCTGTCGCAGATCCCGTGTAGCTGGGGAGCGGTGTATTTTCCGGAGCAGTGGCGCGAGTTTCACGAGTATCTCGCCGTTCGGTTCTCTCGCACTGGCCCTAGCCCTAGCTCTGGCATCAACGCCGGCATCCCCACGCAAGACATCGTCCCCGCCGTGCGCTCCAACAAGTGGAAAAAGTCATGGAAGAAGTACTTTATCGAGCTCGTCTACCTCCGCGGGTACGTCATGCTCTATCCGAACTATGACGGCTATGCGTCGCTCTCGACGAACCACCTCGAGGTGGGCGCGCATGTGAGGGAGATGGGGAGGGGGGAGTATCTGCGCAGGAAGGAGATGTTTGGCTTGCCGTTGATGGCGCTCGGTGGTGCGGCACTCGTCGACTTGCCGGCTCGGACGCTCCCGCCGTGGCGTCGACTCCCCGTCTTGAACCTCACCGGCTGCCTCTCGACCGTGGACGAGCTGATCGGGCAAGGCGCCGCGCGACGCGCCGACCTGTTCGACTGTCAAGGCCCGGCGCTTCCGTACGATGTCCCGAGCCTCTTTTGCGTCCATTAGCAACACGTTCTGTGTGGGATTGCGGGCGATACTCCTCATGACGGTAGGGAGATGCCTGCATGTCCAAATGATTTCCATTTGTATGGTAGTAGGAAACAACATGACTTTTTATTTTTTATTTTATTTTATAAATCTCGCTCTCTCAGTCGCATGCTCGTTCATTCATTCATACCGTATCATTATTACTGTAAGATGGGAAACGGGAGAGAAAAAAAAAAAGGGATGGTCAAAGTAGAGAGAAAACAAAACAAAAGTCAAAAAACCACACAAAGCGCATCCTTCTTTTTCTCTTCAAATCTCAATCTGAGAACTATCCAACCCCAGCGCATGCAAAAACAAGTTGACATTCGCCAGCTTCAGCTCCCCCTCCTCCTCATCCGCCACCCAGCCCTTGCTCACGCTCGTCACGTTCTCGAGCACCTTTTCGCGCAACGTCGAGACGAGGATCTGTTGCTGCTCGCTCGAGGCGTGCAGCGCCAGCGCGGCGAGGAATTGCCAGATGGGCTGGTCGATGATGTCCGTCGGCAGCGAGGACGAGGGGGGGGCGGGGCCGTGGGAGGGGAGGGGGAGGGCGGAGGCGAGCCGGGCGGAGGGGAAGAGCGCGAGGAAGTGCGGGGCGACGAGTTGGAAGAGGTGGTCGAACATGAGTTGCCTGCAAGGTCGAGTCGAGTGTGAGAATGAAATAAAATATAAAATGGAAGGAAGGAGACGAGGGGCAAGAAGCCGTGCTTACCATTGTTGAGCCTCTTCGGGAGTAGGCGTCTCGGGAGAATCAACTACGGTGCTCATGTTCTGCTTGATGACCTCTACCCGACTCAAGAACAGAGTGAGGATCGCGATGCCAGGCTAGACGGACGACGGGAGCGGTGAGTTCGAGAACAAACGGAGTGCGCGCGCGTATAAAATGGATGATGATAATAAGAATAAAAAAAGAGTGAAACCGCCTCACCTTGGTCTGCGCCGCCGCCACCACATCGCAGCGGTCCAAGAAGAGACCCAAAAGGCCGCTGACGAGCCTCAGCTCAGCCTTGGCCACCACCGGCAAGATGCTCTGCATCACGCTCCCGAGGAACGCCTGCGTCTGCCGGTCGACCTCTTGGCGCTCCGGCGTGTCCTCGACCGAGTCGAGCAGGCCGGCCTGTTTGAAGACGTCGAGCTGGGAGAAGCAGGCGACGAGGAGGGTGAGCAGGGTGAGCATTCGCGGTCCGCTGATGTGTCGGCTGAGGCGGGGGAGGATCTTTTTGCCCTTGGCTGGCGTTAGTAACGATACGAATGGGTGCGGGTCGCTGTCAGGCGAGAGGGCTGAGATTCGCGTCTATACATCACAGCCAAGGTGACATACCTCGTCTCAAGAGGGACCATCACTTTCAGATTAATCCACAACTGTTCAGTCAGGTCTTCATACGACATTTGCCTTTTTTGCCTCTCAGCCGTGACGAAAGGTTTCAGCGGTGAAATTAACCTACCACGCGTTGAAGGCTACTTCGTCTTCTTCTGGAGGCTGGTCCCGCCTCAGTTGCTCGACACTCAACACAAGGTCGTAAAGACTCTCTAAAATGACGAGAACTTGTCGCTGAGCCAGGGGTTCCATCTTTACCACTCCGTCGGTCTGAATAAATGGTTTAGACAGGGCTTGATGGTGACTAATGCGAACTCACGCCTGCAGCGGCTCCAAGCGCCTCTCGACCAAGTTTAGCAGCCTCCCTAGCGGCGCCTTCACCGTTGGTTTCAATGGCGTCCTCCTTGGATATATGAGGGTGGGCACCGGACATAGTAGGCGTAGTGGCGTTGGCAGCTTCGACTTGCAAAAGTTGACGCGGTGCAGCCTTATAGCTACGACCGGACGTCTTTCCTAAAGCACCTTGAAGACTGTGCAACGCTGAGATAAAAAATAAAAAAAGGTCAGTCAATTATGACGCCGCCGTAGGGACAAAATTAAACGAGATAATCACAGTGCAGACCCTTTTCCTTCTCTCTCAGTCGAGCATTGCTCACGATGCGTTCAACTTGCGCTTCCATTTTCTGCATCGCACTCTGCCTGCGTCCACCGCCCTTTTGCGCGAGGCCTAGACCGACTCCGCCGCCAGAGCCAAACTTGAGCACGCGTTCATCCTGCGACTGCAGTCCAAGACGCGAGCGAAGGATGGCACCATAAACCTGAGCGTAAAAGTCCTCGGCGTAGGGATCCTGAGTGACGAGCTGCGAGACCTGAATGCGCGTGATAAAGTCCTTGTCTGACTGGGTCATCAGATCGTTGTATCGCGACTGCAGCACATCATCAGCAAGAGACGTTGGTTAGTTGTGGAGGGGACCAGCTTACCATGTGGGCGATTTTGGCAGCCTTGCGACGGCGTCTCTCCTCCATCCGCTCTGTCTCCATTATCTTGCGCATGGCTTCAGCTCTGAGCTGTTCTTGCTCTGCCGGACTGACGCCTTGCATGTCGCGCATGAACTCAGCCTGGGCCATCTCCGAGAGTAGACGCTGCTGTAGCTGAATGTTATGGGGCAATAGCTGCGCGTTCTGCGAGTTCTGCGTGTGTTGCTGATCCACAAAGGCAGGCGAATGAATACGACGTTGATGAACACCCTGAGCGGCTTGAAGATCATTAAAACTGGTCTGTCGCCGACCAAGAGATTGGCCTTGATGTTGCATCGCAGGAACCTGCTGAGCACGAACATGGCGCTCGAGCTCTTCCATGCGTAGTTGCTCCTGCAGCTCATGTAGTCTATGTTGCTGCTGGCGTTCCTGCTCTTGCTGAAGCTGGAGAATCTGATGGGCATGGAATCGAGGTGACTGGGAGTGAGATAACATGCGAGGTGGCGGTGTGCGCTGTTGGAGTTGCTGGAGCTGCTGAAGGCGAAGCAAATCTTGTTGCTGAAGCTGGTTCTGCCGCAGATGCTCCTGTTGCTCCTGTTGTCGCCGTAGTTGCTCTTGTCTAAACTTCTCCTGCAGGAGTTGCTCTTGATGAAGTTGGTCTCGTTGAAGTTGTTCCCTCTGAAGTTGTTCCCGTTGAAGCTGTTCTTGTCGGAGCAGTTCCCTTTGGAGCAGTTCCCGATGAGGCTGGTCCCTATAAAGCCGTTCCCGTCGAAGTTGTTCCTGTAGAAGCTGCTCTTGCTGTTGTTGGTGAAGCTGATCCTGACGGAGCTGTTCTTGCCGCAGCAACTCCTGCCTCTGCGATATCCGTGACTGCTGGGCAATAGCATGCATCTCGGCTTCGATCTCCTGCAACGTGCGTACGCCTGTGTGGTTAACACCTTGAGGGATGGACGTCTGATGGCCTATGGCTCGGTTGTCGTTGGTGGCGGAGGGCAGGAACGGGGACTTTGAGGCAGACGGCGCTCGCTGATGATCCGCAGAGTGACCGGCGCCATTCATGCGGGATAGGATGGCGAACGGCGACTTGTCATCCCATATCGATTCGAGGGAATCGGCAGGAGGGGCATGGGCTGCGGTAGGGAGATGTACATGTAAGATAATATAACAGGGAACCAATGTGTACAAGACATACAACGCTGGACACTTGGGGAGCTGCCAGTGACCTCTATGCGAGGCGTCCTTTCCCTAGGCTGCTGTTCGATGGCTCGAGAATGCTGGTCATGCACTCTTCCGGTCGACGGAGATGTCACAGGCAGATTCTGACTGGAGAAATCAAAGTCCTTTCCTGATTTTTTGCAGTGACGATGAGATAAGTGCTAGAATAGAGACATGTTTAAAATCTCACCAATAGCGCCCGTTGCACCAAAAGTCTCATCGTTCAGCTCGTCGCCGCCCTCGAGGAGGGCGTCTCCGAGACCATCGTAACTTTCCTCACCCCAGGTGTATACCGCAACATCCTCGCTTTCTTTGAGACCGCCTTCCAGGAATTTTTTCTTTTCATGTTCCAAGCCGCCTTCCTCGAAACCAAAGAACGACATAAGAAAAGAGAGGACCCGTCGTTGGATTTAGACTGAGGATTGTACAACTTTCAGTGCTCTAACTTGAAGGTCGTGGTCTGGCTCCCAAATACGACCACACATTTCATTTGCAGCCAGGCGGTCCGACCTTTTACGTCTATTAGACTATGCATTTCTATTACGCAAAAATTTTCCATTCATTCCACCAGTTGCAATGGCACGTCTAGTCTGTGTAGCATGAAATTGTTGCGTTGCACCGTGAAAAAGTATATGGGTACCCAGTAATGTAGTTGGAAGATGACGAAAAGCACATAATATGAGAGGAAGCTGATGGAAGAGTTCAGATTCGAGAAAAAGAGCGCGTCAAGTCCTCCACAATCCTCATCCCAACATCAGCAGTCTATTATAGCAGTATCAATGTTTGTATCGACGTTATTCGCGTATAGCAGCCTCTGCAAGCATTGCCAAGCATACATCAGTTCCACTCCAACACAAAAGAAAATAGAGGCCACTCACTGAAGAATTCATACGATAACCAGCACAATGCATTACTTGGCATGAACGTTAGCACTCGCGGTGACAATCCTCGCGAAAATCCCTTCATGCCATCCCTTTGCCATATAATCCGGAAAGCATCCACCATCCCACCAACTTTGCGAATTTCCGGATCTTGTGACGAGCCCCGCGTTTGTAGCAGTGTCTTTGCAACATCCAGTGGCGTCGTCACTCCAGCAGCCACACCACCTGACAAACCACCAGCGACCATGTGCGTAACAGGAGAATATTCCCCCGAAGGGTTCATTAGTTTTTTTATCTGTTCGTAAACGGTAAATTGAACAGCGGTGAATGGAACCGACATCATCAACGTCGTGGGGTATGACACGTAGAAAGCGGATAGGCCTTCAGTCTGATGCACTACCCGCGCACAGGTGAAGACTGAGCGAAATTCTGATTGATGCACCTGCATCCTTTGTTTGATAACTGTTTGCAAGTACTTGTTAGCCATGGTTTGGTAAGATAGACGTTGCGTAGAAGCTCACCATCGAATGGGTTCATCAAAGCATCACTTGCGATGGTCGCAGATGCACCAGCTAGTGCTGTAGTTCACATATCAGTAACAAGTTACGAGAAAAGACGCGTCTACAGGACAATATGGCACCAAAAGTGCAATATGAATGGGACTTGGCTCGAAATCAAAGACACTCACATGTCGCGATCCACTGGTTGCGGTTGCTTTCCTCATTTCCACCTGCCAACTCTTTCATGGCTTCATACATCCCAAAGTGAACAGCATGAGCTGGCCCTGCGCCCAGTATCACCGACGATACACCCCTCCATAGAGCACGCATACCCTCCGTGGATGATATTCGGGTGAAGGCATTGCCAATCCCTGTGTACACTGCTGCAGGCGAAGTAGCAAAAACTTGCATTCGCGTCTGAAAACATAGAAGTTGAAAAAGCGAGATCCGGGAAAGATAGAAGTGCTGACTTTTATGCTATCGACAGGAAACATGACCGCATGTTCCGTGATACCAGCCTGAATGTCGTGATGTGTCAACAAAAAACCATGGAACGAAGATTCCAAAAGGGACAAAACTCGAACAAAACGTTTTCCCGAGTCCTTGAACACAAGACTAGGCAAAATAACCCACCAAAGCACCGGCCAACATGTTTACCTGCCCAAAAAAAAATAAGTAAAAAAGGGCAACATGAGAGCAAAATGCGTACACCGAGACCCGCATTGGGTGACAGGGACTCGTAGTCAGGTTCTTCAGCCATGCAAGAAAAGAGTCGGAGGGGTGGCTAGAAGAGCAGGAAGGACGCTTTTGTACTGGCCGGCAAAAATGCGCCAGTGTCGGAATAAGGCGCAGCTGATGGAAGAAAAACAAATCAAAAGCTGACGCTTGAATATGAAGATCACAACTGCAGTGCAAGCGCTTATTCGTTGGCCTTTTGGTGTTTTGGCTTTTACTTTGGAGTATTTCGGGAATATCGGGACAACGTGTCACAAATGGTGGTTGCAAGCAAACACTGATGAAAGAAAACACAGGGATGTCGCTAAGATTATTCAGGACCGTGTCCGACTCGGTCAACCAATGCCATAGCCACAATACTTCCGTCCAATAGAATTGCTCTGCAGTATACAGTTTACAGCATCACTCCTACAACCTCCAATCACTACCTCGCTAAGATACATTTATGCAACTCTCGTGCACTTCTGTTCTTCTCACTTGTTCTCCTTGTCTGCTGCTGCAAGCCTGTCGTGCTCTTCTATGTCTCTGGTAGTACAGAATCATCGCCTTTAGCGATTTCCACCTTGCGTGTGATGAGAAAAAACTCACCCGGCCTCCCACGGATAATCCAGCCTGTAAAAGAGAAAACGATGATCGGTATTTCCGCAAAGCTAAAAAGCTCTCAAGAGCTTGACCGTCACTCACCAAAGATCGTCTATCTCAGCTCCTGCATAGTATCTAAAGCATGCGCTAGTCAAATCATGTGAGACACCCACACCACTTTTCATGCTCACGGTATGTCAGGCGGCAATTGAGCGAACTTGGGCTTCAATTTATTGTGCACCACGAAGATCGCAAACTTGGTGCGAAGAGCATCACGTTCCGATTCTGGAAACGCAGCCAGTTCAAGTTCGACGTCTTTTTGGAGCTCCGTCAAAGCGTAACTGAGTGTCGTTGAATCAGGAGTCAGCGGAATGGTAAAACAGTTCAGACGGGAACAATCCTACTGGAGGGTTTTTCGGGAATCATCAACTTCGTCCTGTCATCGATTAGCTCGTGTATATCTGATAAGACAACTCCGAGGATATCTGCTTACCACGATCAAGGCCCTTCTTCCAATCAAGGTCTTTCCCGAATCAGGGCCCCTGGGGAAGGAAATGTGGTTGGTGGATAAACATACGACCAACGCCAGCATACATACAACCATTGCGTCCGGATGACTTCACTACCGATTTGCTCTGCAGTCGTGCCTGGCAGAGATTCATACAAAGAGAGACCGATGGCTTGGATAGGGATGTTTCTTTTTGTAGAAGCATCTTTCAAAAAGGTACGCTGAAACGATGCCTGGTTATTCTTTCGAGCTACTATCGATGATACGGTGGCACCTACCAGAACGCGAGCGGGAAAGAAACCACTGTTTCAAGATAACCATAGCTCGACGAGTTAGAAATTATGGAAAGAGGGTACTGTACTAACCCTCCACCTTAAGTCCAGGGCCAGATCAGCAGATGGCCTAGATCAGAAAAGCCGAAACACGTACCAATAGCTATGAGCATGTTTGGCTTGAACTCTGCTATTTTTTCAGCTGAGACCTTGATGATATTGTGGATGTCATTATATGTTGCATGGACATGCTTTGGCTCTGCCATGGTTATAAACAAAGAAGAATGTCGTTAGTAGGATGACAGGTGAAATTTTCATGGCATCACTGATTATCGACCGGGCTAAGAGATAACTGATAACCACGTGCGATACCAATAAATAACTGCACTTCTGTTCCCGCCACCACTCATTACAGAAATGTCTGCAGAACAGAATTCACAACAAAATGCAGGTCCATCCTCAGATGCAGGCCCTTCATCAGGCTCAAAAGCTATCACAAGCATGGCCAAAAAACAGTCCGAAGTCACCAGACAGGGAACTCAAAGACTAAAATTCGTGCCAACCATACCTGCTCGTAGGAAAAAGGAGTACGGTAATCACGCAATCTATAGCAGCCAAGTAGGCTAACATATCTCATACAGGGAAGTCAAACCAGTGCGTCTGTAACTTTGCATCATCTTCTTGGTGGTATAACGCCCACTTATAGGAACCAACGACACCGGCGATTCCTGCAGCTGGAGATAGAGGACGCGGACGAGGACGAGGTCGTGGCAGGGGAGGCGAGGGACGCGGTGCTGCTCCTCGTCCAGTAGTTGAGATGACTGCCAGTGGTCCATTCGCCATGGGTCCTGCTCTCGGAGGCACGTCAGCACGGCGTAGTGCACCTCGGTCGAATTTCACACCCATAGTCCCACTCGGTCCAAGTAACGCGTCCGCACTCGGCGCAGGACTCTCAAACACCGCCGCACCTTCATTAAAAACAGAAAGGGAGAACGTGTTGCACGGGAGTGCAACTACGAAGGACCAAAAGAAGGCCGATGACGACGAGGAAGTATACTCGGATCCTGACGATGGAGTACAGATTATTGACATGGAGAATGTGAGGCAAATGGATTGGATGGCCCCGGAGAGTCTCAGGAAAGAAAGAAAAGATGGGAAAAAGAAAGCAGTTAAGATTGAGAAAGAAGAGCTCGAATTGCCTGAGGCTCTAAAAGGGAAAGGTACGTATGGCAGGTCATTTCGTATGATGCTATGCGATGACGGGGGAAATATCTAGAAAAAGATATACCACCAGACCTGGAGGAAGAAGCTCCTGCTGGCGAAGTTGATCTAGCGAACGCGCTCGACCTGAGCGAAAGTGAGGAGGAAGAAGAGCTTGAAGACCTCATCGAGGATTTTGCTCTGCAAGCCAACATAGAGGTATGTGAATCTTGTCATCATTCAATCATTCACCACACAATCCCTGACTATCATCTACTTAAATAGGGCGACGTCAATATGAGACAAGAACGCTTGTATTTCTTCCAGTTCCCCGAACCTTTCCCTACATTCCTTCCCCCACCACCGCCTCAATTTGGACCTGTCTCGATGGACTTGGATGCTCCCGACCCCGCCCCTACATCTGACACTAAAGGTAAAAAAGTCTCTTTTGCTCCAGGCGTCAAGCCACCTGCTCCAGGTTCATCGACAGACTCGGCGCGCACCTCAGCTGTTCCCGAAGGTGAGGTGGTCAAAAAGGAGGAGGCCGAAAAGGTCGACGGGATCATAGGCCAGCTAGAAGTCTATCGAAGCGGGGCTGTCAAGATGCGCCTGGGAAACAACATCGTCATGGACGTTCGTCACCTATACTTTATGTACTCCTGGCTCCTAATTACTTATGTACCCATATATTTTTTACAGGTTTCTGCTTCTACCCAACCATCATTTTTGCAACATGCTGTGTTTCTCGACTCGGTGAATAAACGGCTGAACGTCATCGGAGAAGTTAACAAGAGATTCGTCGTCTCACCCAATATTGACACACTACTGGAGGTTATGGAAGCTGCTGATCGCGGAGCGGCTGAGAAAGTAAACGACGATAATATTAATTAGGATGGACACTGTATAATTTACAAGAATGCACGGGTAGCAAATGACATCTACAGAAAGCACGATTACAAATCAATTTTTAGATACACATACGATGAATCGACGGAAAGACAACATTTAAGCAATCAAGAAAAGGAAAGAAAAACGGGGGAAAACAGAAATCAAGAAAAAACATTTCTATGAATCACGATTGATTGGGCCTAGACATCCCTAGATGAGAAATGAAATCGCGCCAGATTTCTTCCTGGTTGTACTCTCGTGTGGGTATATTTTCAGATTGAGCATGTCGTTGGAGATCAGGTTGGCGCGGCTGGATGGTCTCACTGCGTCCCGACTGCTGATACGTAGGTTGTGTGCGCTGGTTATCCCCATAAGTCATTGAATCTATGTGTTGGCCAAGATCGAAAGATTGCGAGGGAGTATTGTAGTCCTCTGAACCACTAAGTGGAGACAAACTGTATTCGCCTGACGTTTGATCTCCTACATACGGCATATCAAAGTCCTTAGTCGCAGGGAGTACAAGCCCTGGGTTACCGAGTGCACCATAGTACTCCATGAGAGATGGGTTTGCAGAACCGAATTGCTTGATAAAGTCGTCGCTCGCGTGACGGAGAGTGTGGTAAGTACCACAATGCGGAGAGGATGTTGCATGGGAGGCAGGAGAAGAAGATGGTGACTTGTTGGTTATGATGGATTTACGTCCTCCGAGGACTTCAAGCTCATCTGGTGCAGAAGGGTTACTTGATGTAGGACTACTTCTATCCAGTATGCCTGTCTGTGCAGCTGTGAAGGTTGCAAAAGCACGCTGACGTAACTTTTGAAGCATTGTCTAGGAAAATGTGAACACAAGTCCAAGTGACAACGACATTGGAGTGGGAACGTACGATAGTGGCTGGTGGTCTGCAGTTGACGGACCCTTCATCATAAAATATAAGTGCTTGATCCAGCTCTTGCAGCGCATTGCGGGCCAGGCTGCATCGAGGACTCTCCACAACCAAGGCACCCAGCAAAATCTACAATCTCAAGTCAGCAAGAAAGAGAAAAGAACACTACGATGACGACTGACACATGACGAATATATTCCTGACCAAAAGAACCACTGTAGGCTCGTTGCTAGTGGATGGACGGCATACAAACCCCTGAGACTCGATATTAAACGGCATGCACTACGATATGCAGCCAAAACTGAAGGTGCATATTTATGCGTTAGGGGATTGTTAGAAGCCTCGCGCGTAGCTTGCGCAAAGTAGCTCCTGTGGATGTAAAGCAAGTCTACGTCGGATCCCAACATGAGCTACGAAATTTGATAGACACAATGAAACTCACTCGACTCCCTCACACATAGAGCACAGTATTGTTGCATTGCACGCGTGCGTTCTGAGGACCACGCTCGCCCCGCTTCAGATACCTGCATAGGAGATTGGAGGTGATTTGGTAGAGGGAATTTCCGGATATTCCTGTCAAGTTCTAGTACAGTTGAGTAGGAAGGTACTCTGGCGCTGAAAACGTGTTGGACAGAGATGGAGAGACAAAACGCGGAGTATCGGAACTTCCATGCATGCCCTGCACAAGATATCAACAACCCAGCAAATGATTAAGGAAACAAATCAACATACAGCCCATCTCAACGTTGCCTGAAGGTTTGAGAGTGGGATCAAGATCGTCGGGGAATCGACAGTCGGTGTGATTAATGCTCAGAGAAGGTGGTCTGCCATTGACGACACTCTGAGAAGTGAAAGGTTTGAGCTTGATATTCAATGAAAAAGAAAGAAAAAAGGGCTTACAGTCCAAGCGTCGAATGTATATATTTCCCAAAACAATACACGCCTCCTCTGGATTTCTTCATGGCCTAGATTCCATCCAGCACTATCTCGTTCTGTAATGTTATCAGCTCCATATCTACTTCTTTGGAAGGACGCTCTTACGCAGCCCAATCTTTGAAATAGACACGTGATCAATTAATAAAACATATTAATCGAAGATGGAATTACACTCACAATCTGAGCGACTCTCGAACACATGCCCACCAAAAGCCATCTAGTCTCATTATTGGTACGATCTGAAATGTAAATATACCTGACTATCATCAATAGCGCTTGTACAGTGGCACAGGTGGCTTCTTGCAATACAGAGTCAAGTCCAAAAGAGGCCAGCGCAAGTGCGCGATACTGTTCTGCAATGACAGCCGCTGATGGGTGATTATCATATAGGATACCAGATGCGAGGAGCATAAAAAACACGGATATGCGGTGAGAGTGAACACTGTCAACATTAACGATACCAGTGTTGCCATATATCGGGACCATGATGGTGGTCATGAAATCATTGCGTACGATAGGGTCATACCTACATATAAGAATGCATCATCAACGACAAGGAAAGTTAAGCAAAGATAGCTCAGCCACGTACATCCAGGCGACATTATCATAGTACAGTTCAGCCAGCTCTAGAGCACGTTCACGCGTGGGTAGAAAGGATACAAACTGGTGCTTTGTGTATGGACAGTCCCGTAACCCGAAGGGGAAAGCATTGCAGAGATCGACGATTTCATATGGCAGGCCGAGATTTTTGGCATCTTGTAGCATACGACGTTCATTTTGTTCGGGCTAATGAAAAGTTCAGCTAGCTTATCTGGGGAAATGTAAATATAACCGACAGGAAGCAACTCCTGGAAGTACTGCGTGACGGAGATAATGTTAGAGTTGAACCGGGACTTTGGCCAAGGAAGCATTACCTCTGATCCTGCTGATTCGCCATGGTACTTTGCCTGGCCGTCGATACCAATTGAGAGCGAGCCGATAGCGTCGGATATGCCTTCGGCTTCTTGGTCAAACAGCGTCTGTAAATTTAGTTGTTCACCGTCATCATCTTTGACCACGGAAGGCCGGAGGAGTGGGTGTGATCCGCTTGCACCGCCGGTGCTCTTTTGAGCCTCCTGTAGAGCATGCTCTAATTCTTTGATTCTATCAGTCATAGACTTTACTTGGTCCGTCAGGCGCTGTGCATGAGCCATGAGAACCCTAGCCAAAGTTAGACTCCGAGTCGGACAGATGCTCTACATAACCGAGATGAACAACACATACTTGTTTCCCTTAGTGGCGCTTAGAGTCCCTGGAGATAAAAGGATACAAAACGTGTAGTCAGAGTCGAGGAGGTATATAAAGTGGGGTTACTTACCGTCTGGACAGATGTTGCCACACCCTCTCCGAATGCAAGACTGACACGGGAATACTCTGAAACACCAAGATAGTCAGAAAAATAGGCTCTAGCTGGCTACAATGGTGAGCACCTGTCACATTTCAACTTTGACCTGCATGAGGTATGTTGGTGTGATGTCATGGACTGGGTATTGGACATATGGAGCGTACCTGCGACACTCTGCACACGAGAGGCCACCTTTACGTGCGATGCTAGCTGAGCCTTCTGCAGTGGAGTGTCGTTTGCCGGGGTCGAGGTTGGGATTCATGGTCGATGTGCGGGAAGAAGAGAGAGGGAAGGCTGTTGGAACGAGCGACGCCTTGTGCTATTGAGCTTTAGCAGATATCCGTTGGCATGTCTATTCTGGCCAGTCGTGGATCCCCCTATAGCAGCTATATGTCTACAAATTTGCTGACAGTCCAGATGCGGTACCAGTCAGACCTCGATTCACCCATGCGCGCGGAGTTTTACCTCACCGCCTCGCTTTTTTCCTATTCACACATTGCACAAACGAAAGTCTCAGCTCTCGACATCGAACTCCCAGGTATACACAAAAATGTCAACCGGATATCTGATTTCATTGCCGGTGCGTTTTCAGTCCGATCGTATCGTAACAGAGCGTCAACAGTCATGGCAGCCAATCATCTTATTTCAGGGTATCACGTCCATCCGACCTGTGTGCTCTCTAATTCGCCGTCTAACCATTTATTGTCTTGGACTTCCTGTGGCACCTACGAATCCCCAGCCGAAAACAAGCTATGTACCGTGCTTTTTTACTGATTTTTAATCTGTTACCTTTACCTTCAGTGCCATGCTAGGCAACACATATGCATCGAACCTTGACATAAAATACAGTAGGTCCTACGAATGTCCTACGTTCTAAGCGGAACAGTATTTCAAACATCGCCTATATCATCGGACAAGTTATCCCTCACGGCCCAGGGCCGTCATCAAGTAACTAAGCATGCGTTCATGTCGAGGAGATGGTATGCCAGCCGTAATACGAGTGCATTGACGTGGACGGGCTTTAAGTGAGGAACTCAATTCAATCTGACGTGTTGACTTTGTCATAGCACACTTACATTTATTTGACATGACGAGATAAACTTATTTCATTTTCGCAAAATCGTTGCAGCAAACGACGTCGGGGTTGGGATGTGCACCCACACTGAATAATAGAACTGAGGGTAGACACTGAAAGAATTTTTAGAAACATCCGATTCATTTTACAAGTACTCGTTATATCGATGCTACAATACAAACCTGCAAAGGAGAGAGTCAGCAACAAAATATTGGCAAATCGAATGAAAAACCAAGAAAGAATCAGAAAAAGCGGGAAAGATCCTGCCAAAGCAAGTCCCCCGAAGGTAGCTGAGATAGGTTTCTGCACTGCAGGGTGCGCTCCTGCATAAAGCCAAATGCCTCAAACATCATAGACAACGAGAAAAAAGTGTCTCGCAGTCAAAGTAAACAATACTCACATAATACAAACACAGAATGTCGCGGACAACAGCAAAGTTGAATAACGTTTGGAAAAGAAAACGGCGTGGGAAGGTTTATATACTTAACGGTACAGCCTAACTCCGACGTATCCCGCCTTGATTTTACTCCGCTCGTCCCTCCAATATCATGTCGACACCGTTTTCAGACTCGTCTGCGTCCCAGTCCCCCGCCTTCAACTATTCCACTGCACCCTCACTCCCGCCTCAGTCATTCACAGATGCAACTCAGGCAGCCACCCCAGCTGTAGCCAGCACCAGCACAGCTGCTCCTTCCCAACCACAAACGCGCCAGGCTGCTGAGGAGGCACGCAAGGATCGTACCCTCGCCGAGTTCCTCTTATTACTCGATGATTATGAACCTTTGGTGCGCATCGGCTATCATTCTTGTACTCGTGGGCCATTGCTTATCGCAAAGTCTGCGGCGAATTGGCTGTTCTTTCAGATTCCTAATGAAGTCACAGATTACTATCTGCAGCGGGTAGGCTTCGAATGCGAGGACGTTCGGTTGTGCGTCCCTGTTTGCCTTGACTTCCTTTATATCACCCTCTTACTAATTAATTGTTTCTAGAAAACGTCTTCTGTCCCTCGCCGCTCAAAAGTTTGTTTCTGACATCGCCGCAGACGCCTATCAGCATGCTCGCATACGTACAAATGCTGCAGGTGGACGAGCGCGTGCCAATCAGCCCCTTTCCGGCCCAGGTTCCGCAAAGGTGTGTTTTGTACCTAACCGTCTTACGTCCTATCTTGACAACAGCACAGGATAAAACGAGAACCACACTTACCATGGATGACTTGAGTGCAGCCTTGGCGGAGTATGGCATCAACTCCCGCAAGCCAGAGTTCTACTTGTAGGTACGTGAGGTGTATATAAGTGCAAGTCAGCGAGAGGTGGGACATTCCTTTTTCATAGTTTGTATATTGTGTGCTACATTTAGATTGTGTATAATACGACAAAATGCTTTGCTACCGCAAATGCCCATGGTTGAGGTGTGTGTCAAGTAACGACAGGTATACAATAAATATAAGAAAAATATCGGGATAGGGGACAATAAATAAACGAATCAAAATCATGCATGGCTCTGCGAGAAGGAAAGAGGGATCGAACACCGAAAAACACTCATGCCCACCCTCATACCACTGTCGTGTCCTGCATAATGAACCCGTAGTCCTGCAACTGCGGGCTGACGGTGATTTCTGTGACCTCGTACGTCATTTGCAGTCCATCGTGTGTCGCACCAGCCTTACTCCTCTCTCTCAGCACACCCCACTGCACCCACCAATCCTCCGCCGCTTCCGTCGCGCTGTATCCAAAAATTTCACTGATTGCCTCCCACTGATCACGCCCTGTTGTTTCATCCCGAGGATTGTGCACGTTGACCAGCATCGTATGCAGCACTCGATCCCGTTCCACTTGTTCTGGCCCATTGGGCGCTCGCAGCGACTCAAAAGATTGTTGCTCGTAAACGTTTACGGCGTGACATCGCTTATAGCGCAGTTCCTGGAAGGCTTCAGCGAGACTCGGAACTTGATCCCAGTCGTTGAGGCGAGAGAAAAGAATGCCGAGGACTTCAGCATCTTCGATGTGAATACTGCAGCTTTGAGTCCCACAAGCCTGAGAAGAAAGCGCATGAGGGTGCAAGGTTTTGAAAATTGAAAGGACAAGAAAAACCTACAAAAAAAGGATGTGCGGCGTCGCCTATGAGGAGAAGCCTTCCAGTCTCGTCTGCCCAGTCTTTGGCAAAGCTCTGCTTTACAAATTTCTCCCGCTGGCAGGTGGTAGATAGAGAGATTAGCCGCTGCAACCTGAGTTTCATACACTGAGCTGCGCCCTGTAAGGTTTAAGTGGATATGTCCGAGCGCCTACCTTGGGTCACAGCCATCTAAACACAAATTTTTGACCGGCCATGGCACATACCATCCCTCTAATTTTGCATCCTCCTCGTCCAGTTTATCATCTGGCCAGGTCAGCTGAACACAAAATTCACTTCCTCCACGCTGCATTTCGACGGTATTTTAGTGAAATAAATTTCTCTCTAAGAATGAATTAGACTGACCACAGGATGGGCTGACGAAGAAGATTTAGTGTTAGTTTGGCTCATTCCTTGGATTGATATACGTGCATACCTAATGCACTACAACCTGAACCCATCCATATCGGATACTAAATTATTCATCAAGTCATTGTAAACGCTTGTGCCATGAATGACATACCTCAGGCCCCCGCTGGCTCTCTACATTAGACAGGGCGCAAAGCTCCGGATCATCTTTGAGCATATCTCTGGGAACCATTGCTCTGTACGTCATACATCCACAGTATCAGTATACTCGCACGAGCACTCGTACAGGATAATCTCATACTCACGTGTACAAGCTAATACCCGACGGTACGCTTTGGACTACCTCCCCCTCAATAGTCTCTCTAACGATACTATGTTTGCCATCCGCACCAATGATAACGTCTGCGGTAAATTCCTCGCCGCTCGTCAGTACTACGCGTGGCGGTTCAGCGCTAACGCTAGCAACATTGGAATTATATGAAACACGAGCGCCACACGAGATAGCCAGGTCGTAGAGCATGCGATGGAGGTCTTCATACTGCAAGAGGGGTGAGATACGAAAATGCCACGGCAACAAAGACATTCACGTGTAATAGGAGAAACTCTGCTCCCGACTCTTGAAGTACGTCTTCTTGCCACTCAAGGTACCCAACCACGTTTCCACTGTCCACTGTTCATAAATATTTAGCAAGTTTAGAAATAACTAGTATATGTATTTTTAGAGAGGGGGCTTACTCGAATGAAATAAACTTCCTCTCACTCGTACCGCTTGCGCCTCCTCTACAAGTTTATCTGCAAGACCCCATTCTACAAGCACTTTGGTGAGGTTTGGCGGACAGCGTATGCCACCTGAAAGCTAGAGTCTATTATGAATCGCTGAAACGCCTAAAAGGGACCGAATTTACGGACTTTAGCTGGCCCTGGCGCTTTTTCGAGGACATGAACATTATGTCCAGCCTCGCTTAATCTGTAGGCTGCAGCGAGACCCGTAATACCTTCGATGATGATGATGATGGTGATGATGAGCTGGATCACATTGAGCGGGGAACCGACTCTGTGACTCACCTCCACCGACGATAATGAAGTCAATGTTCAATGCGGCCTTCCTGCTCGAAGTCGACATGCTTCGATTGCGAGATTCAAAGAGTAAAGGCGTTTGGCCGAGCGGAAAGGTACTGGGAGGAGGTGAAGGTGAAGAGGGCATAGTAGAATCACATCCGTGGGTGGTAGTATCAGAAGTACCGGATTTCCGGCGCCCCTGGGCAGTGGCAGCCTGTGTCAGGGAGATAACAGTGTTTATAGCACTCATGAGAGAAAATGGGCGAATACAAGAATGCCGTGCAAGCGGTCTGTTAACTTTTACGTAGGATGGTTGGACTAGCAACGACGCTTGAGCTGATGGTATGGCGTTGAGATTACTGGCAATGTGGCTGGAGATGACAAAATCTTGATTGAGAAAGTTGAAAAGGGAATGCCCTGAGTACCAATGATCATGAGAAAAGGTTGTTATTTAGTTCCCCCGAATTCATCAAAAGGTGATCTAGATCACAACACCCCGAAGAACAGATTTGAGACGTGCCTTATGTGGATTGTGCCGTCCCGCGCGTCAAACCCCAGTCAAACTGAGTTAAAGTTTGTTGCTGACCGGAAATCAGCTTCCTCCTGCCCAGCTAATTTTCTGCACTCCTGATCACAAGATCAACGAAAGATAGGAGAATCAAAGGGGGGGGCAAGAGGAGAACACCCACCACTGTTGTCTTAAACTTTATCTACGCAGAAAAAAAGCCTTGAGGGTGATCTGTGAAAGTCATTCTAAGACACTCATCATCCTTTTCTTTCGTCCGCGGTCCGGTGCTAATTTGATATTCGCGGCCGATCACGTGCGTCCTGGTGCACCGACTCACATGTACGGCATTGGTAAAACCTTCGCCCTACTACTAGCAGTTATTGGTCTCCTCCATTGTGATGCACCGTATCAGAAATATGATGGCCGTCAGTAGCGCCATCATCGTGCAACAATCCTGTTAGGCGGAAGTAGAAGGGCGGATTTGTCCCTAATCAACCGAAGCTGCCAGAACTCTTCGAATAGTAGCAAAACCTCACTCGACCACATGCAGCACCGATGCTATCACAACAGCATGTCACCGAGAACCGGTGCAGGTAGCGCTAGCAAGAACGAAGTCGTCATTCCTTTCTTAATTCAAAGCCTTCATGCAAGTTATCGACGATAAATAAGTCATACGTACCGTCTATGTTGCAGGACTAGTTCGTGCATCCATGAGTGGAAAGGCGTCGAATATTATGTAGCGCCCGTTAATCTGCCATCAGAATCTCATCTCAATACAACTTGCTGTCTCGCGACATGCCATAATGGTAACGCTGTATCCACCAGTAGCTTTCATGTCGTCGGTTTTGTACTAGCATCAAGCGTGAATTAGTTCAGATGAAGTCCTTGACCTATCTTCTGGCAATCAACACGCGCCGGTACAGCACAGCCCTCGGTCATGGTTACACTGCGTCCTGCGATTGATGAAATGTCTAGGATTTCTCATCACGAAGGAGTGTCACCCCATTGGGCGACGGTGGTGGATTCGAACATAATGGCATCAGAATGGCACGGTTACATGTTCTGTGGCGAGTAAACCGGCGGCTCTCCAGGATATTAAAAGTCATGGGCAGTGTACTGCGCCGAAGAACAATAACAGAGATCGACAGATGATGCCGAAGAATAAATAGGTCAGAACATTTCCTCAAGATTGATTCAACAAATAAAGGCGAACCTTCTACACAAGAGCGACACGAGACACTGCATTCATCGTCTTCAACAAAACATGGAGTCACACCATCACCGTTTCCGGCCCCACTGAGAATGCCGAGGGTCTCAAAGACTTGTACACAGTAATTTATAATATGCGTCCAACGCTCGAGACCATTGTTCACCCGTCACGAGATACTCGAGCTGCTGATGTCTAGCAGAACTGTTGGTAGGCTGCGAATCCGTGCGCCGCTCCCTAGCATGGTGTGCCATACCGAACACATTCACTACCATGCGCCAATTGCAACGAGTGTAAGTACTAACGTACTGCCTCCATCATGTGAAACGTGTGATGTGTTGTCGACAAATATTGCCTAAGGAGTTGGCGCTAGAATTCCTCACCACGACATTCTTTCTTAAAACGACAAATCTACACAGCTTGTATTTTGCTTTCAAGGCTGTTCGTCAGATGGGAATTGGAGGTGAAGCTGCGCCGAGATGGTAAGAGCGCTCAGTTCATCATCAACTGCCTTTCGTCTGGGCCATGTGATGTAAAACTGTTCGATGCAATCGCGGCCGCGTCCTATATTTAACAGCAAGAAACATACTGATCTCGGACCTGTATGAGACGGTGCAGCCGCATCTATAAATGTGAATGGCTCAATGAACTTCGTGGAAACATACTGCGCGCATGATGATTGGATAAGAGCGTGAAATGGAAATCTCGTCAGCTAACGGGCCATGATTGCATCATGGAAAGATGGGAAGGGCTGACTTGCTGATAAATATTATCCGCAATTGTTATAATCCCGATACATCAACTTCGCATAGCGGCATCCATGGGAGTTCGTACGTAGTGTTTCAACTGTCGACCTACGGAGAGGAATAGGTTACTCAGGAAAGGCAAAGGACAACAACAGCATACCTACATATCCAGAAGATGTGGTGAACATGAGCTTTATGGATAAATAGTGTTAAACTTCACTTAGATTGTAATAGGCCAGTCTGTCTCGCCTACTGTATGCATTATGCTAGTTTGATGATACAAATGTAGGCTATTCAGATGGCAACTGCATTTAAGGCGAGAAGATTCAGATAGACGGCTACGCCAGTCTAAATCTCCACAACTATCAGCAATGTGGAGTAGACCTCAAGGATAGGTTGTTAATATGTGGAGCTAATAGACAAAATTCCGTAGAAGGATACCTAGGTTTGCTCGTAAAGCATGTAACTTCGTAAGCACCAAGCGCAGCATTCACTAGTCACGGCCTTCGCTTCACCTTAAGCCTCGTGTTCTGTATAAAAATTACAATACATATTTAGCATCGAAATAGTGCACTATTGCTCACCTTTACCACCTATTGATACAATTTCTTTACCCACCTCATTGATACTTCGTCTCTAACTTATTTCCCAATATGCGAATCTTGTACCTCGCTGTCGTCCTTGGTATATTTGCTGCCACTGCGTCTGCATCTGCAGTGGGTGATGGGTAAGCTAACAGAAAGAAATCACACGATCATGGGCTAAAGGGGAGACCTACAGTAAAACAGATGTCCTAAAGGCACGCTCATCATGCCCTTGCAGTGGTGGATGTCAGAGCGGATAGGTATGTTGCGCACTGAGATGCGGTTGCGGGAGCTTGAGCGACACGACCTGCATTTAATTCTTTGATGGGTGAGTGGCAGGGCTTCTGGTCAACAGATGCGGAGTGATAATTTTTGATGATAGAATCGCACACCCTCATGGGAAGTATGTGTTATAGCAGCAAATGTATTGGTTTTTCCCCCAGAATCCAGACGATGTGAATAGAGAACTCACTGTGCGAGCTTTATTTCCCTTCCATCTCTTGTGAGCATAGATATATGAACTATGATAAAGAGAAAGAAAAGATATCCAGTTGCTCGTATGAAGTTTTACTCGAGCGTAAATAGGTTGCGCTCAAACTGGATGAAGCTCATGATTCGTATGGCAGGAGTTGGCTCGCAAGATTGCATTGTCGACTAATTGTCAACAATTATTGTGAAGTGTGTTTGTTCGTAGTCGTCAGTGTATTGAAAACCAAGGAAGGCGGAATCTTTTGCGGTGGCCACAGGACACATAGACTGGGGTTAGGGTTATCGTCATGTGCGATCGCTTCCCCTTTGTCGACGTTTACAACGACGAACAAGCATTCTTTTTCATACGCCATCGTTGTTGCTGACGATGACGCTCAAGCTAAAGCCCACCAGCAAATCACCCTCGCCGTTCTCGTGGAACACCCTTGCGCCTTCGACGCCTCCTCGCTCACCTGCACCGGACCTGACGTCCCTCCCTTCCCCGCCAACTTCATGGCTCTCCGCACGCGACATGAAAATTTACGGCGCACAGCCGCTCAGGTCGGATATAGGGGTCGTAAGGTGTAATGATTGCGACAAGCCCATTCTTAAAAGTGCTGCCGCGGAGCATGCCAGTACGTTCCCCTTCTTCGTGCAGCATATACCCACTTACTGGATTGATCGTCATAGAAAACTGCTATGATATCCGGATTGGGAAGAAAGCCGTGAAAGGCAAAGTTAGCGATGTCGAAGGTCTGTACATTGTTGTTCATCGATCTTATCAAATAGCCTACTTATACTTCGCCACCAAGCAAGGCAAGAAACGTAAAGCTGAAGATGAGCCAGAGGACCCTTCACAGCCCAACAAGAAGAAAGCCAAGCCTGCCACAAAGGTTACCAAGGGGCGATTTAAAGGTCCCGTTGACTACGACAAACAGTGTGGTGTAATTAATGATAAGAATCTTCCCTGCTCTCGCTCGTTAACTTGCAAATCTCATTCGATGGGAGCAAAACGTGCTGTCCAGGGTCGCTCAAAAGCATACGATGAGCTTCTCCTCGAGTGGAATCGTGCAAACAATCCAAATTGGGTCGAGCCTGTAAAGAAAGAAACCAAGGCAGAGAAGAAGGAAAAACGTGATAAGGAGAAAGCAGAGAAGAAACGTCTTGCGATGGAGGCTGCTGCTGCTGCTGGGATTGACCTTAGCAAAACTGTTGGCCCCAAGAAGGTGGGGAAGAAAGCTGCTGCTGCCGCTGCGGCAGTAGCTGCGGCCACACGTTTGGCGGAGGGCGATGATGGTACAGAGAACCTGGATGACATCGACTCGGAGGTCGAAGTTGATGCAATGGTGAAGTCGGTTCAGAACGCACGGTTGAAGGGCATTATAGGAGTCCCATTAGCAGTCCCATGCGATGCAGGCTCGTGGTTTGTAGCGCGCAGGGAACGGCTAAGGAACTGCAGAGACCTTCTGGCTGGCGCCCTCATGCCTAACGGGAGAACTGGGATAGCTGGCGGTGTCACTACTGGCGCAAGGCTCACATAGGTGGGCTCAATTCAGTTCATCATGTGCCTGATATCGACTGAGGCATAATGCGTTGTCTTTGTCAGGAGGCTTTTATTGTCTCTTTTCATCTGTATCGATCTCGACACCCTTCCTGTGCTAGGCATAACAACCCACCCGCCATTCCGTCTTTGCATTCCAAGTACCCTTGTAATTTTGTTGTCAGACCATTTATCGTGTACTCGCCACGGACTCTCGCACTATCATTACACACATCGCAAGTAACTATTTTCTCATGAACTGTTAATTTAAATCATGTAGCTTTTATAAATACCATCCCCCTCAGATATTGCATTCTCCCCCCCTGTCCGCAGAATGAGTGTTCTATGAAAGCCATTCGCATCTTCTCATAGTGTAATAGTCCAAAATAAACTCATAGGATCCTACTCATGCTCAATGTTGCGAATTCAAGTCAAAATGAAGTGCTATTCAGAGGCATCTAAGTAGTTGCGAGGGACAAGCACGTACAAATACAAATCGAATGAAACTGATACTTGTCGCCTACATAAACACCATTACATTCTCAAACCCATGGCTACTAGAAGGAGAATTGGTGTGAGCATTGCAACATCAGAGGCTGCACGCCGCCAGTTAATGCAGCCCGTGGTGTGCTGGGAAAAGGCTTGGGTAACACCAGAACATGCAGCTCCAAACTCTTCCATGAAGGTGTTCAAATGGATCCAGACCGAAAAGAAACAAGTGAGTTCGCACATCTCAACAGCGGTAGATATCACGCTTATGTGTAAAGTTATAAGCAATTTAGTGACGATGAAGGCGAAATGGATGAACCGCTGGCGCCATTGCCAGACGAGCCGGAGGTTGTGGAGGGCGATGAAGAAATCATGGACCAGGACGAAGTCGCCCCTTCTGTAGCCCCAGAAACGGCATCTGCGGTAGATATCACAGAACCGAACTCGGTCGTCCCAGATATACCAGAAGCATCCACGAAGCCTCCCTCTCCCCAACCTCCAGCCCTTTCTCTATCGACGCAAGAAGACCCAGCAATGACGGCGGGAGACGCAGAAACTGTTGACGTATTGGAACCCTCACTTGCGCCTTTGGGTGAAGCAACTGATGCGGCTGTTGGATTGGATGAGAAGACGGAACCTGAGGGAGCTGAGAGTCTCGATCTGACCGCGCTGGGTCCGGATGGGACGTCATTTGAAGGCGTGCATGATCTGAGTCAGTTGGAGCCTACAGATGCATTGATGGGTGGTCCTATGATGGATGACTCCATGGATCCTTTCGCAGGGCCACTGGAGGAGGAGACTGAACAAAATGTGGTACAGTAATCTGGTATTTGTTTCGTACGTTGTCTGTGTGTTTACTCGAAAAAAAACTGTTGTAATTCTAACTTTCACCTCCAACCGCGTTCTCTTCACATATGTGCCATTATCTGAGGCTATAAAATAATGCTACTTTTTTGTCTTTCGTTTTACTAACTAATTCAGCATATTATGCATGATGGCAGCTGTTTTCAAAGCGCCAGTATATTCCCTCTCGGTGTAATATTCCAGTGCGTTTACTATATTGAACACTTCCCTTTGCTTCCTTGATGTTAATTTTTGATTGGTGTTTTGCAAGGAACAGGGTTTGCTCTCATTTGGCAGATGCCCAAGCTATGAAAGATGTAATCGCGATAAACCAAAGCTACCATTACAGTACCTTCTCCGTTCATCAGTGCAGTTGTGTTTTCAATGTCTCGGCTGGCACTATCTCTCATATACCTCAATTCTCCATTCACTTCCTCCCAGTACGATGCACATATGACTGCTTGGCTCAGACCTAAATCATGTCGTGCGGCGAAGACTATGTAAATCGCTGTTTTAATAGCTAGCTGAGTATGCCAGTACCTCTGTTTCTCTGTGCAAAAATACAATATACGAAGGTCAGTCGTTTATTGTTCGTTAATCTTACCTCGCTAAACGGTCTCTTATACAAGCAGATTTCACCCGTGTTCTTCGCAGCTTAGCAAGAACGAGGCAAAGCCCACAAGTTACCTATGGGTCGATGCAAGTGCCTCGTCAACTACGAAAGAAGCACTGTGGCGTACCTGAACAATAACAAGATTCACTGCCTTTCCACATGAATCATCAGGTCTCCTGGATGTGTACGAAACGTGCCTTTCAAGATTGTAGCTGCGGCTCCGTGCAGCAGCAGCAGCTCCGGCCATTGGAGTAATGAACGAACTCAAAAATGTGCATGACATCAACTTGCAACCCCGAACGTAGGGACCTCAAAGCGCGCAGCAAGGTATTCCATAGCAGCCTCATGCGATGCAAGTCCGTGGTCGAAAACTGAAGGAACCTTTTGGCTGACGCTCTTATGCCCAGTAAGAGCAGCAGAGTAGCTGGCTGTGTTACTACTGGGGCCATCACAGCATGCATGTGTACCTTGACTGATGAGTTATTGTCTTGTTCTCGAGTAAGCAACCTTTGCCAACCATGTCGTTTTGCATCCATCTCGACCTTATAACACTGCCTTGCCTAGCAACGCTCTCAGCGCTTTATCTTATATATAACGAGGTGCCATCCAGACCACTGATTCGCACTTGCAAAAGACCCTCCCATTATCTTAGTACTCTCTAGCATCGATAAGTACGGTTTTTCATAATATATCGTGAATTGTGATAATGCAGCTTCGTAAACATCACAAATTGCATTATTTATCAGATCTAACTGAGCGCTCCATCGCATACATTCACAACCTTACATCGTGGAATGGAAGCCTATTCCTATGTTCATCGTCACGAAACTAGCTAACGTTGTCCTGCGGCCTCAAAGGTCCAAGTCGTCACTTGTATACGCAGTTTGTCTACACAGCAAAACACGAGTATATCTTCTCTCTGTGGGCGCTGTGGCGTCCAATGTGGGCGAAAAGTGCTTCCATTTTAACAAGATGGCGCAGCATAGCACGACTTGACAATTTTCTGTGAAGAACTTATTGAGTTGTGTTTCTCCGCTGACGCTTTGCTGCCTTCAAACGTTGAGTTACGCAGTAAGGACGCCTACTTGAGAACGGCGGGTTGTCGTGCGTAAAGCGAGAACTTGAGGGTTTAAAAGGCTGGCTGAAGAAGAGTTCAAAATTGACTCGGAGAACTACTCAAATCACTCTTACCATTATGGACTCATACCAGCATCCAGAAATCGACGGACGAAAAGACGGTCGAACATACAGAGAAAAGTGCGTTGAAGCCACGGATCACTGGCCCCATCCTGTACTGGCACAATCTATGGTTCATGCATTTGATGAAACACAGATTGAGCCTTACGGCTGGGTACACAGTGATCCAATAGCCGAAACAGAACAACCTGACCAAAACAACGTCGGAACTTCCTCGGGGGGACAACTAGCCTTGCCTTCGGGCGAAATTCCTGGAAATGAGGGAAGGCAGCGACGAAGCATGAGTGCCAAGGAACGACAGATAAATTCTTCATGCCGCACGAAGGAGCAACGACGGCAAATAAAGGAGCAAAAAGATAGAATTTCAAAGCTTCTTCCCCTTCGAAAAGGTCGTGCACCACCAAGCAGCGAGCTTCAGCTTTGGACAGAAGGTACGAGAAAGTAACCGTCCCTTTTTTATAAGTTTTGACGCAGTCCGTGTGTTGATAGCATCCGAATACATCGAACGTCTCCACGCTGAAAATGCCATTCTAAAGGAGAAAACTGAAAGAACCTCAGGTACTTCAAAGTGTTGCGGTCAATCAACCCAAGTCGACTGACCTTATTAATCCGCTAGATATTCCCCGTTCATGTTGGGAAGGGTCTCCTTTCAACAGCACAAGAATAGAACCAGTTGACATCACTGGGCCATCAAGTGCGATCGCGCTGGAAGATGCCTGGGCAACTTCGATGGCGCAAGCTACGAACTTGAACTGGGATCCATCCCTAGAAAACTATGTACCGCGAGGACCGTCGTATCAGGTACGATACAATCCGATACAAGAGACCAGCAGGTACTTGTCAGAATCGGAGGCGATGCCAGCCCCAGCCAATCTAGCGTTGGAACCCTTCACCCTTCCGGCTGGTCCTATCTGGGGTCCAGCAACGTCGAACTATAATTCGGCGCCGTGGAACTCAGTGCTTGGGCAGCACATGCAGACAGCTGTCCGAGACCACAACGAACTCCACCAAGAAGTCGGCTTAATGGGAGCTCGATTTGAGACCCAAGGCTCGACCGAGAGGTGGAGTGCGAGAGCCACGGACGGCGGAACGCAAGACCGTCACTCCACATCTGAGCAGCAGCCGAATGGTTACCAGGGAGGGGAACACCATGCTAATGCTATATTTCCCGGCCGATATTGACAATGGAAGCTCCAAGGCATCAATGATAAAAGCGTCACTAGAGACGTACCTACAATGTTGAATATGATCTCAATGGGTGTGAGGAGTTTACTAGATGCTAAAAGGAGTCCCTGATGTGGTGGGGAAGCAGTGGTACGAAATTTAGTCGTCAGCATGATGTCGTTTAAGTAGTTTTTGCGCAATCCGATTATGATGATCTTGAGCACAAATTTTACCCAAAAACAAAAGGCTAGGGAAATTTAGAAGGCTTATCAATAGACAGACACACGTGTCAATGATGGGGTGCGTATGCTGTACTACTTATATGTCAGGGGGAAAAAAACAAGGAGAATGAAAAACACTCAGCGACTCCGCACAAACGAACTTAAGGACGACCCAGATCAAGATAAATTAACTAAGGTCGCATGTAGATCAATATGGTGGGAAAATAATTTGACGCAGCGCTCGGTTGTGCGTATACACTGCGCCTAGAAAAAAAGAAAATAAATATTGAGACCCGTAGGTCTACCACTCCGGAAAAGCGTGTCATCCTTGTGCAGGGGCCATGCTAATCTTCTCTGTATCGTTCCAATTTTTACGTATGTCACCCCGAAGGGGACATTATCCTTGGGGATAGAGAGTGAACGACGAAAATAATTATGACTTTTGTTTGGTCGACGGGTGGTGGCGGCGCAGTGTTGCATATCCTAATCCGGTGCAATGTTACATAAGCTGATACACCTGCACGGTACACTTTCAAGTTATGTTCAAGGTCAGTGCCACCAGCAGACTTGATACGACGACTTGAAAAGCACCTTGTCCGAAGAATATAACGATGATCACTATACACTATACAAGGTCAAGCAGATGTGTGCAATGTCTTTTATGTCCTTTGAATGCCACAGAACGTTGAATAGTGCGCTGGGGATTCACGAATTTTGCTTTAGCTGATTCATTTATGATATATGTTCAACAGACTCGGAACCAAATGCATGCAATAGTTGCATGAGTCACGGGAGATACGCCTAGTATAGCCAAGCTCGTATTTGGTGTGTACTTGCGACTTCAGCTGGTCCACAACGTCTCGCATACCTTGGATTCCCGGTCGCTCCATGGCCCTCACCATACGATGTAAAGACGTGGATGGTAGCCGCTTTATATTTAAATACAGGAGTCATACAATACGGAGGCCTCGTTAAAGCTATTACTTTTAAAGAGAATGCCCGTACGTCCTTGCTGCCATCGTGTAGTATATATTTCTATTTCTCTGCTGATTGATTTGTAAAAAAAGAATCTAGCGTGTCATTTGGGTACTAAAACCCAGCACGCATTGTGCTAAGAAACGCACATTTGAATCTGACGACTTATCAAACCCCATAATCCGAAGGAAACAACCATGAAGACACAGGCCATAAAGGAGTATTGTCTTTCGAGCTTACAACATGAAACCAAGGCAAGGCCCTCATGCTGAGAATGACGTGCCGCTAAACAGAACATGGCGATGACTTCTGCCCCGAGGAGAGGAAAGATGCTGTCACTGCTGGAGCAGCTGGCTGCGGCAACTCGTTTGGCAGAGAATGACGAAAGGATCCAATAACTGACGAACGTCCTCTCGGAGGCCAGAGCAGTGAAAAAAGCAGTTCAACGTGCGCGATTCAAAGACGTCACTAGAACTCCATCAACGGCATGATAGAACATTCATGGGTATGGAACTGCGGTGACTTTTTCGCTGGAGTATCTAATGGGTGCAATAGAATAGCTGGCCGCCGGCTGTGTTATTACTAGCACGATATTGGTGAGTGCACACCCAATCCTTGGTTACTATCTACCTAATCCGAGTGAAAAGCTATTGTCGTTGTCCTAGCATGCCGCTCTTGTCACTGCTTGTTGTCTGTATTCATCTCGACGTCTAGCTGTGCTTTGCCTCGCAACCATTCGACGCTATTTCTTATATAGTATGTCAAGTCTTTCTTTCCCTCTGTGTTTATTGTCAACCCACTCATTATTATACTCGCAACAGATTCTCGCTATATTACTTGATGTATCATCACGAGGGCCTATTATTCGTGAATATCACTGTACAAGCCATGTAGCTTTTACAAATTCCACCTCGTCAGACATTGATCCCTTCCCAAGTCCGAAAACTGAATCTCCCATGAAGTGCACCCGCACCTTCTCGTGGTAGAATGGAAGTCACCCACCCAATCCTATGCTCGTCGTCGTCATGAGTGCTTTCCTACGCAACCCAAGATACGAGTATGCCGTTCGTACGTCGTAGTCTTTCTTCACAGCAAAACACGAGTCAAGCTTCTGAGTGGGCGCGGTGGCGTCGACCTAAGGTGAAAGGTGTGAAGTGTGAACCGACCCAACGAGAGGCGCAGCATGTCGGGACTTGACAGTGGGTCTTCAAGGAGTATTCGCGCTTTTTACTCCGCTGACTTTAGTGAATCGCGCCCTCAAAGGTCCAATTGCGCAGTTTGGACGTCTACCAAAGAACAGCGTACAACGAGGCTGGTGGCTCTGCGACGGTGGTTTTCTTCGTGCTTCTAGTGGAAGCTTGGAATATTTAAAGGTACGTCGACGAGGATGGACGAGAAAAAACAACTATCTCACTATCAATCACTCACATCAGCCTAAATCATCACTTTATCAATCCGACAATATGAGCTCACCGAACCAGCAGACCCGAGTCAGCACCGAAAACGAATCCTATCCCGTACAAGGAGAGGACAGAGTTGAGCGAGAAGGCCTTATATCCCATGCTGTTCTGGCACCATCTGCGTTTTATCAACAAGAAAAAACACAAACGGAGCCTTACAGCAGAACTGAATCCAGCCCTACACTCGGACAGATCCAACCAGACATGGGAGCATCTGCTTCTAGTTTGTTGGTTCAAACATCGCCAGTGGACAATGGACCAGGAGAAGGCGCAGCCCTCGTAGAGCCATCCGTCGGTGAGAGGGATCGACAAAGAAACAATCTTCGTATGCGAGGAATCCGACAACAGCTCAAAGACCAAAAGGACAGGATCAAACGGCTCATCCCACGTCGTACAGGTCGCGCACTCCCCAGTAGCGAGCTTCAGCTCTGGACTGCAGGTACGAATGCTCCGACTTGCCTCTCCCCGTAGAAATGACTGATGAATTATTTTTTTGACAGCGGCTGAATACATTGAGTACCTGCAAGCCGAAAACATCAGCTTGAAGGAACAGGCCAAAATTCAGGCAGCAGCCCCAATTTTACCCAAAACGCTCACCGGAAATACGAGCACCAGCTTCACTGGTTTACCGGAGATGTCCTACACGCCCTGGGACCCCGTCTCTAGCGAACGATATCCAAATATGTCAAATAATGCTGGACCATCAGTTTCTATGCCAAGGAACAACAATGTATTTCCTACAAGTGCGCCAACGATGACGTCGACACCAAATTGGAGCTCATTTTTGGCAAGCTACAATCCGGGAATGGTCTCCTCCCAAGTTCCAGTCCAGAGTACTTCAATGGAAGGAATGGGGGTCCAATGGCCGCCAATCGCAGCTGCTTCAGCACAAGGAAACATGAACTCGCAGTATTTCGGTTCTGCGTCTGATCCTGTCTGGGACCCAGTTATGCTGAATCACCGAAATGATTACTTGGCTCCCTGGAACGAAACACTTGGACAGTGCACGCCGACAGATGTCCACCGAATTCACACACCCAACCACGGAGTCGGACACACAGGAGCTCAATTCCAGACCTATGGCTCAACTGAGGGGATGAGCAGTAATTCCGCAAACAGCGGAACGCAAGACTATCAATTCGTATTCCAGCAGCATCCAGGTCACCAAGGAAATCATCTTTTTAGATAAAGAATGGAGCTGCGAGACGGAATGGCGCACGATGTGCTAATGACACCCCAAGGCATCAAGGGAAAATGCATCGCTAACGACGCACCTAAGATACAGTCCTGAGTCTCAACGGCTCCTGTCAACTTGCGTAAAAGTTAGAAAGGGGGGCTTGGAGGAAGTAATCGTGGATAGGAATGAGTTTGTGGAGAGGGATTAGTAGTTATCAAACGAGAGCATATTGATGCTGTTTTATAGAACTAGCGGAATCCGATTGCTCTGGTTATCTGGCGATCACCTCACACGTTTTTATCCACAAACAAAGGGTGTGGACGTTTTTCAGGATATGTCAGATCGATGAAAAGACTACGCGACATCGTGCCTTTCGTATATCAGAAAATTTACAAGAAGAAGGGAGAGAAACGACTCAGCGACTCCGCTGTTGTGAACCTGTGGACAATAAAGCAAAAATGAACTTGAAGACGACCCATATTAGGGTCGCTTACTCAGCTGTGCCAGCCACCAGCCTCGCATCTTGCCGTGGTCAACCTCAATTGTATTGAGCTGCTTGTACTATCAGGATCACAACGCTCATCGTGTAACTTCCAGCGAATCGCGTCAAATGCTCCACATCATTCTCCGGTATGTTTGATGTCCACATTCCTACTAATCATAAAATATTCAACGAGGCATCAAAGTGAGAAATGTCAGGCAAAACATGTGCATCAATGTGTGCCGCTCAAGAAATATGTAATAGGCCGAAGTAAAACATAGCAACTGGATTACAAGGTTGTCGAAATCACAAATTACGCGCTTGAAAAGCATAGCTAGGACTCCATTGACATGCAGGCTCACTCATGGTAGTGGAACTGCGAGCACTCTTGGCTGGCGTTGTCATGCCTTGTAAGAGCAATACCATAGCCGCATCTGTGGTATCAACGATATACGCAAATGTACGCCTGATTCTTCTTTTTGGTTGTTAACTGCCTAATTCTGACTGGAAAGCTGTTGTCTTGTTCCCCAGGAGGCAACGTTCGCTACACCTTGTGCGTCTGTCGGTTCACGGTATCCATCTCGACTCCTAGCAGTACCTTATCTAGCCCATCTCTTACAACACCTCGTCCTATAAATCTCTCGTGCGCTCTTCACTTTAATGTCAGGCTACTCGTTCTATACTTATAGCAGATTCTCGCATTATCAATATGCTCATCACGAGTATGATTCTTGGAAATACAGCTGATTTAAACCATGCAGCTATTGAAAGTGCCATCTCTAAGACATCGCATTCTATCCAAGTCCGCCACTTCTTCCATGAAGTGCACCCGCACTTTTTCCCGGTGGAATGGAAGCCATTTCACCCATTCCTATGCTCATCGTCACTAAAGCCCCCTGCGGAATCAATCGTGCAAGACATGCTGCTCGTACAGCTCAAAGTCTTTCTACACAGCAAAACATGAGTCTACCTTCTCTGTGGGCGCGATTGCGTCAAAGTCAAGTGAAAAGTGTGAAGTGATTCCAATTCAACGATATGGCGCAGCATTTTGGGGCTTGACAGTGTTCTTTCAAGAAAATTCATGCTTGTTTCGCTGTCAAAGCTAGGCTATGACGCCCCCGAAGGTCCAGGTGACCGCAGTACGGACGTCCACTTGAGAACGGCGTTCGTGGTTCTGCGGTGGCAGTTTTTCGCGCCTCAAGCGGGAGCTTGGAGGATTTAAAGGAACGTCAGCGAGGGGGAAGAGAGGCAAGAACTACACAACACAACACCCGCATCAGCTCGAAGCACTATCCACCAACCGACATCATGAGCTCACCAAAAGAACAAACCCAAGTCAACGGAATTACCATGCGCGAATCATACTCTGGAGAAGGAGAGGAACGAACTGAACAAGGGGGCCAAATACCCCATACTGCGCTGGCACCATCTGTGGTTCATCCCATAGAAGAAACACAAGTGGAGCCCGACAGTGGGATCCAATCTAGCCCACTAATTCAAAGTGTTCGCTCGGAGAGACATGTGTATTCTACAGACTTCTCAGCTGAAAAAACCTCGACGATGGATGGAGCGTTACAGGGCGCCATCCGTAGAGGGCGACCCATCAGCAAGAAGGAGCGAGAGAATAACACCATTCGCATGCGGAAACAGCGAAAGCTGATCAGAGAGCAAAAGGATAAGATCAAAAGTCTTATTCCCCGTGCCCAAGGTCACGCACCTCCCATTAAGGACCTTCATCTCTGGACTGAAGGTACGGATATGTTGGCTAAAATCGTCTCATAGAGATGGCTCACAACTTCTTCACAGTGGCCGATCATATTGAGGATCTGCTAGGCGAAAACGTCAGATTGAAAAGAAAGGTCGGGTACATCGCACCAGCCCAAGATCCCGATATTTTCGTAGCAGACGACTTCCAAGCGATGGCTGTCAACGGGCCCAACAATAAAGCAGGCATTAGCCTCTCTGAATCGCTGCGAATGCCCTACTTGCAGTGGGAGGACCCTATTCGTAGTGACGTGGGAACAGAGTTGCTCCCAGTCGCTGGTCCATCCAGTCTAGCGACAACCAGCGAAACAAGCAATGCTAGGGCAGCGACGATGACACCTCCTTCAGACTGGAGCACATTCTGGGCAAACTATAACCCCGAGCCTCTTTCAATTTCCAATCCAACTATTACGGCGCAACAGACAGAAACACGGTGGCCCGAACGTGTGGCAGATCCAGTACAACCGGATTTGGGCTTGGAATACTTCAATTCCGGACTTACGTCTGAGGAAGATTACTTTGCCACATTGCTCGGACAGCACATGCAGACAGATGTCTACATACCTACAACACTCAACCACGAAATCGGCATCACAGGATCTCAACTCCAGACCAATGGCTCGACAGAGGGGTTGAGCAGTAGTTCCGCAGACAGCGGAATGCAAGACTATCTCTTCGCATTATTTGCGCAGCGGTAAAATCTTCAAACCATGCGTTCAAAAAGAAAATGAAACTGCAAGACAGACTAGGGCTCGATGCGCCAGCAGACACTCGAAAGCGTTAAAGAACAAAGCATTCATCGACGACGCACCTAGTACAGCGTCGGGGTACCAACGGATTCTGCGGACTTGCCACGCAGGTAGAAGTGGGAAAGTGAGACAGTGGGACGGTGAGGAAAAGCTACCACATGGACATTGGTTATCGGACAGGAATTATTAAGAGCGCACATCTTCTTGTTTATATATTTTCTGCGGAATCCCATTGTTCTGTTTATCCGATCACCAACTTGCAAGATTTTATCCAAAAACAAAAGGGTACTGAAAATTCAGTGTCATGACATCAATGACAGGAACACGCGCTAAGTTGCTTGTCATATATCAGAGAAAAAGCAAGAAGAATAGCGAAAAGCGACTCAGCGACTCCGCTATTATGAACCGTGGACAATAACGCAAACGAACTTGAAGACTACCCATATTAGGGTAGCTTGGTAAGCTATGCTCCCAATGACTAGCTGCCAACAGACTGATCACCTCCCAAGTCCATCATTTATCTTCATGGTTCAGGTTCATCGAGTAATATCTACGAGGGCTATAACAATGCTCGAATCACAGCAATAGAGGTACCAGATACTATCGTCAGGTGTAAGGAGCCTGAACATTGTACGGTATGTCTATGATGTCCATAATCCAACCAACGTCTCACAAATTCTTAACAAAAGGACACAAATCAGAACCTAGTGACAGGAATAACGGATGACATGTGCCAATCAAGAAATATGCAACATTCTCTCGGAGGCCGAGGCTGGACGATTGTTAATTGTAGTAAAGTCAGCCCAGCAGTGTACCATTTAACCGTACATCATGAAATGCAGGTTCGCTCTTACCTAATTATAGCGCAGAGTAATGGAATGATGGTTGTGTTTACTGGCACAACGTTGGCCTATGATAGTCTCCGTTGCTGACCTTATTCAATACACGTGACTGTCGTCGATATATGATAGTCGATATATGAAGACAACGATATTGGTAGGCATATGACTCGGTCCGCTTTATTTGGTCGTTTAATTTTGACTGAATGGGTATTGTCTTGTTTTGCAGCAGACTTGCATTATCATAATGCTCCTCACGACTCGGTATGATTCATATAGTTTGCACACATCCACACACTCATTTTCAGGATCGTGCCAGAAAAAATCTAAGCATGTCGTTCGTACATACCGAGTCTTTCACGCTAGCTGGGCGTGGTGCCTCAACGCTGGGCAAAAAAGTACATTCTTTCAACTTGACTAGATGTGTCATAGGTGTTACTTTAACACCTTGTCTTCAAATAATATCGATGCGCGCAGAGAAATTTCTACATGAGATAAAGATCCTGGAAGGGGCTCGAGACCGGAGGCAACATTATTGTCATTACAACATCACCCAACCCCGGGAAACTACATCTTGTACGTTTTCATGTAAGTCCCATCTTATGGACATCCTCCAAGAAATCTAATAGCGTGCTTGCGCTCCATGCCTGCGTGTTACATGAATGTGGACAGTGTTGTCCGTCTTTATTTGTTAGTTCCGGAATACCAGCCCATGGGTCATTTTGAATATACCGGCGAGCTGGCAGGAGAATTTTATGCAAGTGATGCAGCGTCTGCGTATTATCCTAGCCAGAACATGTGTCAACTCAAGGCAATACTGTGAAGTGCTTATGCAACAAACCTCCTTGCCTGATCCAACCCGCGTATCGAAGTAGAGATATGCTCGCAAAAAGTATCCCAGAGGCCAAGCCCATTCAGGCCCCTTTGCGATCAGTGAGTTTGGTATTTATAATATGCCATCGTTCACTCACGTTATGATAATTCAAGCCTTTGGCAGTGGCGGCATCCGTGGAGTCGCTTGAGTTATCGTAATAAGGACGATATTGCAAGTCATTCGGATCCAATGTTTTCATGCCAAGGGGACTGCGCAATATCTTGTCTGCGAGTTGTAAGGCATGAAGGGCGTGTTGTTGGTCAAACAACTCTGGTGCAACGGCCATTGCAATGGGGAAGTTAGCGCGGAACTGATAATCGGACCACTCGCGCCCCGACCCTGAGCCATATACGTCTTTGTATATACCTCTTCGGTTCACAATACTAGGGTTAATGCTGTACTTCACGTCTTCAATACTCTCTGTGTTGTTTCAGTAGAGTCACCATGAACGACATGCAAAGTCTTACCGAGGGGCACATAATAACACTTTTCGAAAGACGACTGTATGAGGTCGTTCCACTCCTTATAAGTCACAAACTTTTCCTTCCCGTTAACTAATGCACGGATCAGTCCTGTTTCACTTCCTACCAAATTCAACTTACTATCTGCATTGACTCCCTTGAAAGGGAAGTTTCCTGCTTGTGAGAGTTTATCCAGCCATCTCAGAGTGCTCTTCAACAAGCCCGTTATTTCGATAGGCGCTCCATCTCTAGGGGTTCCTGGCACACCCTTTGTCCCTGCTTTCTGTGACTCGCCCATTTTATCCATCCATGTCCCACAGTTGTGCTGGTTTCCACCAAAAATGAACCCCGTGGTCCAATCTACTCTGATGTGAATGTTAAATCCTTCATCGTTCATTTGCATATCCAGATTTGGCCCAGCATTGTATTCACGGAATGAGATTCCATTTGCGTGACGTTGAAGGATCTCCTGCACGATTTCGGCTACTGTGCTTGTATAAGCATATGCCCGAGGATCATCCCATGAGATCCACATATCATTCTTCGGGAACCTGCGCCTCACAGGCTCGGATAAGAGTGAAAGACCGTCTGGTGCATCGACTACATAATCCTGGATATTTTGCAACATCCACCAGGGCGAGTCGCGAGAGTTGTACCTGTCAATGTATTCACTGTTAAAGTGAACTATAGGGAATGACGACACTATATTTACCTCGGGCTCCTTACGGAATCTAGTAGATTTGGTATTAGCCCATGCTTCAGTGTCGACGCAAAAGCTAGAATATGTTTCTTGGCGTCCTTGAAATTTCCAGTTGTGAGGAATAATCCTCTTAGGGATATGAATACGTCCCTCCCCCAACATCTAGCCCAACCTGCTGCAAAATGTGGCAAGCCCGCAGCAAGTGATGGTGTAGGCTTTCCGGGGTCTAGAGAAGCAGAAAGCACCACACCATGCATTTGTATTGAGCACATAGCCAGATCCTGTGTAAAATCGTGACCTGTAGAGATAAAAGTGGAACATTGTTCAATCGCAGCGCGGCGTGAGGCCTTGTATGCTTCAGAAATTACAATGGCGAAGTATTTGGGCCGGAGGAAAGGAGGAGCATGGGCTTTGATACGGTCAAACTTCTCTTGGAACCATTCGGCAACTTTTGAGATATTCGGGAAAGTCACTAGTTGTCTAGTAAATTCGTTATTGCCAGCACCTGAGTTGATAACATGGTATTTACTCACCTCGTTAACCTCGAATGAATGTAGTCCAGCGCCCATATCCCGTCTCGTAGATGTGCACATAACGGATGGCCCAAGTCATTGTTGCGTATAATAAGACGAAGGTGATGCATCCACCCTTCTAAACCGCAATACGTTAACTTTCCACAACCTGGCACATCGTACACCCCAATCTCGCCTTTCGTGGCGTCACGTTCCTCGCCATCTGCACGAAACATAATGACGTTGAGATCAACTAAGTTAAGATCGGCGAAGGCTTCTTGCGCCCCCGTGGCACGGACGTTGTCCAATGTTGCATCGAGTTGCTGCAGCTGAGTTTCGAAGAGCATTATGCTTCCTGGGGGAAAATGGTCTGGGACAATGATTTCGGAGAAAGGTCCTTCACCGTCCAAACCTTGAGGAACGACAACTTCTGCCATCCCAACCAAATTTCCGGGAAGCCCTTGAAGGGTATCTAAATCTTGAGGTATCTCAGATGACAATATATCAATGTAAGCGCCAAGTATAAACTTTGCTCGAGTGCGACGAAGTTTAATAGGGGTAACTAAGCATTCAAGAAATTAGCCTGGAGAGATGAAATTATCGTTTCCACCACGCACTATGACCACGGTCTTTGGAGCCTTTGGAGAAGGCAGTGTGAGCGACAAGTAGGTAGCCTTTTTGAGTATGAGGGTGAACCCGATGAAAAACAATGTACTGTGTGCATAGTCAGCCGTCAGATTATGTTGCTGTGATATCATAGAAAACCCTACGTCATTCTCTTGATGCACATGCCCTTCCTCGTAACCACCAAGGATCATCTCCCTACGTATTCCATTGAGTGCTCTTTTGGCTTTTGCAATCCCCGAGTCCTCCCCAAGGCCAGTGACCTTGTATTTTCTCCTCTCACAGACGAGATTCAGTAGTTTGGGATATAGATCATCAAAACCCTTGACGGATCCAATTGCGCAATGTGAAAACGCTACCAAGGCTGCAGTGGACAGAGCGTCTTCTGCGGAACGCTTATCCAGATAAGATTCGTTGTCATGAGTGAGATCATACATGAGCGCATGTGGGACGGATCCATTGAGTGGGCTGACAATACAAGGTCTAATCGGACCTTTCCCAAAAGGAGGGCTGAGTTCTTCCATGCTAGTTAAACAGGCCGAATCCATGGACCCTGTGTTTGGCGGCAAATCAACCTCCATCAACGCCACAAATTTGGCATGGAACTCACCGAGAGGTTTCCCAAGTCCATGTCTATACAAAATCCTTGAAAATTCTTTGGGATCCCAGGCATTCCCCGCTTCCCTTACCAGGCTGTTCACTCCTAGACGCCTCACGAAAACTAGGTCCATCTCTTCGTTTCCTGTAAACAGCTCCGCGCAAACGTACAGATTTGGGTTCACCACTCGCGCCGCATCAAGCATTGCCACGCCAACATGTAAAGGCGTCGAGTGGCAATTATCTATACGAAAGCCGTCAAAGGTGTGTGCGAGCGAGGTCACATAAGATGTCATATAGGACCAGAGCCAAGGGTTGTCAGATGGTCCAGAGCCATATCGCAACTTCACACAATCACCCCAAACAATGACTTCACGGCGAAGATATGCTCTGGACGGAAGAAGAGCAAAGTTTTGCAGAGGATCAGCGTTCCAGATCCAACCGTTATTTGCTAGAGAATATTTCATGGGGTCAGCATCGGGTTGATGCAGTAATCGTGTAAAGTACGATTCCACGAGCGGGGAACTATATGGCTTGTTATTACCTTTACAAGTGGGAGGGAGGTGAAGCTTACTATTTCGTTATTTCGCCTAGCTTTGGACCTCCTTCATCTAACCTGGTATACCTTAGCCTATTTTTCATATTTCCTAGTGCGATCTTCGTATCTTCATCCCACTCGGCATATAATGGCACATTCAATACGTCAACCACCCGACCCCATGCCTCAGCTAACGTATTGGGATCTTCGAGATCAATGAATGCGGACTTGATGAACCCGGCAGCCACGCCACCATCGACATGTACGCCAAACCGGGAGGCCAGTTTTCCTAAACCTTTAACCAATCCTGATGACCTGAGGATATCAGCCAAAGCGACGACGGATTTACCCGACAATTTCGGACCCTCCCAGAGCACAGTTTTACTAGAAAGTGCTGCTTTGACGGAATTCTTTTCCCCCTGAACGTCAAGAACATAGTACTGCCATAAGTTTAACAGTTTGATGTGCCCATGAAATGCGTCGACAAGAACTTCTACGTCATTTTCTGACGTGACACGGGTCGGTAGGCCTTTTGATGAGAGTTCCGCAGAGAAGGCAACCATGGCACAATCCAACTCAAAAGCTGGCGTTAAATGAGGAGTGTTCGCAGGGCTGTAACCTATGAATTTTAACGTTAACTTTATAAATTCATTTTACAAAAAAAGGAAACTTACCGGCCTCTGGATGATCCACTAGCCATTTGCTGTCGTTCGCCGTGTGGTTCAGCACCACGTCGGTTAAATTAAGCAAGCCAAATTCCTCCTTAGCAACATTGAGTATCTCCTCTAACTTTGCCTTTTCCCAGTCGGAATCTTTTTTCTCGTCATACATAGATGGATCATACCTCGTTTGATCTCTGATTGAGTATGGACTATCGCTCTCGCCTCGCTCTTGCAAAGGTGTCCAATGTAGCATAGTGTATCCTCGTTCGCTAGCCTCAGAGAAATGCTGCCGCCATTGTGAGATCGGACCCATCCACTTAGATACCACAGTCAATATGACAAGCCCACCAAGTGGTAGATTGATATATTCTGGTGATACTGCAAGACCGCCCTCAGAGGGTAACAACAGCCTCAGGTCCGAAGATAGGACAGAAGAGCGCGCCTTTATGCGGAGAATGGGATCTATATTGATGTAGCCTTCTCGGCCCTTGATTCGCTCCCCAGGTTTGTCGCCGTCATACTCGATCCAATAGACGAATGCTCCTGCATGAGATATGGGAAGATCGACTTGAATCGGCTTCGAGAAATTGGTGGGTAACCTACAGAAAGGAGTAAGAAATCGAGCCTATTTAAGGGCAAAACCCCCATACTTTCGTTCACAGAATTTGTCGCGTCCAAATGCCCCTCCGTCAAGAGGAAAGTTGGTCTTGAAGACACCATTCTTGGAAGCCGGCATCCCTGCATCAAGCGACACGCGAAGAATATACGGAACATACGCTGGAGGGAGACGTATATACTATAACATAGTCGATTAGCTCAAACAAAATATCGCATTGATAGTCAACAGACAGATCGGTCTTTGTTGGGGCCACCATCAGGATCCAGCCTCAGCTCGTATACGCGTATCGGCTGCTCTCCCTCATGTCTTTCTCTCAGAAAAAACTCTTTGCCTTCATCCGCAGGCGTTTTTGGCGTGAGTGGTGAAGAGGATGACATCCCATCTTCCAAGGTTGATAACACCTTCGAAACAGTTGACGATGATGGTAAAGTAAGAGTGGGCTTGTGTGGACTAGCGCCCTCAGAAGCTTTAAGAGAATGAGTACGCTTGACCATCGAAGCGCAGCGAGAAAATGAGATGAAAAGAGGGAGAACAGAACAGATCAAATGAAGGTGGGCCTTTATATATCAGGACGCGACGAGGACGTCAAGGACATAAGTGACGTCAGTGAGGAACTGTGGGAAGACTTTTCCGGTTTAGAGTGGTCACTACCGTATATGGAAGGTAGTAATTTGACCCACGGATACATCCAGATTCCAGATACGCTACCACCAAATCAAGACTGAATTGTTGTTGGCAATTGAATATGAGCGTATCTTCATAATTATGATAACTGTAAACAGCGACACCAATGAATAGTCCTTCAGATGAAATTTCCGTGTTGAAAGGAGAGGTGCTGTAGTCCTAGCTCCTGCACCAAAGAGTTAATCAATAACCACTAGGTCGCGTTGGTAGACTACGAAGGACGTAGTCTCGGGCACGGGCTGCCAGTGTACTTGATCATGAATTGTCTGGACCTGACTCGGATGCTCAAACACGCTGAGTTTATTCAGGAAATCAGTTGTCAGCTCAGTCTTGAGTGATATTTGTATGGTTGAAAATTGAATATATTCCTCCTACTCACATCCAACTCGTTCCTGACAGGCAGTATGAAAGAAACGAAAAGAAAAATCGAATCCTTTCACTGAGCTTTCCTGGTGGCGTGTCACAATGTCACGGGTAGGGCGTCACGCGACGTAAACTGCACTCGGAGTCTAAGCCCGACCAATGTGCTACAATTACCAAACTTATCTGGAATCGCTCTCTTCACTCACCTAACGCTTCCTGATATGTCTGACAGACCACCACGATATACGTATTTCCAAACAAAATCATCTGACCTGCACCTTGACAGCACTCCTGGATCATCCAAGCGGTCGAGGGTGGAGGAGGAACGCGACGAGGACGTTTATTTTCAGGATGGAAACCTCGTGATATCAGCATCAAGCGATAGCATTATCTCATACTTTAAAGTACACAAATCCATCCTCGGAAAACACTCCCCAGTCTTCGCAGACATGTTGGCACTGCCATCTCCGCCATTGGTGGAGGAGTATGATGGTGTACCCCTTGTCTATCTTCATGATGATGCCAAAGACGTGAAAGCACTTCTCCAAACCATCTATGATCCCAGGTATGATCTATTCATAAAATCTCGCAAATTTCACTCTATGACCTCGAATTAGCTATCTGCCATACCCTCTACATGCCAAATCAACCCCGTTATTGAGCGGTCTCCTTAAATTAGCTATGAAATACGAGGTTGATTTCCTGCGAAACCGCATCGTCCAGAACGCTATAGCTAGTTGGCCAAGAGACCTTGCAGCTTGGGACAAGATCGAAGATAATATCGACTTCCAGACGAAAAGTGGTAAACACGACATTGACGTTCTTCCAAATCCCGTATACGCCATACGCATCGGGCGTGATTGCAATATACCCGAAATTCTACCTCTCGCGTATTATGCCTTGTCATGGCAGCCTACACCTAAACTGAGCGACTCGGTGTCGAGGTTTGGTTGGGATCGACAGGCTCTTAGCCGCGAGGAGTTGGAAATATTCAATCTTGGAAAAGAAGGAATCCTGACTTTCATTCTGGAACACAGTGCTATGGACCCAACAAATCTATGGATGTGCGGGCAAAGGGAGTGTAGTGGGCGTTTAGATGCCGTGCTTTTGCTATGGCGAGAGATTATAACAGAGCTGATGATGAGACCTTACGCTCTGCTCTTACTTCGACAAAAGGCTAGCGAGATTCGAAATGACAAATGTGAGGCATTCGTTTCCTGCGTTTCCTGTCGCAGTCAAATATCAAAAAAGCTGCGAGAAGTACGAAAAAGGTTGTTTGAAGAGCTACCTAACCTGTTTCAAGTTTGTCTATCGTGATGGTGATTTCATGGTACGTTTTATAACCTCGATCGCGAGCTGAACTCTTACACCTGACTTGATTATAGACCTGCTGATATGATATGATATTATCTGCCTGTGCCGATAAGACTTCGACTGTTTGATACTTATACCCGCACTACCTGCAGGATTGCACTTGTACTATCAGCCTGTATTCAAGTTTGTTCCAAACCATACCTCGCTTCTACTATTATGATGGGTCAATCTTTTGTGTCGAAGACATTTATTCTTTGTGACCTAAACTATATTAGCTCTTTGATCACGATGACGGTGATAAGCATATGCTATGCTATGTTAGTCAATGACAAGCACTACCTTGTTACCACTGCTAATGATTTTAGGCTTTATGGTGTCAACATATCACTTATTTTCCTGATCTCGCTTTGTTTCATATTGTGACGTCTACGAAGGGAAGCAATAATTATAAGATAGTTTAAACATATACAATATAATGGTGAAAAGTTAAGTTAATAGACTACCCCTGTGGATAACCGCTTCAGTCTACACGATAGGAGATATTTTTACAATTCGTCGAATTGTCGGGCGCTGATAATGACTCCAGGAAGGATGCGAAACCAAAGTGTGTCAACTGTTGCGGGCAACGATGATCGTATCTCAAGCCCAACGGCCAGATCCGTCTCCACCTCTTTTAAGTTGGGACAGATGGAAACAAGATCTTTCACTGTCTGCGCAGATGCCCCATGAAGTCTCAGCTTTTTTACGCCTGGCAAGCTCATATGACCGCACGAGTGACGGAGGTAACGACCCTTGAACATCTTGTGGGGGCTGTTGCATGCTTGCCCGTTGAATGTCCAACTGATATCCAACTCTTCTACTTGGTCGGGAAAGACGGCCAAACGATGATGATCAAAGAGGTCGTCGTATCCCCAGTCCACGTATTCAATGGATATGCGACGAAGATTAGGTAGATAATCAAGTGAGTCGACGTTGTAGAGGAGACTTGTGAGGGTGTCTCCCATAGGATTATGAAGGCTGTAGAGAAAAATCTGGGGTACAGGGTGCTCTCCTACGCCACTCTCAATACGAAAGGTGATCGAGTGACACAGTGAGTCAGGGGAGTTTTTGATAGCTCTTGGAATAGCGACAAACTCCTCCCTAAGACTGCGCAAGAACTGCTGAGCTTGAGCAGAGGAAGATATGTGCACGTTCTGAGATGATATTCGGATGAAGGCATCGAGCCAAGTTGAATTGACCAGGGGGAGAGTGGAAGAAAGTTTGTCACGATCAACAGTTGAAAGTGAAGAGTCCCAGATATCACCGACGATGCGCTCGACGAGTTCAGTAGGTAACCAGGGCCAAGCAGCAGTCATTTTGGAATGCGGAGCGGTGGTGAGTGTTTGTGGTGAGTGTTTGTTAAAGCGGGGGAATAAAACGAAACCATGCGTTCTTATAAATTTAAGCCACCTGGATGGTATCATGGGCCTTCGATCGCCGATCAATGGCAGGCTACACCACGTTTTTAACCCACGTTTTATCGGAAACAAGTTTTACATGAGGTGAACTGTCCACAGAGCCGTGCGTGAAATCCTGTGTAATGCATTGAGCTGTGCTTCAAAAGGAAAGTGTAAAAGTCAATGCTGTATAAATGTGTAATAATAGGGCAAAAAAAGTTCGAGACCCTAAGAATAAAAAATGCGAAACAGACGGTCAATGCAGTGCCACTCATTGAAGGCGATAGGAGTAAGTGGCCAAATTTGGATGTATTTGGCTGAAGGAACTGAATCAAACAAGCGCAAAGCTGATTTCACAGGGCATGTGATAAGGCGCAAGTTTCGGAAACGTCTGACTTGATGATGCAGTGACGCATGACTGCGGCCGCGGCTGAAATTTCCTTTTGTTCTCGACTTGAATCAAGCAAATCATAGAGATACTAGGATATTGAATTGTTGACAAAGGACCGCATACAGGCAAGGCTTATGCAATATTATGGAGATAAACTTCAGTTCAATGTCAGGCCCACCAATACACGCACATATGTGGATGACGGTATGGTGAAGTTTGTTGCCGAATGGATGTTCACAATATTCACTTATAGGACCACAGGCACAAGAAGACACAGACGTGATACTTGTGGGCACGCGATAAAAGCTTGTGAAGATCCACCCACACTTGCAACTGCAGCTTCCAAGTGTCAGATTCAGTCAGAATAACTAGCCACGTATGGGTCCGGCATCGGACTACGAGTCGTACTGCCTGTGATACGCGTAGGTTGCAACGTCTCACGCCTCTATGTAGTTGCATCCCTAGACTCGTAAGTTCTATTTGAGTCATACCGTCCACGTATCCAGCCAGTTTTAGCTATCTAATCATTCGGTTATCACGATAATTGCATATAAAGGCCATGTCAAACTAATGTTGCACCCCAGCTCCTCTCCATCATGTCTCCTACCTCCACTTCTGACCCAGTTCTTATTGTGAGTTCCCTTTCTTCTATTTGTGATTCCGTGTTTACTTAATTTCATCATCTATCTTTCACTAGGTCGGTGCTGGCCCTTCTGGTCTTGTCGCAGCTTTGACGCTCCTCCGCAACAACATTCCAGTCCGTATCATCGATAAAGAACCTTTCCACAAATCCGGGCAAAGAGGCCCTGGCATCCATGTATAGTCACCTTCAGATTTTGTACCAGCTCATGTCTGATAGTTTTCCCCCAGGCTCGCACTCTCGAACTTTTCCACATCCTTGATGTTCCAGAAGTCGCAAAAGTTGGCACCCCCGTTCCACCGATGCGCACTTACAAGCCAAATAGTCTCGAGCCTCTCAAGACCTTTTTCATGTCACCCTACAGAGAACCGACTCCAGCCATCCCCTACGTATGCATTTTTGTACACTTCTGCATTTCACGTCTGAAATCATATTTCACAGTACAACGCCCTGCTAGTTGGCCAAAACACGCTTGAAGGAATTCTCCGTTCTCACCTCGAAAAGTTCTCATGCAATGTCGAGCTTGGAACCGAGCTTCGTTCGCTCGAGCAGCATCCTGATTATATTGTCGTGCGTCTCGCCAAGAAACAAGGCGACGAAGAAATTGAAGAGACGTTCGAAACAAAGTGGTTAATCGGCACTGATGGAGCGAAAGGTTTGTTCTTACTATCTTCTAAACGACTCAAGCTTACGCGAGTGGACTTTGTGTAGGTGTTACACGCAAACAACTGGCTCTAACTTTCTCAGGTGAAACACGAGAAGAAGCGCGCATATTGACGGGTGACATACGTCTCACAGGCAAGGGAATTGACAGAAAGGTACGCAAACTCGAATTCACGCAAATTGACTAATGACAACTCTGGGTTTTCTAGCACTGGCACATATTTGGAGATTCACAGTCAGGCACGTACGTATCTTATTGAAAAGGCCTTTGCTCGCCACTCAGAAATTAACTCGTTTACAGTGTTGTCCTTCGTCCTACAAACGAGCTAGGCGAAGACGGATTCCAATTCGTAGCTGCTGGTCGTGATGTTGACGTCCCAAAGCTGGCAGGAAGTAAAGAGGAGCTCTTCAAATTCATTTCGTCCACCATCGATACCGAGATAGAGTTCAATGAACTTATATGGAGCTCCGAGTTTCGGTAAACACGTCGTCCTTCCTTTCATCCTCGTTACTTTTCAGCTGACTGATTGTTCCCTAGACCAAATATCAGAGTAGCCAACAAATTCTCCGAAGGTAGAGTCTTCATTGCTGGAGGTTAATATTCTCTTCATTTAATTTTTTGCGATGACTGACTTGTCCACATGATGTTCGCTAGATGCCGCGCAGTATGTATATCATATGCTTTGCTCAAAGTGTCAAACTTTTTACTAACCACCTATTTCCAGCGTGCATAGTCCCACAGGTGGCCAAGTAAGTACAATTATAATATCTGTGTCGCTGTAGTTCATTAACCATTTTTATTCTAGGGACTTAACTCCAGCGTTCAAGATTCTGTAAATCTTTACTCCTGCTAATCTTCAGTTTCTAACACAACTTATAAAATCAGTTCAACCTCTGTTGGAAACTAGCTCTTGTCTACAAAGGCCTCGCCCCCGCCTCCCTTCTTGAATCATACACCACTGAGCGTCTCCCCGTCATCGCTGAAATGCTCAACATCACCACAGAGATCCTCGATAAGACTATGAACCTCACGCGCTTCACCGCAGATTCTGCGTTCGTCCGCACGCAGCGCATGAACATGCTCGGCGTGAACTATCGCACGAGTCCGATTGTGCTCAACGAGGTGACGACGGATGCGGAGCCGGTGGCTGCGTATGGGCTCGTACAAGATGGGGTGCTACTGGCGGGTGATAGGGCGCGAGATGCGCCTGCATTGGTAGACGTCAAGTCTGTTAGCCAAGAGGTTACAACGAGGCTGTTTGATGTTTTCCGGACCTCGTACCACACTGTCCTCATCTTCGCACAAGACGCTGCCAAGATCCTTACGATAGTCAGCACGTTAAAGCAGTATGAGGCAGTTGTGCGGTCTGCCGTGGTTCTCCCTGCGACAACTTCAGTAGAGTCAGCTTTGAGCATGGGAGTTGACTCTGCAGACATGGTTCTACTCGATCGAGAAGGTCACGCCTACAATGGCTACCTTATCAAAGCAGACGAGACAAGGGTTGTTATCGTGAGGCCAGATGGTGTTGTGGGTGGTGTCGTTTTCGGAGAAGAGGGCGCAGTGAAGTATTTCAAGGGAATACTTGGGTCTCAGGCGTAATGCTGAGACTGAGACAAGGGTCAGATATCTGAAGGACTCGTGACGACCTTTACACTATTACTATAGTTCATATTATATTCGGTAAGACATTCGGTAAGTACAATGGTAAGTAAGAAGTTAGAACAAGAAATACAATACAATGTACAAGATCACGCATACATCTCTTCCCATTAGTTTGCTGGACTTCAGGAGATCATCCAATAAACCCCAATATTCCGGAAAAGGATTGTCGTAGAATCTGCATTCTGCCTAATTACATGGTCGTTAATCGCAGCTCTAAAAAGAGTGTTTGCTTTGACGTGACCTATAAATGGCCAGCGTCCCTAAAATACACATTGGACAAAAGTTCGACGAAGGAGAGAATCGATGGTGCTCAATTGAAAAAATGGTCGTGACCTACTGATTTCCACAATTAATATCATATATTGACATGACTTACTGTATAAGGGCTAGATATAGATTTTTTTTAAAAAAGCTATATCTCCGAATCGTCCAAGTCAACTGGACTCATATAGACATCATCGAAGGCATTGTTCTGTTTCTTAATATTCAGTTAAGACAGAAGAGTCCCAAGGTCAAAGAAATAGCTGATGATCATACCCAGTGACTAACATTAAATATTCGAAAGCATTACAACGTAAGTGCGGTTTCCCTTCCGAAAATCAGTTATTTGAATTTTCCACACTCCTATAATCAGTCTAACAAGCCCCAGTATTCTGCGAAAGGGTCGATATCGGGATCTGTTTGAGCATTGTACTCGATGACATGTCTGGCTAGCTCAGAGTTTGGTCTGCCAACGAGATGAGCAAGAAACGCGTTCGCCATATCCATGCCTAGAAAATCAATGAACATCATTATGAAAGCCAAGAGAAGCCTGTACTAACCAGCAGTCACTCCGGAACTAGCCCAGATTTCCTTCGCACTACCTTTGTCATTGACGACCCAGCGAGCTTTCCTCACCCAGTCAACATTAGGTACATCGGGATTCTATTGATTTGTTTGGACTTGATTACGACATGACACACAGATATAATAACATACCCCTGCCCAAGCTGATTTGTTCGCTGTGGCTTTTTTGCCGAAAAATATACCGCCAAGAGCAAGAAGCCATGCGCCCGTGCAGACACTGAGAATGTACCGAGCTTTGGTAGATTGTTTCTCGATAAACTTGATAATGGCATCATCTTGTTTGATTGCACGGGTACCAGCACCTAGGGAGACGTGATAAGATATGAATACCCAACGTATGTTAGTCAAAGTAAATAATTATAGTAGGCCGAACAAAGCTGACCTCCAGGTACGAAAATCATATCAAACTGCCTTGCATCACCGGAATCGAGGAACGTAGTATAGACGTTCTTCGCATCGATACTTAATGTTGGGCCCGCAAACGGTTTTATCGATGTAGACGTGCCAAAGTAAGTCGGCTCGATGGCGTATTTAACCTTTGTGGGGTAGACTTCGGGCGGGTTCCTCAGGAAGTCTTTCTGAAAAAAGCCGAAAAGCTCCATAGGCCCTTGATAGTCTAACGCCGTAACTTTGTCGAAGATGCAAACAGCCACGGTGAGGACTTCTGGTTCTGCCATGGTTGACGCGTTGACCAAGTGGGGAGTGGGGGGAATGCCAGTGATCGAGATCAAGTTTTGAGTTTCCATGCTCCCAATGACAATTTATATGGGTTGATCGGGTCACAAGGTCCAAAACGAATGGGGCGACTCAAGAAGAACCGTTCTGGCCGATACGAATGGTGAGCGTCTGTGCAAGAGTATTGGGGAACCGCTGCCAAGAAGCGATGATATCGGGACGATGGGCGCTGGTGATGATGATGGAGGTCAGCTCTGAAACTGCCATTTACGATAATATCCAACGGTAATATCCAACATAGATAATATAGAATAGCAACATGTTAGGAGGACAGAAAAGAGAGAAGATTGTCAGTGCAGACATAGCAAGCGCTCTTTCCAAGTCAGGTTGTTGGTTGACGAAGATCACGGATAAGCGCGGTAGGGATTGTCACGCGTTACAATCTGAAACTTCAGATTATCAGATTATCAGGATGAGGTGAGTGGACCTTATAGGGTTATCGATAACACGCAAAATACACAACTACTTAGACTTGACAACATCTCGCATACCTAACGATCTCAGACTATATACCCCAATATTCTGCAAAAGGATCATCCTCTGGACCAGATGCATTCAGCTCAACGACATTCCTGATTCTTTCAGAGATTGGCCGTCCAACCAGGTGAGCAAGGAATGCATTCGCCATATCCATACCTAATCGTATGCGTTATTCAGAGTACGCCAGGCTGTGTGAGGCTGGTACTTACCCGCGGTGACTCCAGAGCTTGTCCAAAGTTCCTGGCCGCTATTTTGACCGTTTACGACCCACCGCGCTTTTTTCACCCATTCGATGCTCGGGTCCACAGGGTTCTGAAGAACTAAATTAGAGTGATATTCTCTGCGTCAAGAAGGATACATACCCCAGGCCACGTCGCTTTATTGCTAGTGGCTCGCTTGCCCTTTAGCACACCAGCTTCAGCTAATCGCCATGCTCCAGTGCATACGCTGAGGATGTACTTTGCTCCAGAGGATTGTTGCCTAATGAATCGAGCAATAGGGTCATTTTCGGAAAACGAGACCTTTGGAGAAGCTTGGGAAAGCACGTCATGGCTCAATATCAGGCAAATGTGGTGCACAGATGAGTGCCAGAACTGACCTCCTGGTACCAAAATCATGTCAAATTGCTCGCCAGATCCCAGAAGCTCTTCATAAGTGTTTTTCTTTTCCACAGCAAAAGTCGGCCCTGCGTCAGGTGTCACTGCAGTGGAATCGCCAGCATATGTTATCTTTACGGCATGCGTCGGTGGTGAAGGAAAAGGTAGGGAGGTGTTCTGGATGTTTTTCTCCTGCAACATGCCAATAAGTTGCAGAGGTCCTTGGAAGTCCAAAGCAGTGACATCTTCGTAGAGGCACACGACCAAGGAAAGAGTCGTATAATCGGTCATTTTGAGAGAAGAAGGTTAGGAATGAATGGTGCTTTACACCTTCAAGTTACTGTTGCGTATTTATGGGCAAATACACATTAAATAGCCCCGAAGCCAATGGTTATTAGAAGCGTGTCCGTGACTGATGGATTATAAAGACATGCACAGCACTAAACCCATTTGAATACATAGAAAGTGCTAAGCACATGTTCGAGGATTACTGATTGCTGAATCGGATATCTTGCAGAATGTCCGGAACAAAAAGCAGGTGGTGACTTCGGTCCCAGCTTTTGTTATCCCCATTCAAACTAAGCACCAGGGACCCTTGCACAACTTAGGAAATCGATCGAGTCAGCGTTTCTTATTCTGATTTACTTACTGTATCGAGGTCCAAAATCACTTGTCTGGCCAAGGAGCACTAGGAGGTACATGCATACTGTTTACCACGCCTGAGGCAATCTGACCGGGAAAGCAAAAGGAGTGAGCGTTATTCATGTTGTGTTACGTCCCGATATCTTGGAAACTGTGGTTGATCCAGAGTGGTGAGGGAAATGATATCAGAAGACTCACCAACCGACTCGAAAGCACAAAAAGAGCTTGATTCCCGAATTGGCCCCGGGACAGCCTCAATGCTATCACTAAGCCGCCGACTCAGGCAATTAGATTGTTAAGGTTACGTGAGTTCTGAAAGACATATTTTAGGTGTTTTCGTAGGAACATTGAGTGTGGACGCGGTCAGGCGGCAGAATTGGCGGCGGTTAGTATTACAGGGAGCAGTCGGAAGAGGTTCTTCGGACAGAGGTGCCCGCACTACCTTACTAAGGCCTCGTCACCTAGCTGTGAATGGAAGATCAATGGAAAGCTTTACAGCACGGTAACCATTACTTCCTGGTGGAAGGTGTCCCACGGGAGTAAATATCCATCTGAGCCGTCGGAGGGGGTCTATCCATCCCGTTTGGAAATTTCATGATATAATTAAACGAGAATTCTGTCGACGGAGAAGAATATTAGCTCAAAGTACCGGTGTAACCCCTCCACTCCATGGACAATGGCGCCAACCACACCATCTGGCCTGACAACCACGACTCTACCACCTTCTTCTGGGACGTTGTACCACTTAAAGGCATGACCTTCACCATCGACAAGGTGTAAATCTCCTGCGGCCGCCCGAGACACAGACGAGCCCCGCGGGGACAGCACGACACACCGTATTGTACCCTGAGGGTAACGCCGTAGAGCGGAAGTCAGCATTCTAACGTCCGAGGAGTCTTTCGTAAAGATGAGGGCGGTGTGAAACCAGGGTTTGAAGACGGCGAACAACCTAGTGATGCCTTCCTCGTCAGGTGGTCCCACCACGTGCAATCCTGTGGAATCAGGAGCCCTATCTCCGGCTTGAAGAGAGCCCTCGGTGACGAGACCGTAAGGATCCACCTCGTTTTCCAGGAGGTCCTGTTCGTCCACCAAGATACTACTGCCCCTATAATTGACCCCAAGCTGGTACATGCTGGGATCGCGTTTGAAGGCGGAGCCTGTGGTTGATCTGTCTGCTTTTGCCGTATCGTCAAGAAGTTCAGTGGTTACTTTTAACATCTCCGCTATGACGGGTATGCGCTCTTCACTATAGGTGTCAAGGAGGGAAGGGGGGGCCAGACCCTTGATGACCAGGGCAAGTTTCCAGCCGAGGTTGAACTAGATACATAGGTTACAGCGAGAGTGTATGTTAAGGCGAGAAATTATCATACGGTATCTTGTATGCTGGAATTCATTCCCTGGAAATGCAAGCGGTTCAAAATCGTGATCTAGTTAGACAAATACATACGTACTTGTCCACCAGTCGGGCTGTGCACGCTGAATGTCGAGGACATTAGGAGAAAAACAGATTATAAGTTGCAACTACCTACTGAGCTGCATCTATCCAAAGTGTCAACGATATACTTTAGCAGTTCAAAGCAAAGACAAACCGCCTGCAAGAAAAACCCTCCCATCCCTGAATCTTCTCGTCATCCGTATGTTAGGTCTACAAGATAGATAGATTAGTATTTGTGCACATCACAGCGGTCAAAACATATTACCTGAAATCGGAGGCCCAACGAACATCAAAGTGCATGTCTTGACGCTCAGTCACTGATGTAAGGAAATCAATAAGAAGATCGTGATTCGATGCAATTCTCTCCGTATCAAGGCCATGACCGCTCGCAAATAACGCAAATCCATCTTCTCCAAAATCTGGAGTAGCTCGTAAGGCAACACTAATCAGAAGAACCAATCAGCCAAGTAGTAATCCATGATGGGATTTGTATAACGAACAGATTTGTGGACATGTCCCCCCACATATGCCAGTGCTGTAGACAGTTCAGCATAACAAAGGCGATGACGAGGTTCGACGACCAAACCTTATTATCCAAACCCTTTACCCGAATATCACCTGTGAGCATTCCTTCCTCATTTCGAGTTTCACCTATAAACGTTAACCCAAGCTGCCTTCGCACGACACCTGGATAATCAATTATCATTCAACGTGGAGAATTGATAAAGATATGTCAAATCACATTCCTCGGGCGCCATCTGTCCCAATAAGCCAACTTACTTGAGCGGTTTCCAAGATTTCTCGGTCATCTCGCTTTTTGACTAGGTGTGCCCGTACATGATCCGGGTGTTGTTCGATGGAGACCAACTCAGTTCCAAATTCAACATAGCAAGAATACTTCGCTAAGTGTGAATGCAGATGGCTTTCGGCACAGTCTTGACCTAGCATGGCAAAATTGAACTACGAGAAAATTCCTTATCATGCTTAGAATGTGGGTGGAAAAGTGCTTACATATGGATAAGCTGGTGTTGGGTCAACATGGACGGCTATGGGAAGTGTTTCCAGAGGCTCTAAACCTCCTGGGCGATAGGTCCGTACCAAAGGGGGCGGGTTTGCGTTTTTCTCGATTTCGTCTACACCGAGAAAATGGTAAAGTTCCAAAGACCGTGGCTGGGCGACATTCACCGTAAGTGGTCAATCAGAGAAAGAAATATAGTAGGAGAACAACAGACTGCGATTGCCGCTCCTCGTTGACCTATCCTATGTTTGGGTTCTTTATCGATAATCCGCACAGCTATGCCATTCTTCAACAGTGTCAATGCTGCCACAAGGCCAGAGGGACCAGCACCTGCCTATTGATATGAGATGCGTGGTCATCTTAAGACAGATATTGCACTTACTATCAAAACTGGTGTATTATCCAAAGACAGGGTCATAGTAGGTACGAAGGTAGAATCTCAGTGTTGGTTTCTTTGTTTTTATAGTGTGCTACCGAGCAGTCGTATTATCGGAGGCTGTTTGATAAGTACACGAGCACTTTCCCGTGAACTTGAAAGTGGATCTCACGCATTGTTGGGAAGGAACGACAGCCCTCCTTTGAATATTTGGACTGTCTAGGGGCGACTAGATCCCACGAGAAGTTGCTGAGCAAGGAAACGCTGGTAAAAGGCACGATATTGTCCCATGCCACGGTTCGTCGGTTGTTCAAGCTTAAGGATGTTTCTCGCTGAGAATGGAACCATCATTTTCTGTTCATTCATGTTAGCGTTGGTGCGACTTACGATAAAGATACAGAAGAAACAGGTGAAGAGAAACAGCCTAAGTATTGCTTGGTCCTCGGGTATCGCACCGAACAGCCGATACGTCGTGCACAGTCAACTTTACACAGCTGGTCTTCTTCCTTGAAGCTCAGAATGGAGTCACCCCAGTATGACATCTTCACTCTGGAGAGACCCATAACAGATACTACCATCACTAAATTCTCGACGCTCCGTTTGCTAGGGCTGAAAACAGATCCAGCAGCCTTTGGATCGACGTACGCACGAGAAATAGCGTTCTCAAAGGAGGTATGGAGAGAGCGCCTCGACTCACCTCATCAAGCTACATTTGTCGTCGCGGTTCGGGAGGGGCCAGACAACGAGGCTGAGTGGATTGGGACGGTCACGGTGGTAGCACCTTCAGCCCTTCCTCCAGGTAGCTTGGAACCATTTCAAGCAGCAGGCGTCGGAGCTAGCTGGGATATATATCCTTTCGTGGCTATGTGGGTGCATCCCAAACATCGAGGAAATGGGTTGGGGAGGAAGTTGGTGGCATTGCTGTTGGAGTGGGTGCGGAATCATGATGACCCTAAGAACGAGAACAAGGAACGGTTGGATAAAGTCGTTACTTTAATGGTGGCAGAGTTTAACGAGAGCGCACGAGCGTTATATGATAAGATGGGATTTCAGGAAATACAGAGCATGAAGCAAGATGAAGGGTTTGTCTGGATGATGAGCCGAGCGTAATACATGATACTTTTGCATGCCCAAGAAAGCTACAGGCTCGGTAAACACGGGGTCCTTGCATACCCCAAAACTCTTAAACTTTGAGGCGGACCTTTATTGAATGCGAGGTCTAATGTCCATGAAAATACAATTATCCAGCTCTCTGAATTTCACACCGAGTGAGATGCGAATACAAGTTTAAATGCCAGAAGTAAGCAAGTATTGTATGCTAAAATAGTCCAGAATAAAACCGTAGCTAGCTAAGGAGCTCGTCCGAAGGAAATCCTCGACATACAGGGGTTAGTAATTGTTGTGATATGGGGTGTGGGAATGGACCAAGTAGCCGTAGAAAGCAAAGAGAACTCGATAAGAAAAGGTGTGTGGGGACTATGCAAGGTGCATAGTGTCTAAGTGAGATGCATTAGAAAAAAGAAAGCGTTGTAACAGAAACAAGAAAAACCATCATCCTCTTCGCTGCTGTTGCCACACAGCTAGAGGCACATCCTCCTCTTCACCAGAAGTCCTCGTGCGATTTGCAGGTCCATCACTGGTCCTCGTCCTCGGACTTGACCTTGACATTACAGCATGTACACTAGTAACCTTCCTTGCTTTACCATCTTGCGGCACGGGTGGTGGACTGGGTGTGGCAGCTGCCGATAGGGAACGACTGGGTGCTCTAGAACTTTGCCCACGATTGGATGCCGGGCTAGGTGGCATATGGCGATTATTATTCGGTGGTGGGGGCGACTTCGAGCGACGCGGTTTTGACTGTGTCTGACTAACAGCATTGGTAGGTGGTGGAGAACCTGAGGAAAGACTGCGTGATATTGGCGGAGAGGAATTGTAAGAAGAGTTCCAAGTAGAATGGTCTGAAGCAGGAGGCATAGCGCCAGGTGGTAATTGTTGCGATTCTGCATTGCCTGCTCCCGCCTCCACAGAGGTGTTGTGATGTTTTGATGATGGTGGTGGAGAGGTGTTATGTACGGGAGGACTGGGCTGTCGTCGAGTAGGCGAACCTCCTCCTAGGGGCGTGGAAGAAGAGGACCCATAACCGTAGCTTGGCGTTCCATACTCTTGTTCCATCACCCGGTGTTGCATCTCATATTGAGGAGCCTTGATGGGCATCTCCGCAGCCCGCCTACCATTTCCTGGTGTACCAGGATTCTTTGTCAGGGATCCCCGTCTAGGAGGCTCCTTCTTCGGCTGTTCCCTTTCTCTTTCAATTTCAACGCGCTCCTTTTCCACCCTCTGCGACTCCTCCACTTCCATTTGTTCTCTCTCCGTCTGTTCCTTCTCCGGAGGGGGAGGGTTAGGTTGGGCTGCATTGGTAGTTTGACCTTGTCCAGGCTGAGGTTGCGTAGCAGGGTTTTGTGTTTTATTGATAACACCGAGATACCAGAACATGAGATTACTGATCAAGACCTGCTCGTAAAGAGGTCTTCGGGGATTGGCGAGTTTGATGTGACTCAGCCTATAAATTGCACGCTCCACATGAATAGGATATCGGGCGTACGATCCTCCAGTCCCAGGGATAGATGGGGATGGGGATGGAGTAAGTGTTTTGGAAGATTTTGAAGCACCAAGCATCGCCGCTGCGGTTTCACGCCCTGTTCCATTATAGAGGTGCGTTGCTTGCTCCTCTTGCTTCTTCTTGCTACTGAAAAGCGACCCAAAAAACCCTCCTTCTTTCTCCTTCTCCTTCTCTCCTCGTGGGATGTCTTTATCTCGTTCTCTTTCTTTCCCATTCTTCTTGCTACCTTTATCACTACCCCATTTACCGAATAGCCCTCTCTTGTCTTTCTCCTTTTTAGGAATGGGACTTGGGGATTTACTGAGAGGTGGTGCTTCGGGTGATGTCGAAGCCACTGCTGTCTCATCAGTGGTGGAATGAACCAAGGAGCTCTCGGGTGACGGTGTGCGAGACGATTCTATAGATTGTGGGCTGGTCGTAGTCGCAAGGCGCTGCGGCTGGGGATGATGGAGAACAGGCGTCGCAGCATCGACAGACAAAGGTTCGGTAGTAATTTCCTCCGATAATCTCGGAGAAGACAGTACCTGCGAGACTGATGGGGGCTGAGGGGTTGGGGTGACCACCACTGTAGGCGTTGGCGATAAATCCTCATCCGGCTCTTCCTGTGCGTACGCATCGTATATTGATGTTTCCTCGCTGTAAGATTCGGGTCTCGCAGAGGGCAAGTGGCCCTCACTACTCATACTCTCGTTTGAAAATGCTCGTGGACGTCTCATAATTTCTTCGCTATGGCCATGGTCACTTGAAGACATGTCACTGGAGGAGCGAGGTTCTATGGCAGTGGCAGATCGATTGGGCCGTTTCCGCCCAGATTGAAAACGGTGGCCTCCACCATCACCTGGTAAACCAGGCTTGCGGATTTTGGTGCGAGCAGCACGACGAAGGATTTGCCCCGGTCGGGGCACGATAATCGGAGCATCAGCCTCATCTGGCATGTCCGGCATGTCGTCCATTTTATCAATGACTATCAAATAAGTGGAATAAGCCGAACAAGATCAAAAGCGACAAGCAGAGTGGTGGGCGTAGAACATACCTGAGGGTGCCACATTGAGACTTAAGCTTCTTCGCAATACTCTCCTGAGTTTAGTGGGATCATCGCTGCGAGAAGCTTCCTCTGCGAGCTCTTCTAGTTTCTGGAGGTCGTTGATGGTAAGCTGTGGACCAGTATTTGTGAAGACACTGCGATTGCGCCGGAGAGGGACCACCTGCTCGTCCTCTACACCATCATCCTCTGATGGTTTGTACTGCCTGCTAAGCATGGACCGCTTACGGCCGAGAGCGGAAGAGGTTGGGACTGAGAGCGAGCTTGATCGCTCAGGTGGACTTACGCCATCTGGAGGTGGACCACGGGAATGTTCCTTGAGAAAAGCTCTAAACTCTGCAGGTGCGATCTCTGGATGGAGACGAGCTGGGACCCAGAAAAGATGAAAAGGGTCGTCAGAGCCCGAACGATCCTCTGAGCTAGAGCTGCCTTCGTGAGAGCTGCTGCTGGAATCGCCGTCTGTCAAAGGAGGAGTTGCATTTGCAGACCAGTAAGGCGCGGTTGGTGATGTTGGTGACGATGAATTTGGGAGGTCTGGATCGAGAATAAGCGCTCCTGGACCACCCTGGCTTGTTGAGCGTCGTCTGATATCTCGCAGGGCCTCCACCTCACGCTGGATCTCGAGCTGAGAGGGCTGCATTGTTGAGCAAGTATGGGTAAACGAGCGTGTCTATGGCAAGAACGTCGACACGTATGCTTGAATGTCGTGCCCGCCGTCTTGCTTGTGGTCGTGGCCAGTTGTCCCGAGACAAGCCTTGCAAGCGCAGACGTTATACTACCTGGCCCCTTGCTACAGATCCACACGGCACACTCGGCACCACCCAATCTGAGTTACAATTCCCGGCAGAGTTTCCTCTGCCAGCGCTGCAATAGACAGAAGAACTATCTGTACACACTACAGTGTACTTGCTGCTACAGTAATACAATAAATATACTTGCTACATGTTCCACGCAATATCGCACATAAAACGATGAAAAACACGTCGACTCCGTGCCTGACTTGAACCCAGAGTTGTCGGATTAACCAAGCAAAATTGATACCACGTTGATGAACCTGATGTTGGTCAACTGTCATGCTATGATCAGGCCCAAGCCCATCTCCTGCCGAGTGTATCATCGGTGAGTAGCAGAAAACCATACGACCAGCACAAAGTCTGTCCTCATCGCCCATCACCCGTCTGCGCATTCAGAGCCGCACTTTCCCGTCGAAGTTCTTGTATGACAGCCTAGGTCGAGTATTAGCCCAGAGTTGCATCTTCTGACAATGAGCCACCACGTACCGCCAGTGCTTCCGGATTAACGCCATTCTCAATCATGCCAACACACGTTGCCAGCGTCTCCTTGTCCAGCTGAGTATTTAGCAATTGCGAAATGTCATAAAGAACTGTCCATGTGGTTTCAGCATGCTAGACATGCACACTTGCTTCGAATTGGCGAAACAGGTGACTCACTGTCCAAGGTTTGCTGCGCAGAAGTAATTCGGTCAGAATCCCGCGAAGACATGATAATGACTAGATTAGCTGCAGTCAGGGGGATTAGTCCTCCTGAATCGCGACAGAGAGGCCTCAGATGGCCGCTTGCTAAAAGCGCTATAGTACGAGGTCACTGAAGTCTTGACTGCAAACGGGATAAACTTGGAGCCGCGGCAGCCCGACTGAAGGAACATCAATCAAAATTATTCCCACGGCATCTATATTTTTCCTGAAGTATCGTGATGATCGCAAAATCGGGTTCAAGGCCAAAATAGTTTTTGAATACTTACCATACTCCCTACGAACCAGTCTGCAAACATCCGTGTGTTGTTTTCACACCTGTGGTAATCATGGCACCCGCGAAGACGGCAAAGACTGAAAATAAGCCCAAGAAGGAGAAGGTCTTTCACCCTGAATCACGCAAGGCAGGACAAATATCACGATCCCACTTTCGCAAAGGCAAACTATCAGAGGCTGCATCAAAACGCAACAAAAAGCAACTAGCACAAGGTATTACCTTCTCCCTTGATATCAATAGGAGGATATTATCCACTGATACAATCGATTCAGCGGACGTATATGGGTTCTTTTATCACGCGATACCACCAGAAGGTGTTCTGTCTCTGGAAGATCTCCACTCGATCGTTAGGGATGTTTGGTTGGTTAGACATGATGTTGAATTAGAGCATGAAAGGGCTGCAAGGCGCAAAGGCAGACCAAAGAGTACGAAGGAAATGAAACTTGAAGAGATCAAGTTGCGAGAGGCAGAGGAATACAGGACTGGGATGGGTAAGCTCATAACAAGCTTGTTGTGTGCTATCATGCTCATCACATTCACATTTACAGAGGTTCCCGACCTGACCCACGAGCCCACCGTCGAGCTATTTCGAAGATGGGACCAAAAAGAGGTCGCGTTCATATACCTCCTTCGCTTTGTTCGCATCTCTGGCGCAGAGCCTACAGTTACTATACTGTCACGTCCTGGCACGCATCATACCGTCCTAGACAAAAGCAGCGGAGATCAGCGACAAAATCAGACACCAGAGATGGATACTGCTGTTGATGATTCGATGCTATCAGAACCTCCCACTCGGTTTGCAAGCACTATCATGGCAATGGATGGGCCACTATAGCAACACGACTACAATAGTTACTGTGTATATTCTCGCATTTATATCTATGACAAAAATAGTGTACTCTAAGCCGGATATTCAACTTCTCTATACAAGCCTCCTTCCGTGAGGGCTGGACTATGATCTACAGGTGTCCTTGGTGCATCTAGCTCCCATAGTCTCCTCAACCTATTGTATAAATACTGGAAGCTCGATAAAGAACCCTTCTCTTGAATGAGATGCAGAGAGACCTGGTATCCGGCTACTGCTTGCGGATGAGATGGTTTGCGCACCTCAACTCGGAAGCGAACTGCTTTAACCACCGCTAGAGCACCTGCGGGGTCCTTGATTTCATCCAGTTTGCATTTCAGAATCCCAAGGTTCTCTGCTTGTGTGAGGATGACACGGACACCAAGAACAACGAGTAGTCTGCGGCACTCCTCACGGGAAGTGTATGCATCGTGAATAGAGAGAAGATGGTAGACTGTGGGTTTGAACCTAAACACGTTCCCAAACCAGCGACGTCGAGGCGTGGCTGATAATGTGAAGGAATTCTCGGAAAAGGCGGGAGAAATTGCAGATGTGTCCCCTCCACTATGCTTCTTCCTGAGTTTTGCTGGGGATGGCTCGATAATCTGAACACGCAGAGGCGGTTTCTTGGAATTTTCGCCTTCCTTGCTCCTCAGAGATGATTTCTTGACGATCCCAGGCCCAGACACATGCAAATAACCTTGGTTTTCCTTATCCGCACCGTTTTGATTTCGTCGTGGTCCGGTACCTTCTTCATATCCCACGGCTCCGAAGGAGTTAGCAACCGAGAAGTGATTACTGCTTGTCACAGAGCCATTACTGTAACCTTCCGATCGTGATTGGTTGGTAAATACGGCACTGATAGGAGTGGGCGGAGGTGCCTTTGAGTTGCCGTGATACATCCCATTAGACTCAGTTGCCGCTTCCATGTTCGGCGTACCCCCCGCCAAAGACGCTCTTGCTTCCATTGCGTTAAGATGTTCGACGATTTGATGGAAAAATTGCTGTATCTTGTCATCGTTTAATTCTGGGACGACCAAAGGAGGAAGATTGAGCGATTCGAAGATGGGAGACAGTGGAGAGATAGGGGATAATAGGGACTCGGGTGATAAGGGAGAATGTATTGGCAAAATTGGACAAGGCGGAGAAGATGCGTGCAAGGTGACCTGAGGTGTGCTATCTTGTAATTTGTCGTCTGTAGACGAATCCGGTTGTGTCTTGCGGGCTGCTCGGCTTGGCGTTGGGGGTTCAGCTCGGGGAGGAAACGACGAAGGAGAACGGCCCAGATCAGTAGCTTGAGAGGATGTTCTTCGCATACCCTGTGACTCTTTGTTCGGTGATGCTACGGATACCGTCAAATTCTTTTTGCGCCGTCTATTAGATCGATTCCTCAGCTCCTCTTCTTCTTCGTCGTAGTTTTCTAGATGTCTGGTTCTATATTCGACAAGTAGATGATAAATGCCCTTGTGCCAGTTCGGTTCATCGCTCTTCAAGTTTTCTATAATTTCGTCGTCCGGAGTGCCGTTCCATAGAGTTCGCAGGTTCGCAAAGATGTCGGGATCGATCGCATCAGTACCCGAGAGAGGCTTCGCTATGTCGTCCAAATTTGGCATCGAGTGGGCCACCGCCTTAGGTTCTTGCGATATGTAAAAAGGATGCCTCAAGATCTCAGGAATGGTAATACGTTGGCTGACATCCTTCCGGAGCATTTTTGAGATGAGGTCTTGAGCAAGTGGATCGATGTTGGAAGGCATGTCGAAGGTGCTTCGCTTGACTTTTTCCAGTAAGGTGTACAAGTCCTCATCGTCGAAAGGAAGTCGCCCGACCAGCAGAGCAAAGAGAATGACGCCGCAAGACCAGATGTCCGAAGCAGAGCCATTGTATTCTTGTCCCATAACAACCTCAGGAGCAGCATAATGGGGGCTCCCACACGCTGTCCGTAGCATTCCATTGTTCGAGCTAGCCTGCCATGCAGCCATTCCAAAATCTGCAACTTTGATATTTTTGTTCTGGTCCATCAGCAAGTTTTCTGGCTTGAGGTCCCTATGGGCAATGTTAAAACTATGGCAGTAGTGTATCGCAGAAATTATTTGCTGAAAATATCCCAGAGCTTCCGAAGTTGACAAACGGCCCTTGTTGCACAGATAATCGAAAAGTTCCCCGCCCTCGACATATTCCAGGATGAGGTACAGCTCACTTGATGTTTCCCAAACATCGTAAAGACGCATTATATTCGGGTGATTGATTAATTTCATGATGACTATTTCGCGTTCGATGCTGAGGAGCATGTGTTCTGCAGAGTCGCCAAGGTTGTTCATCGAGTTCAGGAGGACGTTCTTTGAAACAATCTTCACCGCTGCATACTGGCCGGTAGTAGAATGTCTAGCAATCCTGACACGACCTGAATTAAGAATTTAGTCAAGCAAGGATTGGACCTGCATCCCGCTAGCAGTCTATTAAACACCTGAGCTTCCTTTTCCTATGGTCCTACCGACTTTCCACAAGCCTATCATTTTGGGGTCATCTTCAGTTCTGTTCCGCCGGGGAAGTTGGGGATAGTCGTCGTCCATTTATGTGTATTGAAGCTTGAGATAGTTATTGTAAGTGTCAAAAGCAACGTCTCACTGGTAGCGAAGAGGCTGACAATGTCTCGACGCGAAGGATAACTGCGCCACATAATAGCCAAATCCAGCCAAACAACGCGTCCCCTTCTTTCTTCCACCTTCGCGTCGACTGTGGTCTTGCTCCTATGAGACGATGCCACCATGTCTCTGGTTACACTGCATATCGTATCTGGGATAGTGTCCTACGTCGAAACATACATTCAGCGCGTGTCCTGTTGTTAGCAAGTGAACACAATGACTCGAATATAGCGTCCAAACCTGAGCAAAAGGTGACCGTTACGAAGACTAAGAAGAAATTTTCTGAACTGCCAAAGTCACAAATATCGGAAGACGGTAGTCTTGTTCCACCTTGTGAAGAGTGGCTAGGAGGTTTGCAAAGCCAGCGGTCCTTGACGTCGAAACTGAGAGGTGCTACTTCCCGTCATCCGCAAACTATAACGCATTTTCTGATCACTTCTCTGATAACTTGGGATAAAAACATATGAACCATAATATAGGTTCGCCAAAAAATGCCTCCACCGAAGCTCTCGCAAATGACAACGACACTACCCAGATTCAGATAATGGCCAGGCAACCAAAAAGGGTCGGAAGACCGCGTTCTCTGAAGACTCTTCCACCAGAAATCCAAGTCACCAATGTGTCAGGGGAAGAAGAAGCTATCATTCCTGTGAAGCGTCGTCGAAAGACCAAAACATTTCAAAATGAAGGTAAGAGGAACGATTGCAGTTTCGTCTCTCCCTTGCTTGACTTTGCACTACTTAAGTGGAAATCAATATTCCTAATGTTTCTTCCACGAGCGAAACAAGTACACGACGATGTCATGATAATAGTGAAACAAATGGTACGATAATGTTTTTCTTGTTACATACTATGTAACCTGTGAGAACAGTCGAGTCTCCGCCGGCACCAGCTCGACCCAGAAATATGCTTGCGACGGAGATACTGGCTAATCTGAATAAGTTTCCTCATTGCATTCTCCTCACTCGTGTTGGTCAGTTTTACGAGGTAAACTTATATTTATCTTAATCGTTTTTTAACTTAATCCCTCGCATAGTCATATTTTGATCAAGCCAAGGAGGTATCTCGTCTCCTGAATATCAAACTGACATCTCGGGTATGGGACAAGCAGGTTGTAGCTATGTGCGGTTTTCCTCTAATGCACATCGACAAATACCTCAAAATCTTAGTGCAGCAGAACAAACTCTTCGTTGCGATGTGCGAGGAATTTCCCCGACCTTCACTTCCCGGTCAGAAACCTGAGTTCGATAGACGTGTTTCTCGCGTTATCACACCTGGAACATTGATTGACGAGCCCTTTCTTAATCCTTACGACAATAATTACCTCCTCGCACTCAGTGCACCTGAGATCACGGCTCAGAAAGGCGACCCGACTACGTCAAGTGAAGTTGGTTTGGCTTGGATAGATATATCGACTGGCGAATTTTTCACGAGGACTTCTACGGAAGTAGCCTTGAGGAATCATTTGACTCGAATCAATCCGCGAGAAATTGTATTGAACAGAAACCTCGAATCTACGCATCCCATCCGTCAGGCACTTATGGAAGAAGATTGGTTTGTCTCCAATGCTGCTCGATCGCCACCTGCTTCCAATGTATCTTTTCAATCTGATACATCCACTGACGATATAACTGGTCTGTCCGATATCTCTTCAGGTGCTCTTCCCCTCTATTCCCAAGAGGAATCCTCCGCAATTGGACTCCTCACAAGCTATCTACATGCAAACCTGCTGGAACATATGCCTCAGCTTCTTCGGCCTAACCGAGAACTGACAGAGGGGAGAATGCAGATGGATTCAAATACTATTAAAGCACTTGAGTTGCGCGAAAGTACAAGGGAAGGCGGGACTGCAGGTAGTTTGCTGAACGTTATAAAAAGGACTACCACGACAGGCGGTACTCGTCTTCTTTCTCGCTGGTTATGTAAGATATCATTAGTCTCTGTGTGATTAACATTCACCCATGCCTTTCCTCAGGTTCTCCTAGTACGTCGATCCCAGAGATAAGCGCCCGCCAATCTTTGGTCGCATTTTTCCTGAGTAGACCACATCTCCGAGATGACATCTTGCAACTATTAAGTGACGTAGATGATGCTTCACGCATTATACAAAAGTTCCTTCTGGGCCGGGGAGATGTGACTGACTTGTTGTCTATCAACGCGACGGTTGTTACCTGGTCTCTAATTCAACAACGAGTCACGTTGGAGAAAGAGATGGAAGAGAAGGAGAAAGGGGTCACTATGACTGACCACTGGGCTGGTATTGACCAGCTTCTATCCAAGATGACGGACTTGAAAGGGCTTTCTCACCGTATCAGTACAGCATTGGAGAATGTCGATCGGCTGGGGAAGGGTTCTTCTAACGACTCTGATGCTATCGACGACGATGACCATGCGAAGTTATTACAGGGACCACTAAACGTGTCCACCAATATTAAATACGATGGCACTACGAGGTGGTCCATCAGGCCTGGGTACGTGCCTGAGGACATATGCTACAATGTGCTTTAACATTCTTTTTTTACCAGGTTTACGGAGCAGCTGTTTGCACTACATACAACTCTCGGGGAGCTCCTCGAGAGAAGAACAAAGCTTGAACGGCGACTACAGCTAACTTATGGTAAAATCCATGTTACCTCGAATGATATCCTCCTCTAATTGACGATCATAGGTGCACCCTCCCTGACCCTCCGCTCTTCTCCTAACTATGGCATGCATGTGCATATCGCTCGCGTAAAGCGTGATCGGGCCAAGTTAAAAGAGTCGCCTGCGTTTGTATGCATAACAGAAACAGGTTCTACGTGTAGTTACTTCTATCAGGTGAGGAATTATTTTCGCTGCTTGGTTGCAATTCCTAATCCCACTGATTGATCTAGGAGTGGGCCCAACTCGGTAGCCAAATTGTTGAGACTACAGTAGCCATTTCAGCAGCTGAAAAAGAGGTACTCGGAATGCTCCGCAACGAGGTGATCAGCATTTCCTTGTGTAATGTGTAACATTGATGTTTGAGTTGCAGGTCAATGCAAGTTCAGCACACCTTCGAAAAAATGCTCGTATAATGGATGAACTGGACGTGACGATAGCTTTTTCGAACTTGGCGACTGAGAGGAACTTTGTTAGGCCTGAAGTCAGGGACGAGTACGTGTGTTTGGTAAAAGATATCCGTATATATATATCTGATCCAAACTAGCGTGTGTTATGAGGTCACGAATGGCCGACACCCTACTGTAGAGCTCGGTTTGCTCACTCAAGGACGCGTTTTCACCCCTAATTCGATTGCGCTGAATTCCGGTTCCCGGCTTCAAATTATTACAGGACCCAATATGGCTGGAAAGTCTACACTGCTTCGACAAACAGCTTTGCTAGCTATACTTGCCCAAATAGGTTCGTATGTGCCCGCGGATCACGCGGTGGTGGGCATTGTTGATCGACTATTCTCGAGGGTGGGAGCTAAGGATGACCTCTTTCGAGACCGAAGTACGTTCATGGTAGAGATGCTTGAAACTGCCGAGATTCTCCGACGAGCAACTCCTAAAAGTCTCGTAGGTTGACTGTTCTTCAGGTCATGCTAGTTCTAATCTTTCGTCAGGTCATCATGGATGAAGTAGGAAGGGGAACAACTGTCACTGACGGCATGGCAATAGCGTTTGCTACCATTCACCATCTCATCACTGTAAACCGTTGTCGGGCTCTCTTCGCGACCCACTTTCACGAGCTTGCTGAGATGCTAGGGTACCGCTCTGAGATGCACAAAGGTGGAGGGATCTTCTCAGAGGTCGCCTTCTCCTGCACCGATGTCGACGAAACGGATGTGAGCACGTTCAATCGCATTTTATCATGATAACTTATTCCTGGCGAAACGATCATTCCCAATAGGATAGTCATTTTGCTTATTCGCATCGCTTGAGGCCTGGAGTTAATCGTAACAGTCATGGTCTGAAAGTAGCTCAGCTAGCCAATATGCCTGAAACAGCAATATCGACTGCCAAAAAAGCTCTCTCAATTCTAAAGGGAGGGGTCCATGACAATATAAGTCTAGCTGAACGATCGAAGCTTGGGGATGTTCTGGCAGATTTATGAAAGTCACAATAGTACTCGTAGCCGTGGCATGTGGTGATCATACTCTAGCTAATCGACGCTCATACTCTGCTGTCTGCTGTCGTAACCACAACAATTCTGACATATTAGCATTCAATTACTCTGGCTCGGAAAGTTCGTGGTGATGAAGGTAGAATAGTCTAAGCGCGACGTTCTCCTCACTAGCCCTTTCAAGAGAAGATTCCATCCTTGTAGACCTTCCAAAGTCGATGAGACGATAACTGAACTTGTCCGAAATCATCCGACCGATAGGCCACTCTGAATGCAGACCCCTCTCCATCATTATATTACGAGTTGCGAATGAATTATGAACCCATCCTTCATGATGGAACCTGAAAAGTAGCGATGCGCATTCATTCCTATCGTCTATCGACATATTTTTCACTTCGACAGGGACACCACAATGCTCCAGGAGCATGATAGGACTCAAGTAGCGAGGACCGCCATCGTCTTCTGTTTCCCTATTATCATGCTCTGTCATGTCGTCATCCGTTTTTGTCGTCTCTTGATTTATAGGGTCTGGGGTATAGTACCCATAGAATTGAGGAACTATTGCGCCTACAGGGACAGGATCGTGTATTGGAGGGACAATGTTATATCCATTCCAGTGTTCGAAGAAGTATGATGGGAATTTTTGGTAATTCTCCGCCTCTCGAAGAAGATGCGAATCTCCCTGGATGGATAGCTTAACCGCAACTTGAACTTTGGCAGTCGGCGGTACAGTCAGACCAAATTGACGTTGTGTCATATGTTCGCAAATAGGGCCATAACCGGGGACTTGCCATTGAGTGTCAGGGCGGTAGTGGTCCACTGGGCCTTCATAGGACACAATACGTGTTGTACATGGATCTTGGATAGTATAAAGCTTTGGGGAACTTTCTTTCCCTCCCAAGCTTTCACCTTTACCCTTGATGTCATTATTGGACTCCGTGCTTGCCTTAACTTTTCTTCCGTTGGCGTTGTCCTCGTCTTCGTCATCCTCGTTATTTCGCTCATTGACCTTCTCTGCGCCGACGGACATTCCATGTACTACTAGTAACTTAACTACTTCACGAGGTTGGATGACATCTGTCACGGAGACGACACCGAGTTCTTCTTCGGAAGGTATAGAAGTCGATGATTCAGCTGTAGTTGCAGTAGACATCTTCGACTGTTTTTCGTTCAATTTCTTTTCCACTTCTTGTTTCCCCTGCTCTACGACGCAAGTTTCGCAAATTTTAGGTTTAACCAGTAAAGGCCGAGGTAGCTCCCACTCGCCCTTGTAAACTGCCGAGTGGTGACCTCTTCCAAGGTAGCCCTTGGGGGCTAGATATAGATGTGCAACAGGAGTCGATTCTGGAAGGGTGGTTTCAGGTGGGAGGTTACCGATGAGTGGTTTCTCCATAGGTCCGGACTTCTCGACTTTGGGAACAAACGCGTAACCCCTCCAGTCCTTTGCTTTTTTGGCTCGTTCTTCCTGGAGAGCCTTTTCTTCCTCTTCCATCTTCTGTTTGCCAAGCTCTGACAGGAAAAGGCTATACGAATAGGTAAGGTCTTCTTTTTCCGTCCATGGCGTTTCGTCATCCCCATCCGTCGTATCATCCCCCTCCGTGTTACGAACCGCGAGAATGTTCCAAGGATCGTGGACAACGAGTTTTTTTGGTAACAAATGGAGAGGAATACGCTTGCGTAGAGTGGGCCAATCCCCTTCGCCACTGAAAGGAACCAGAGGCCAAGGGTCAGGATAGTTATCAAAGTCAAAAGGATCGACGATTGCTTTTGAAGACTTTTGCTTTTTTTCTTTTGGCATAGATTTATAAAGTCCCATTTTGATGTGCATATTAGAGTCATCTATAAGCTCCCCAATATCACAGGGAGGGATATCGCGAGGATCCTCCTCTCGATCAGCCCAGGCGAGCTGGTCCGGGGCAGCATCCAGTTCCCCTGTATCTCGCATAGCTATTGCAAGCCTGCTTGAAGTCGATGTGGTCATATAATATTTGTTTTCTGGGAAAGGATGGACGTGATAAAAGTCATAGAGGGTGGCACCCCACTGGCATAGGTCTGGGCCACCCGTTTCCTTGCCCCTTCTGTGTAAAGGGAGAGGGGATTTTCCGTTGGGATCTCTCGGCCACATCTGAAAGACAATTCGAGTTCTACCCTTGCGGCAGTGAGATTCCGATATTTTCGCTTGCACTTGCGGGGGCACCTTGTGCGGGTCAAACATATCAAGATCGACAAACGTCTGGTCACTGAGAAAGGTTCCGAGCAGACCGTCAGCACAATGGTAAACTCATAAGATGAATATCTATTTCTACACAGTGGCATCTTCAGGACTTGCATTTCTTTTGGGTGGGCTCGAGGGCTTATTTTCAGTATCGACTGCTGCAGCAAACACCAGTTTAGCTTTGGGCGTGTTTAAAAAACCGCGTTTCATAGTGGATGAGAGCCAAGGGAGAGAGAAAGCTAGGTGCAATGGCAGTGGATCGTGATAAAGAAGGAAGAAAGCTCAGTGGCACACTATCGATCTCCTGAGCTGAGTCCTTTCACTGGTTCTAAGTACTGTCACTAAAAAGATAAGCTAAATTGCCACGGAGTTCAAACTACAAAAGTGTTCCACGTCACATGTCGCCTCTGACACACAATACAGTAGAAGTAGGGAGAAAACATAAACTGTGGATCAATACGTCTGAGGTTATTCGAAAACATTCTTTAACAACGACATACGTATCGTGTCTTGTCAACAATGTGCAGGGTTATGTTTTCAAGTTAGGCGGTGTTGGTTGTTGAAGGACATGATCAAATGCTTTGATGAGCGCCAGATACTACTAGGCGCTCAAAGCCTTGCGACTGTTCTCATACCTGTCTCAGGCTTGAACTTCCGTCTTATCGATGATCGAAAGAGTCGTCTCTGTCGACATGGACGATAACCAGAGCTAGGTTCCATTCCAAGTCTAGATTCATATCCTGACCGCTCCCTTTCGTGAACAATGCAAAAGCTTCGTTTAACTGGTGCGTGATTTTCGTGACTCACTATAAGCTCTACTCCTTACCCGGGTTGCTGTTCCTCATGTATAGTTATCATGGCTTCGCAGCTACGCAAGGTTATTTTGTTGAAGACACCAGTTTGCTTTGCCACTGTCTCTGTAGATGGAGGACCTGAGATGAAAACGACAACCTCCAAGGGTAACAACCCGGGTTGGGATCAGTTATTTGGGCTGTGAATGTTTTGCCTTGTCCATCGCGGCTGCCACCCAAAGAATGCCTTAGCGAAGCTCGAGCATCTTCATACATCAAGATAGCAGTCTTTCGCAAAGCTTATCCTCGGTCGAATGCACTGATAGGAGAAGTTACATTATATTTGAGAGATACACTCAAAGACAAATATTTTCTTGGTAGGGATAAGTTTTGTTATGCAGTGGCTACTATTTTCTGAATATATTCGCTGTGTCGTAAAGATGAGACATTTGTACTGGAGAAAAATGGATTTCAAGGATATATAGCAGTCCGTCTTGAGGTCGTCTCACAAAATTGGGATCATACTTTTACTTTCGAAATGGAAATACCAGCTACAACGTCAAAGGAACCACGCGAAAGAAAAGCTACAAAAGCCCTGATTAGGGCTGAGACAACAAGTGTAGCGGAAGAGGCAACCCGCATTGCGAACAAACTGTCACATTGTCATGGTGCATCCAGCGCCGGGGTTATCATAGATGTCATGGATGATATGAAGACTCTTGAGGGGAACGACTTTTTCGATTTGGTTTGTGGGTATATCCAGAAGCTCACGAGTATGGGGGATGTTATTTTTGAAGTAAAAGTTCAAAATCTAGTAAACCACACCTTTCTGAAAATATACACGATTTCTAGATTCATCCATACGCAAAAGCTGCGTGGAGTATTTTGGGTCTCATCCCAAAGGTACATTCAATCTGTCTCGCTAAATACGAAACTAATGTTTTACCTCCGTATTCTATGGAAACTATTATTCTAGGCCATGATAGCTCAGCTTGATCGTGACCAAAATATACAAAACCTGTGGTCCACCGCTGCAGATATGCTCGACTTTCTGAATGTGGCGGAGCCGATTATCGACGAGGTACAAAAACCAATAGTTGCAAATATGTTGAAGCAGATCCACGACTGCGCCTTATTCGTTCAAGAATATACTGGAAAGGGATTCTGCAGTCAGTCGCCTAGCTCATGCTTATCTGATGCAATATCATGACTGTGTTTACATTCAGAGCGTGCATTGCGAGATACGTCGAGTTCACAAAGTGACATTGTTATCTCACAATATGTGAATGCCTTTCAGCAACTGAAAGAAAATTTCAAATCGAAATCCTCGCTGTCAAAACTGAAAGTCTTTCGCGAGTACGGGAAGGACTAGTTGAGCTAAGCGGGGCCATACAAGATATCAAAGACTCAGGTTAAGTCCACAGTCGCCAACACTGTTGTTGGCAGATGCATGGACCTTGGACGTTTGGGGACGAGCTTCTCCTTCAAACGTGATATCGCTGGCCGAAACGTACCCAACTTTGTGATCGGGACTCTGGCATATTAACTTGGTTTGTTCAGTAGTCACTTCAGGGAAGAGCTCTGTCGCGCCATCAAGATTTCTGGGCATATTAGTCAACAGCCCCTGCATACTCAGCTACAAAAGTATATCATTACGCCCTTGACAGAGGTCGGTTTCTCTGGACCCATAGTCATTGTCATTGACGCTTTAGACGAGTGTGGCGACGAACATACTCGAGAGGAGTTTCTGAAAGTCTGGTCGCAGGAAGCGTCACATCTACCTGCGTTTGTCAAGGTCGTCTTTGTCAGTCGATACGAGAACGATATACGGGCTCAACTTGGACCGGTTGCCGTCTTGCAGGATATAGGTGGAGAGGAAGCGACGGCCCAGGACATCCTAGCATTTATCGACGATAAGATGCGGGAAATCCATCAATATCATCACGAGCTTCCATCTGACCGGCCTTCACAAGCAGAGAAAGACGAGCTGGGCCAATGCGCTGATGGGTTGTTTATATGGGCGAGAGTAGCCTGTGATTACATGAGGACTAGTAAAGATCCCGTCGTGGCACTTGACGATGTCCTCTCTGGTGAGAAGTGGGTCTCGAGAAACAAACATCCAGGAGACGTGATGGGCGTATTGTACCTGGGTATTCTAGAGCGCAGAGTGGGAGATTTGCCCGACACGATAGGCCTCAACTACTTCCAGTACATCATGGGGTCAGTGGTGGTTGCGAAAACGCCGCTGACGCAGGAGGGATTAGATGTTCTCCTTGGGCTTGGTCCTGCAACTGCTAAAGACCCGCTCAAGCTTCCAGACGGATCTTCAATTAAGCTCTTAACTTCAAAAGGGCTCATCGCGTCGCTCAGCTCCATACTGCGTACTGAAGAGGACACCATCCGACTACTACACGCGTCTGTTGCTGATTTCCTTACTGACCCAGTACGCTGTACAGACGCTCGTTTCTTTATTGGCATATCCATTCATAATCGAATTCTGGCACTTTGATGCCTGGAGACTTTGGAACGCATCCTCAAGCGTGATCCTTGTGAAATTGCAGACCCAACAAAACTCAATTGGGACATATATGATCTCGAAAGCCGTCTCGATACACTCTTGTCCCCTGATGGCTTGTATGCCCTTCAATCTTGGCACGAACATCTGCAAGGAGCGATGATGAGCTTTATGATCGAACGAAGAACGTAGTGTTCACCCATTTGCTCCACTGGATTGAAGTGAAAAGCCTATAATGCTCTGTTGACAGTCGGGAAAGTTTTAATACCATCTTTAACGTGATCAAGGCGATCATATCTTGGTTCTCCGTATGTGTCTCTTTTGCTTATTTTCATGTAGTTGTTAACAACTGGTTCAGCAATATTCTCGATCCGCTGCCGATAACACCATATCCCTGCTCACTGAATCCATTCAGTTCCTGCAGCAGTTTCACATGCAAATTAAAAACAGTGCTGCCCATATATATATATCCGCAATCCCTTTCACCGGTAGAAACGCCATTCTTTTCAAGACATTCGCACCAGACCTCCCTGATATACCGAAGTTGTGTTCTAGTTATCAAGGATCCGAGTCATCTCGATTGATTACCCTGCATCACCACTGGGGAATAGCTGTCTCGCTTGATCTCACACAAATGGCACATGTGGATTTCGAAGGACAACTACATATTTGGGATATTGAGAGTTGTACCCCAATCCAAGGTCAAACGGTTCATTCGTTACTTTTGTCACTCGAATATTCACCGGATGGGAGTCTAATCTGCGGTGGAACCACTGAAAGTACCATCTTTATAGGGAATATCAATAATCCGAAAGCAAAGGAACACTCATGTTTGAGGTCTGGCAACAAAAGTTACGTGCACCAGATTTCTATTACAGCAGACATGAAGATTCTTGCTTTGTTCGACAATGGGCACGTTTGTGTCTGGGAAATCGAATCAGGAAGGATGCTAGTCGATTGGCACAAGGATGACAGTCATAAAGACACTCATTTGCTAGGTGCCTTTGTAAGCATTGGTGACCAAGATCTCCGTGTCTTCCACCTAAAACGCAGTGCAGATACCTTTGAAGAATATGCTCCGGAACAGGCCATATTAAAAGCGACAATCTCGTTTGACCTCAAGCGAGTTGCCTTTTTACTTGGATCATACAGCACCTGCTACGCGCATCCTGGTAGGCCCAAAACATAGTGATATATTTATCTGGCACACATCAGAACCATATACCTCCATGAGCGCTGTGGATACCTTGAGCTTTCTTCCAAGCCATATTGTGGTAGAGTCACAGTCCAAAAACGACAAATCGATCAATGTAGAAAGGAAGACATTCCTTTATTTACCCGAGAGGACGTTCCCCTGGCTCAGAGTGGGTAGCTATCCACGTTGGTACTCGAGCTGGAGACTGGCGAGGTGGGTTTTGTGGATTTGGAGATTTATCTGACTGGACTCTGTCTGGGGAAAAGGTAGCGTACGCGAAATATCCGCATGATGTTATAGAGTATACATTGGCGAATCTATCTCAATATAGAAGTTAGGCTCATTAGTTGTAGGTTCATATGATATTTCATTTGTGCAAACCACACACAATGCCCGATATCATATGTGCCATTTGAACTCAGCCGCTCTGTGCCAAGAGATACGATAGTTCTGCATATTTTTATAATGACATCATTTGCGAACGGATATGGTTGAGCGCAGACCCAGCTCTCAACCACTTCACCTGATCACTCGACATCGTATGTCTAGTAGGTATCTCGAATATCTCTCCACTGCGCTTCGTCACCTTCAACGCAACCGTGGCGCTCTGGTTACCGTTGATTAGATCAGCCAGGCCAGTCGTTTCGAGAGCATCTCCCGAGCCGATGCGGGCATAGTCGGCTTTGTCTACGAACCATAAAGGAAGAATACCTTGTTTCTGAAGAAGTTCTTGATTAAGGAAAGACATAACACTGTGCATCGAAAAACATCGTACCTTCAAATTTGTTTCGTGAATTCGAGCAAACGACCTAGCCAGAATCATCGCACATCCTATAGGCAAAACAAAGGTCAGAAAATATTTGACTCTCAATCAATATCGATCAAAGTACCATAGAATCTTGGCTGCAGGGCTGCATGCTCACGAGCACTTCCCTCGCCGTAGTTGTCGTCTACAACCAGGGCCCAAGGTTGGCCGCGTGATTTGAATCTCTTTGCCACAGCAGGAATGGTATCACTTGTAGATTGAGAGGCATCATGTTCATGATCAAATGCCACATTGATATCACCGTTTTCGTCGTTCACAGCCTGAAGGCAAGACGTTCTATGCAGCACGGGTAAATTAATCAGGCGTACATACCGTAATGACTAGTTAACCAAGTTCAGTTTTGAGTACGCATAGGATAGGACGCGACACATACGAAGATTTTCCGAGATATTAGTAAGGTGTCCTTTATATTTCAACCATGGGCCCTTAAGAACTCCTAGTCAGTGTGGGATATATAATCCAAAGCTGACGAAACTCACAGCCGCGGATATATGGTCAGTAGTACATTTTCCTCTAACCTTCATCAGAACTTTCATAGTAGGAAGTTCTAATGCTCTTGGGTTATTACTGCCTTCCTCGAAGGGACTTGTAAATGGCTCCAATAATTCTAGTCGCTGCGAGTCCTTGCTAATGACCACTTCTGTATCTGGTTGAGGTTCGGGCGTGTAAGCGGGATAGAGGTCAATATTTCCGGGAGTAAAGCCTGTCGCTGGTAGGTCTTGCCCTGTAGGTGGTGAGAACTTGAAGCTTTCACCCGAAGGAGTAGTTAGGGAGTCGGTAGTTGGATCGAACGATAGTTTTCCGGAAAACGCCATGGCAGTAACGATGGTAGGAGAAGCAAGGAAATTCATAGTTAGTTGATTTCCGTCGTTACGCGACTTGAAATTCCTGCGGACGATAGTTATGAGCATACACTATTGAAGTGTCCAGTGTCTTAGTAGTTACCGGTTGAAGGAGGTCAATATAGCTGGTTTAAGTTCAGTGGTACACATACATAAAGATAAGGAGATGATTCAACCTACCATTTTCTTCTCCTTTCTTATCCGCCCTTTTCCACTAAGGAACACAATTAATCATGACCATCTTATGGAAAAAGGGTGCGTACTTGTCCGATACAAGGTCCACAAGCATTGGCCAGTACAACTGCACCAACACCTTCCAGACTGGCCGTGACATCGTCACGCTCCATTGTAGCACGAATTTGTTCAGAACCAGGAGTGCAAAGGAATGGAACCTAGACAATTTCTAAGTGCACTGATAAGAAGAAAAACACAATTTGATACTTTGGTAGTCAATCCAGCCGCCTTGGCCTGTTTTGCAAGTTCTGCGACACGGGTCTGTTGTTTTACTGAGCATGGCTAAATCAAGATATAAATCAAGCAGAACTCGCCATATCTTCATATGAACTGTTGGTACAAGAGCCAATAAGAGCGGCAGAGACTTCATCTTTCCATCCTTGTTCTTGCACGAAAGCACCGAACTTGGACAAAGGAGTGGCGAGATCGGGTGTAAAAGGGCCGTTGATTGTAGGCTCGAGGTCAGATAAGTTCTGAGCATATTCATGAGTATGACCTCGGACATTTATCATCCCAAATCACTTACAACCTCGATTACTTCATCATACTCAGCCCCTTCATCAGCGCTCAAAAAACCCTTAGCAGCAGCTTCGTCTGCAGCTTGGGCGACAGGTGCACGTCCGGTGGCATTCAAATATGCTCGCATATTTGGCGTGTAAGGGAAGGTAGATGTCGTAGCACCGACTTCAGCACCCATATTCGCGACCGTAGCAAGACCTGAGATACATTGACTTCAGACATGCCTGCAAGAAAGATTCATGTAACTCACCTGTACATGACTGACTGAACACTCCAGGGCCAAAATATTCCAGAATTCGTCCAGTTCCTCCCTTGAAATATATTAAGAACACTGCATAGCCCATGCTAATGTTTACTTACCCGAACAGTGAGTTTCCCTGCCAAGTGTAGAATCAAATCCTTAGGTGTGGCCCAGCCATTGAGTTTCCCAGTCAGATGTACACCTTGAAACCAATAAGAGATCGCAGAGTGACAAAAGGAATTTATAGTTTACCTACGATCTGGGGAGCTTTCAGTTCCCAAGGCGTACCAGTCATGGCGTCAACAGCATCAGCACCTCCAACACCGATAGCGAGCATACCCAATCCACCAGCGTTAGGCGTATGAGAATCTGAACAACGTTACCGCTCTCCGTCCAAGGCAAGAACAATTGTGCTTACCTGTACCGAGCCTAAAGTACAAAGTTCAGCGATGTCCCAACATATATCAATGACTTCAAAGACCAACATTAGCATACCGGGAGCAGCGTAGTTCTCAAGAACAATTTGATGTATAATCCCAGAACCCGGCTTCCAGAACTCAATACCATACTTCCGAGCGGCACTCTCCAAAAAATCAAAGACCTCTTTGTTAGATTCGATAGACCGCTAAAAGTAAAATTAGGCAATTTTTCAATAACTCCATGCACTGATGTATACCTGCAGGTCTGCGTCAGCACCAACAGAAGCTTGAATGAGATGATCGCAGTGTATGCTTGAAGGAACAGCAGTCCTCGAAAGCCCCGCACTCATGAATTGCAGCCTAACGAGATGAATTTATGTAGTAATGTTCTGTAGTCTAAAACTGGTGGAAACGACGTACAGTGCCATTCTAACGACAATTTCAAGAAGATAAATCAGACACAGAATGGTATCACATCATTCTTCAAAGTCTTCAAAGAGCGTAGGAACTTACTGGGCGGAAGCATCCTGCATAGCGACTCGTTCCAGACTCAGCTGGAGGTAGACTTCTCCCCTAATCTTTCCTCCATTGGCAAGACTCTTCTCGGGATCAGTAAGGTGACTGTAAAGTATCTTTTCTGCCAGAGTCAGAGGCCTGTTGTTGAGAAGTTCTTGAGCACGACCGAGCTTCTCAATAAGTTGGACATATGGTGGTGTAATTGAAGAACAGTCTCGGTTCACCGTTGTAGCATGGGTTTCCAGACAACGAAGAAGCGTACGCCATGGTTTATGTCTCTGGGAGAGAGCCCCTCGTCGCAGAGATTCTACTGGCAGTGACATTTCACCCCAGTCAATGTTGCACAATCCTCAATTATCCTACTCGGTACTCAAAAGCAAAACTGGATCGGCCGATGGAAAATAGCACGTAATCACGTGCGCAAAGCCAATCGGGGCTTTCGGAGTTAAGTCCCAAAAGTGACAAGAGGCTGTGAGTGTGAAGTAAACGCGGATAGTGCATGAACGCGCTACCAAATACAATTGGTTGTGACCAAACATAATGACGCATGCTTGATCCGTTTTTGACTTGTTTCATTTCATTTTCCAGCTTCGTCCATTGGTATTCTGGCAGCAAAGCTAGCAAAGCACACAAAGCACATAGCTCTGTATGCTTTACTAGCTTTGCTTCCTCTCTGTGATATCCCTTCCTGTGATACCCTTCCCTCCCTTCCAGCTTTCTCTATCAATCAAGGCAACATCTACCTTCAATATGGCACAAAAGTATCTTTGTGACTGCCAAAGACACTGCAAGGGTGTTCTCACAAAGGTTTCTTGGGGCGCTTTTCACTGGCATGAGAAGTTTCGCAAATCCGAGGGAACTGCCATCCCACCTTCACTGCGAGAGCTACGAGAAGAAGCTGCCATCGCACCAAAAGCTTGTGCTCCGCCTTGTAAACATCGCAAGGTTCGCACAGCTGGCACTCTGTCCTGAAGGACCACCCCTATCTCCCCAGATACACCAGACGGCCAACAGCATGAGCAGCTTCAGCCAGAAAAGGTTTCTCTAGCTTTGGTGGTCTCTTCCAGACTGCTCTGGATGAGATCAATGATGATTTTGGCTACTTTTCGGTGCATAAAGTCATACATACACCTTGTTAACTATCCCTAATCTTCACAGCAGCCAAGCGAGTGCACCACACCCCCGAACCAGCCACGCCCATGTAAGGACCATTTTACTATTTTCTTATATTCTCTATGTCTTGGTTCTCGAACACTTTTCCCATTACACCTCTGGCTCTAGGGCTAGAGGTATTGTTTGCGATCTTACTTCTCATAGCCCTCACAGGCTTTCTTAACCACCGCTACCACTTTATATCACAGATCAGAGACTGGGTATCACTCCCAGCCAGCCACCACAATGGGTAGGAACTAGTAGTAGGCATCTCGCCAACCAGCTCCAAGTCCCATTAAGGCCTGGATATACTAATAAACACTTTGATGAGAATCGTTCCTCATCATGAGGATACGGTTCCTGAACACGTGTGACAAACACCTATTATTAGTACAATTTTCTCACCCGCTGATTAATCATTCAAAGTCGTACGATAGTTGTTCCCCATTTTCTTATTGGACGATTTATTCCTCAGACCACTTTTCATCTATTCTCCTTTCGGTCTGAGGAATGAACGGTGTCGATGATGAGAACTGTTGTTAGAAAACCACACACAAAAACAAACTAACACACAATCCTCCCAGATTCCACGGAACTTGTTTATGGGCTTTGCCTCCTAGAACAGTGGGTGCTCTGGTTGTTCGTGGGGTGGCATATATGAGGATCCTTCAAAGTAAAACCCAGTGGTGTATGAGTGTGGGTTTTGAGGAGGAGGGATAGTTGAATTTATAGAAAGATAGGGGGTTTGTGGCGAGTATAGACGAGCACTACCTTGCTAATCGTAGCACAAGGTAGGTTTGAGAACAACGAGGATGACGAAGTGATGAGGTTCCCAGTGATAGCAGGCTCCTGACGCACAAACTGTAGTGCTCAGAAGGACTCTAATCGAAGGGGATGACAATCACTTTCAAAAGTGACGAGTGACGATGACAGCAGTTAATAGTGGTAGAAGTGGGAAGTGTTGTGACCACACTGGATCACAAGTAGCAGTAAGAAGTGGACTTAAGATTAGAGAAGAAGTCTGGAATCGAGTTCTTGTTTTTTTTTTACAAGGTAAAATACAGGGGTTTATATAGTAAAAGAAAAGTAGGCTATGCACAGTATAGCTGTGCAAAAAGAATGAGAAAGAATATGAAGGAAGGAATGTACGCTGACGAATCCTGCGTAGGTAGTACAGGATAAGATTGTCAAAAAAAGGAAAAGAAAGGGATAGAACAATAAATGCTGTGAGTAATGTCACAGGTTTGTACAGCCATAAAGTAAAGTCCAATAGCAAAAGGAGAGCAGGAAAATCATGATGTCATGGGAAGATGCAGTAAAAAAAAGGGCAAGGCAAAACACTATCAGTATCAACACAGTTCCTTTATTGTCAGTCAGGCATTCTAAAAAAATATGTGTCCATAAAAATGATTCAAAAATCAAAAATAATCGCACTGTAAATGAATGTTCTGCTGAAGAAAAAGAAACTGGAGCCACTGGTCCACCACCTAGTCCAAATCTGACAGTTCCATGGCCTTAGCAATGGACTGGTTGTGTTGGACCACCTGATCAAACGAGGGAGGGAGAGGAGTAGTTCCAATTTGGAACAAGTGAGTCCCAGGCAGCGTGTGGTAGGTGTAGCTGTAGCGAAGACGATGGACAAATGATAAGTGTACCCAAGTGAATGGGACAGCGATGAACATGGGCGACGCAAGGGGATGAACCTTCTCCAGCTCAAAAACTACCCACCCACGCTCCAACCAGGCAAGACGAGCGACCGATGTTTTGATAGTATATGATGGCAGATCAACGTCATGAAGATGGACCTGTTGCCCTATTTGGACTGGCCACCGGGGCTTTGCTGATATCAGCAGTGGCACGTGGTAGTCAACGGATCGGCGACGGAAGCGGATAGGAAGTGGTGACATCAGAAATGGTGGGGGTGCAAATAAGATGAGGAGGAGGAGGGTGGAGGTGACAAACAAGTGGATTAGAATGGGGACCCAGAAACGACCGTCAGGTGAGAATAAAAAGGAGAGGAAGGGGCCCATGGTGGGGCTAGGCAAAGGAAGGGGAGTAAGGGAAACAACAAAAGCGAGGGCGCAATGCAATGTGTAGCTAGTGGCGACGCGAAAATTTGCCGAAATGCCGAAATGCGGAAAGTACCGGATGGAAAAGCAAAGGTGAGCGTGACTGGATTGCCTAATAGAGGTGGTGCTGATCAGCCACAAGTTCAAAAGGGGAATATTAATTACTATTCCACGTGGCACTGTGCCTGTGTGGCGCAAAGGCGAGTCTTTTTGAATATTTGCTTCGTTATTGACACCTGTCCATGCTACCAATCAACTTTGGTGCATGACAACGGTTAGCTATATAAAGCCTTACCTATTCATGTATAGTTCCTTAGTTTTCTATTACTTGATTTACCCGCTTTACTCCTCAACCGAAACCCTTGAGTTTACTCCCAAGTCCTCTACTCGCTATATTTACTAGCGTCTGTCAACCTCAAAAGCTCATTGAACCTCTTACTCCCTGCAAGTGCAGTAGGAGACAGGTTTTGTTTTTGTTATAGTTTATCGTTGCCTCACAGCCCGGCACTGTGCCATCTGCAACAACAGGTTCCGGGCACTATTGTATGACCATAGACAAGGAAGATGATGAAACCGATGAAGAAACAGGTCACCTCCCCCGTCTGCACCAGAAGGCAAGATCGGCGAAGACTAGAGTATGAATGCAACATGGCTTTTTCCACCGCACAATGCAATACTGTGTCTCTCCCTCCATCAGGAAATTGGTGAAAATCTGATCTATGATTGTAAGCCATTATAAGAATTGTAATTAGCACAAGAACTACAATAGTTTTGGTCCCGTTTACAAGAGCTTGTATGTCTGGTTAGCTCTGATACAAACGGCACAATATATATATGGCTGATATACATTGTGAAGTTGGCCTCCTCAATAAGATCAATAATATATCCAAGACCTTATATGTCTGGTTAGTATTGTTACCTTCGATCAGATTTATAAGAATTATAGTGTAGACTCTATCACGGCAAGATATACAATCAATATCAGTGCTGATATGACTGGTTACACCTGGTAGCTCGTGACCGAGGCAAAACGAGAAACCACTGAGAACTTGAATACAAGTGTATGTAGGCTGCCATCCATAGTAACTGCACTTAGAGTTGCCAAAACTGACTAGGTAGTGGCCCGGGTACTTACTCACACAGGCTGGCCTTCGTTTGGAAGGACTTAGGGCTGTTTTAATTATTGATAACTAGGTCATCACAACAGGTAGTAAGGACACAAATTTCATTGAAAGCGTGTACACAATATACAGTACAATTTACAATACAGTATACTTAATTCTACATTCCTCCGACTTTGCTTAGCTAGTTGTCCGCATTAGCTTGCCCCTCAGAACGAGAGCTTGAAGGGGACATTTGGTGTTTGAGAGCCGCTCGTCTTTGTCGGATCTTCGCCAATGCGCCGTTCTTTGCTGGGATTCTCGTAGGGGTGGCTGAGGCAGGAAAAATTTTCCTACAATATGGGTAAGTATGGTGGTTGCATAAAAGACTATAGTACTACATACGAGTCCCACCACGCTAAGAGACTGTTGACATCTTCGATTTCATCGGGATCCTCGAATAAGTCCATGACACTATTGAAAAATCCCTCAGAATCGGAAGTGATATCTGTGCGGGAGAATATTGCCTGTGAAGATAGTGCAAAACGGACCTTCATTGAGTTTGTTAGCCTATCATCTGACAATCATGTGAAACTACAGCTACTTACTTGTGTTGCAATATATGCAACTGACGCTGGTGTAACATGTAACATGCCATGTAAACGAGCATTACCCGAGTGAGTTGCTCGTGACTCGGCGTTTGTGTCAACAGATGACGGGGATGTGAAGACGTACTTGTAAGCCTAAGGAAGAAAAAAAGCTGGAATTAGACTATTAGAAGCAATTAAAAAAAACGCGCACCGAGATCAAAACATTGTTTTTAAACAGGCCCATCCATGGGTCTTCTGCATTGTAAATGCAGTCGGCATACAAAAATATGGGCCAGTGGTCACCAGCAATGTGTATATCACCATTTCGTAGTTTAGCTCGAGTCCTATAGAAAAACTTTCGTAAACCATCAAAAAATATACTAGAAAGTACTTACTCTTCATCTTCCCAATCAAGTCCAGTTGGACATAGTAGTTGCCCGGTACGATGATGATTGAAGCCTCGGTTGGACTTGATATTCCGATGGAGCTGTGGGCTAAGCTGCTGGCCTTGAGGTGTTATCCATTCGACTATGGCACCTTTGATGCTCTTGGTGTCGTCAGATCGGGCACCAGAAACACCTTTTTGTATCTGGGTATGTTGTGCCATTAGTATCTTGTTGAGAGCTTGGGGATCTGACTTGGGTTCAGGTGATAATGGGGCTCACCAGCTGGCTAATGATCTCAATTTCCTCCTCAGACGAATCCTTATCGGTCAACCGATCCTTGAGCCCAGGCACCATACAAAGAAGACTCAAAAAGATCTTCTGTTCACGTAGTTCACTGAGAAAAATATTCAATAAAAACCAAGGAAAATATAATCTATTTCAACTTACTTTCCAGTAAGGTGCTGATCGTCTGATTCATCACTCATCCGAAGCAGTCCATTGATCAGGAGAGAGTTGATGTTACAAAATGGGTGGACAGTACGACAGAAATGGCGACCATGGCCTACCAAGGGGTCTGAAAGACGTCTAAGTCCTGTGTCAGCTTTGTGCAATGATTGAAATCAACTTGAAGCTACTCACGGGCGTTTTCGAGACACTGCAGTTAGTGCAGACTCGAAAGAAGGTAGTAGAGATGGATGATCAGGATTCTCCGGTAAGTCGGCATCTGCTTCCCGTGTTCGCCGCACCATCATGGTCAATTCTCAATGGTTCAACAGCTAGACACCTTCAACTTGCACACGGGACCTCAAGATGGGTAGATGGAATGCTGATGACAGACAAGGTAAGTGTTTTCTTGTGATTTAAAGGCTTGAGTACTCCACTTTGACTTATTTTGGAGAAATTTGTAACAGTTTACCAGGTCAGTCGTCAGTTTACGCTATGATCTTGCCTGGAAAAAGACCTGAGAACTGTCTCTCGGATCATGACAAACAGGGTAAGGATGAGATTGGTGAGTTCTTGCTTTTTGTGGATAGTGCATGATAGTAGCATGGAGAGCAGTATAGAAAATTTTTCACTCAAGGCCAGCACCACCGCATTTGTCAGGACAGCATTGTCGTTTCCCCATGGGCTGTGCTCTTAGCATGCAATAGGTTTGGTATGTTTCAAGGTGTGTACACCAATTTCTCAACTTGGTTATCTAAATTCATAACACGGCGACTTCTAGGTGCTACAATACAGGTGATCTCATTTTTCTGTGGAGATGTGAGTGTGACAGTCAGGGTCAAAGGCTCTCAGTTCCATCAACCCTTGGGACAGCAACGGGCTTAGTTCAGCTCTCTATTCCTCTGTCGTAAGTGGCCTGTTAGGTCTTCCGATGTCTGTTTTGATTCTTACAGCTTTTACTCCACTTTTTTGCCACATCCTATCTCACAGATACGCATCATGTCCACCACTGGCAATGAAAACAAGAAAAGACGCCTTAGTTTTCATGTAGAAGATGTCCAGTGAGTCCAGACACTTTGTTACCCGGTTGATCAATTTCACGTTCAAAAGCATTACCGTCACAGAGGAGTTGACAGACTCGGGTAAAAATGTTGTTAAAAACGATGCAAGTGTTCAAACAGACTCTTATTTGATGGGTACATATTTTGTTGCTGTTTTCAGACGTCAATCATCTTACATGATTTATAGAAGACACGGCAGATCATAAACTCAACAACCTTTCAAATGAGGAATTGAAAATCAAGCTTGAAGAAATGCAGAAACAACTCCATGTCATGTACTTAGAACGCGACAAGTATCGAAATTATGCAATTGCCGAGTCTCGTCAGGTGGGATTAATGCAGTTTGAGGTTTCAAAGATGGGGATGGAACCACCATCCTGTGAACTGTACTCACAGGTTCCTGTGGATGCACCCTCGCCTGCATCACTCATCAGTAAGTTGACCACTATCCTGTTAAAACTGTAGCTGAGTCAATACCTAGGTGATGATTGAAAGATAGGATTGTGTAACGGTAATAAACAATGTACGAAAAACTGTAATGAAATATTATATGCATATTATCTTTTTGTGATATAGTATTGAGGTGACAATACACGAACGATAAGAGGCTGTTCAAAGCATTGTCGTTGAGAACCCAGAGGTACGTACATCAGCCTAAACACATTATTTTAATCATTCAATGCCTTATTCACAGCAGTGAAAGTAGATCATATGGCTCGAGGTACCGCACAATTACAACTATTCTACATTGACAGACCAACATGACTAGTGGGAGACCTTCTCTTCGGTATGCTGTTGTCACTGGATTCCTCACCTCAACGTTTTCCGCTGCCTCCCTTGGCCAGATTTCCTGGCTACAATGCAAGCATGTGAGTATCAACTAAAAGCCTAAGAAGGATTGCTCGTTCTTACCAGCTGTAGTGCGGTGCCTTTGTCGGTTGTTACTGATATGCTCACCAGATTTTCCACTATCCACAACCTCTGACTGGGGTTGAATTACAGAAGTAGCTTGTTTGTTGTCAATACTGACTTCTGACAGGCGGCGTTTTACCCCACAAGACTGGGGCTGAGTTACAATGTTTTGCAAGTCTGTACTTTCCTGTTACGACAAAGGTGAGTCTACAATCTATATTGAGAGATGTCGCTTACCTCAGTTTTCACAGAAATTCCTTCATCTTTGGGAGCAGCCCCGTCTGTCTCCTTCTTATCTGCCGTATTAATAGGCCAGGGTTCATCGTCACTGTCCCAGTCATAAAAGAACTCAACATCTTCGCCTGAGCCATAGACTGTGAATCGGCTGAACAGGTGTTCTGGGACACCAACTAGGGTCCTTTGAATGATTTCGTTGTCAGTCTGAGGCATGTCTTGGTGGGGGGATCAAATGAAGGATTTGTCACATTTTGGTGAGCTCAAACACTATTGTATATTTCCCATGCACTAATTCTCTGCTGTGACCCGACTCCAATACCGATATCACTTTCCCGTTGGAGATCAAGAAGTGCCTGTCCGGATCTTAACTTTTTTTTTTGTTAAAGTTCAGTCTTACGTTAAAGAAATGGAGAAAATGTCAGTTGCTCCATTCTTCTGTGTCACACGGTTTACTTGATTGTTCTATGTTAGATCTTCACATTCATCACTATTCGCCCCTGAAGCCTGCACTAGTTTCAATGTTCCACCCACTTCAAATTTCTGTCACTCATTATGGATGATTCCCTAACATGTATTTGCGGGCGAAGTTTTTCACAGTACGGAGCATTGACATGGCATCAAAAAAACTGCAAAAAACGAAAACATCGTGTCTCAATGATATTTGAGAGAGCTCGCGAGCTAATGAGTAGAAAGAAGAGTCGTGTAGAAAGTGCGGAGAACAGTGGCCATGGTGAGGGCCATAGTGGGGATGTATGTGACATAGAGACTACGGCTGTTGAAATAGCCAATCCAACGGTATGTCCTGTGATCCATACAGAGTGCACCACTGACCATAGCCCCATCAGAGCCCTGTAGCGCACAGTCTTGACATTGACTCGGATACACCACTCTCACAGCGTCGCACACGAAGAACAAATCGCAGACTGCCAAAACAATTTCGTGATATACTCCCCCAGCCTTCATTATCATTACCCTCAAGTATCCAACAGCCGCTTTCAGCACCACAGCCAGGTTGTGAAAGTCGCAGCCCACCTCTAAATGAGCCACCACCCAGTACTCAGACCGGTGGTGCCCTGACTCAAACATTGTTTCGCACAGTCAAGAATATATTTGGAGTACTACGACAGTACACCCATGGGCCACCATCTCACAATGCCAGTGATCACCAGTCCCCTCACGAGCTCTGTACACCATTGTACCCCCACAATGATTCTATGAACATATTGTCATCGTCATCATCCGAGATCCATCCGCAATGCAGCACTCAAAGCACCAACCCCTATCATCCATATCCAAATAAAAGCACCCTTCTCCTAGGTGACTGGTACTGGAACCATGGTGCCCGCAAGTCACAGGAAAACTTCTGCATGCTTTGCGACATTATCGGTGAACAAGGCTTCTCACCAGCTGATGTCAGCGGCGCAAACTGGCGTAAGATTGATGAATCACTTGTCACAGTGGGCGACAGCAATGGCAATAGCTCAGACTGGCTGGACGACGGTTGGAGGACAAGTCCAGTCACTATTTCTGTCCCATTCCACAAGAGAATGGCAGATCCAGGTCCAAAGGAATTCATTACTGCCGACTTTCACTATCGCTCCATACTATCTGTCGTTCAAGAAAAACTTGCTAATGAACATGAAATGGACTCTTTCCACTATGTCCCCTATGAACTTCACTGGCAACCTGAAGGCCGAGATGAGACACAACTTTATGGTGACCTATATACATCTCCAGCATTTGTTGAGGAAAATCAGCGCCTACAAGACTCCCCTCCAGAACCTGGGTGTGATCTGGAGAGGTGTATACTAGCACTGATGTTCTGGTCCGACGCAACACATCTCACGTCGTTTGGCAATGCAAAGCTGTGGCCTCTATACATGTTTTTCGGCAATGATACAAAATACAGGAGATGCAAGCCTAGTTGCCACTTGTGTCATCACATTGCATACTTCCAAACAGTAAGCATTATTCCCACTTGTTTTTTACTCTCCGAACTGATATATCTCCTGCCCATGTAGCTCCCAGATTCATTCAAGGATTTTGCAAATGCATTTGCGGGTGGCAAAGGAGTTAATGATGCTTTCAACACACACTGCCATCGGGAGTTCATGCATGCACAATGGACCATCCTTCTTGACAAGGAGTTTATTGAAGCTTGCAAGCATGGCCTTGTAATTACGTGTTCTGATGGTATAAAACGGCGTTTTTACCTTCGCATCTTCACATATTCTGCGGACTATCCGGAAAAGTAACATATTTTCTTTCTAATATTATAATCTTTCACTTATATGGTATTAGGGTTCTTCTCACTAGCATCAGGAACTTGGGAGCTTGCCCATGTCCACGATGTTTGATTCCAAAAGATTGTATTCCAGGGATGGGCACAAAGCAAGATATGAGACAACAAAAGACATTGGCACGAGTAAACAATTCTCAATATCAGCGGAAGGTAGACATAGCACGCAGTTTGA